ACAATGGCTTGCAGATGGACGGCCCAGAGGAATGAGTCATGGATCGTATAAACATTACAAAAAAGCCAAATATGAATTTCGGAATGTGCAACACGCAGCTTACGAACAATATATCAAAAAATGTTACGATGATATAAACGAAGCAGCAGAGTGCGATATCCGTTTATTCTGGAAACTAATAAAAAGATATAAACCATCAACATCAAGAATGTATCCAGAAATCATTCATAATGGTGATACATGTAATAACCCAGAAAGCATTGCTAATGTCTTTATGGACTATTTTTCAAACGTTTGCACAACGGACAATACTGTCACTTTTGATACGTCCAAGAAACTATTTATTGACAGTGCATATTCGGAGATTTTAAAAACCTGTTGTAACTCCAATGAGAACCTACCTGGTGGACTCATCAACGAATGTGAAGTACGCGATATCGTCAAATCCTTGATGCATAAAAAAGCCAGCGGACACGATAAAATTCAAAACGAACATTTAATATACGGCGGAGAAGTTGTTATCCATTGCCTTACTTCATTTTTTAACCTCATAGTGAAGAAAGGTCGTGTACCTGACGATTGGAAGTTCGGTTTACTAGTACCACTCTATAAAGGAAACAATAAACCTAAAACATCTCCTGACAGCTACCGCCCGATTACACTTTTGCCGTGTGTTTCAACGGTCTTTGTCAGAGCATGTTATAAAAAACCGTTTGCTAATCGTACTGGATAATATAAACTTCCCAAACTGCCAACAACAAGGATTTCAGAAAGACCTCGGTTGCCTAACAGCTTCCTTTAATCTACACGAGACAATTTTCCATAATCTTGAATTTTGTAGTAAGATTTTTGTAGCTTTTCTAGATAGTAGGAAGGCACTCGACACGGTCTGGAGACTAGGTGTCATGTACAAATTGTATCAACTAGGTGTGAACAGTAAATTATGGGTAATAGTTAATGACTTTCATACAAACACAAAAAGTGCTATAGTTGTTAACCAGCATTAGTCAAATTTGTTTCCAGTGTTGGAAGGTGTATAAAGACAAGGCAGTGTGCTGTCTGGTTTATTGTATTTAATTTTTAATAATGATCTAATATGTGAAATTGAAAAATGCAATCAAAACACAGGTATATACAGTATCAATTGCTGTGTACCTGCTCTTGCTGATGACATATCTTGTATTGCCACGTCCCCACTGTCTCTTCAGCGCATGCTTGATGTGTGTTTCGAGTACTCTAGAAATTGGCGATTCTGTGTATTATGCAATTCTCCGTAAATACAAGAGAAAGCAATGTTATCTTCAACTGGTGTATAGGAAATAAGAATATTCCATTATCTGACAATTATACACATTTAGGTATAGAACTTAGTTCTCGATTCAAAACTAAGAACAGAACTATAAATGCTTGTAGAAAAGGTAAAAACACATACTTTGCATTGAAGGGAGTAATGTCAAGAGCAACTAATCCGTCTGTATAAGTTAAATTATACAAAACTGGAGTCTTACCGGGCGTCCTTTATGGCTGCGAAACATTGAGTAACCTCAAATCCTGTGATATAACGACGCTAAATTGTTTTCAACACTTCATTGTCAAACACAATTCAGCATTAAAAACTTCTACCAGATCTGATATGTGCGAGAGCATTATTGGGATTCATCCGATTATGAGTTTTATTCACAAAAGAAAACTGTTCTTTTTTCGACTATTTTCATTCCTCATAAACCCTCACCGCCGTCACTATGGATACATTCCTGATGTTTTTGACATTTTAAAAACATATGGACTTATTCAATATCTTACCGAATATATTGATACTGGGAGTTTTCCATCAAAAAGTCAATGGAAATCGATTGTTCACAAAACAGTTAACGAACAGCAGTCAGTCAACTGGTTAAACCGTATTGCGTTAAATGACAATTTTATACGTTTTAAAAATATTCCCAACACAGTTTCTATGACCAACTTCTGGAAAAAAGCACAATCGTTTGCAGATACTAGTATACGAAATTCCTATTTTATCACAAAACTGTTAACTGATATACCAAATTCATCTGGAAATAAGTGCGTCGCATGCAAAAACTACTTTGATGATGTCTATGTACATGCATGTTGTTCTTGCAGTTGTACTACAGAGCTGTGTGAATTGTGGTGGAATATGATTATTGAGAATTTTTCACTACAACTGTATTGCGAACTAAGTGAATATGATGATGAGGATGTGTATCAACTTTTACTAGGACGAAATCCATTAAATGTCATTGCCGAACATTCGGAGTTTGAGAAGCTTTGCCACGCCCATGTTGTTCAATGCGTAGCAACATATGGACGTTGTGTCAGGTTAGGCAATACATGATATGTCATCATTCAAGACTGCATAAGGACTTTATGCCGAATGACTAAAGTGTATATTTTTCTGTATATGTAAAAAAAAATTTTTTTTGATCTGTTCCTATTTCGTTTATTCTTTTTGATGTGTGATATTTAGTTAATTTTGTGTATTCATTATGTCTCAATCATGAGGAAATAAAGACATGAATGAATGAATGAATGAATGAATGAATGAATGAATGAATGAATGTATTCATTATGTCTCAATCATGAGGAAATAAAGACATGAATGAATGAATGAATGAATGAATGAATGAATGAATGAACGAACGAACGAACGAACATTGCAGGTTACAAACCTATAACATTCCATTACATTCCAGTAAACTTTAGGAAAATTCAACTAATGTGCTTTCCCACATGGTTATTTCCAGACAAATTCTTGAAAATTTTCCCAATTATATTTCTTTGCAAAATTATTAAAATCAACCTGTACCTTAACTTCGTGGATACCAACATTGCGTAGAATAGTTAAGGCAAACTTAAAGCTATTGAGGGAAAGGGAACATTATCATTTTTCACCTGAGGAAAATTGTGGAATTCCAAGTAGAGTTTGCATATTTACAGATATGCAACACTTAGGTGAAGTGTAATTGGGCCTAGCATATTTATATCTAGGAAATTGAGAGGAAAATATCGTTATAATAAAAATAATGATAACAACAAGGAGAAAAATGACAATCGGTAACGTTTTTTGTTCGGGGTGGCATGAGCAATACTATCATTCAATCGATCTATCAATGACTATATTATGATTTTATTCTATCGATGTTGTACTGAGTAATTGCAGGAATATGATTGTTTTGTTTATCATCTCCTCAAGACCTCGATGATAATTATTGCGAAGTTTTAAATTCCAACTTTGTTCTTATGGAGTGCCTGTAACGTTACAGTGTTTCATCATGTATCATATTTGGAGGGTTGAAGGGAGTGGGCTCTTCAAAACATGTTTAACTCCGCCTCTGTTGTGCCTGAGGTCCGTTAAAAAGTGGTTGTCTTTAGTTGCTGTTTGTCATATATGTTTTTCGGTTATTGTTTAAATCAGGCCGTTGATTTTATCCTTTGAATAAACGACTCTCGAATTCGTGCAATTTCCAGTAAATTTCCTTCGTCACAATGATTATGTTATTACGTCACAGTAAGAACCGATTGTTCGATGACGTCGTTTATGCCGATTGACCTCGGTTCAACTGGTGTAACTCATTCATAAAAAACAACTCGAGATTGGTGTATATGTGTGTAATATTTGATGCTGTATGTTAGTCATCAATCCTTACCATTTAAGATTTCGACTCTACCCTTTCACAAGTGTATAGATCAAGCGCCCTAATTGTTTCCTTCGTCCCTTTATCTATTAATTCTGATATTAGTTTTCTGGGAACGGTAACCCCTCTGTTTACTTTATATTGATTGATATAACAGACTTTTTTAAGCAGTAGTAACCTCCCTTGTAAAATCGATATTACATATATATACCAATATATATTAATCATCTCCATTTAAATATATTTTGATGAATACTTAAACTTATTGATACATTTATTACTAGAATTTAACAAATTTATTTCTTACTGCAGATGAAAATAAGATATTTTGAAAGCATTTTCTTCATATACGAATGGACGCAAATATACAGGAACCCGGAAAGGCTTTCCATATGAGGGTTTTTCCCTAAGCCTTAAATATGTCAACTGTCATATTGCAAAGCCAAATATAGCCAGCTTGTGTGTGTCACCTCTATTTCGGAGTTTAAAGTTGCTTATTTTGTGCTTTTATATGCCACAAGATGTATTTTTTCCCATTTGATTTAATATTGTTTACATACATATTTGTAATTTTTTTATAACATTATGTTGGTGGACAAATAGTTTTTATTTAACTGCAGTTGCAAATTGCTTGAATATTGAGCAGAGTTCTGAGAGGTGCATGTGTGAAGAAACAAAAATACACAAACATTTTTTGAAAAAAAAATAAAGAAATATAAGTATTATGTATGTTGTAATCTACAGTCTTAATTTTTCATTGAATTAAATGTCTATTACTTAATCTTTAGCACACAGTATTTCGGTCTTTATCATGGTCATATTTTACTGCTTTTTGTGTATTGCCTTTCAATCTGTGATTTTTGTTTTAATTCTAAAGCAAGTCTGCTTGATAAAACTATGGAAATAAACTGTTTTTATCACTCTAAAGGAAAATATAATATCTCGGTAGCTATAGTGCGTTATCTCTTGGCCGTTTGTATAGTTGCTTTGTGATAAGTAAAGTATGACCAATCGACGACAATTTTATGGTTGACCGTTGTCACTGCGCCCGTCTATCAGTCGGCGTAACTAATTCAATATGCGTTAAGAGATTTATTTCAAAATTAACGACGTTAGAAAGGATGGTGTTCAATAAGTGTTTCAACTTTTTGGCGATTTTCACTCTTTTTATGTCAACGAACATAAACCTTTGAAAAATGAAAAATAAGGAATTTACACACCGTTTTGTTCTTTTTATACACTCTATTAAATCAACTACTATCTCACATGTATAGGTGGGATGGGTATATGATAAGGTACATGCACAAATGTTATTCATTTTATTGAACTTTATTTCTTTTGCAGGAGTATCTCGGAAAAATCATCGGCTGTTAAATTGCCGTTACGGCTTGTCCTATCCAATATTTCACATTACAAACTGTGGTAAAAATAAAAAGTTCAGCATAAGTTCTTGGGGATTCCAACATGCAGATAAGTAAGATATGTTACATGATATAAGTTAAATATATTTAAATATTACGATTAATTAAAATTTCACAATTTCTTGACATAAAGCGGATTATATAAATAGCCTTAACCAAATCCTTATCATTAAACATGATACCCCACCGACGTTTTATTACTCATTTGATTTTTCTGTAATTATATTGCTTCCAGTTGATTCCTATATAGTATAAAGACATCAATTTCCTTATCTATGACAAGAATATTTAAAAAAGAAAAACACGACAGACTAATTTTGTCATGATATTATCATAATCATTCAATTCCAAATTGTTTAAACTCATTGTTTTGAATTATAGAGCAACGTATTTTACACAAATACATTGAACAGTTGTTTAACCTATTGAACGCCGGGTTACTTATTCTCAATATTCATATAAAAGTTTTTATTCCACTGTTTAAACATATTGATAGTTTAATCAATATTTGATTGGTTGAGACTATCCCACGTGTCATTGAACAAATCTTCATATTCCATTCTGAGGATCATATTCCCCTCTGAAATGTCGGGATTACTTCGTGCGACGTTACGCGCGGTTAATGAACATAACGTTTTGAACTTCCTATTCTTCTTAAAATAGTGATAGCAAAAATCATTATCATGTTCAAATTTATTTCAGACGATAAAACAAAAAGACTTATAATTAAATTTTGATCCTTACTGTTTATCAATGGGTATGTCGTGTTTAGTTTGACTTACAAAAACAAGCGGATAAGAAAAAAAAAAGTATGCAAAATAATATTTAATGTATTGATAGCAAACAAAGCATAGGCAGTGGAATAAAACATTCATTTCCCTTTGCCTCGGGAGATATGAAGATTTGCTCACCCTCGAAAAATCATATTTCCCTCGGGCAGAGCCCTCGTGAAATATGAATATTCTTGGGTGAACAAATCTTCATATCTCCCTCCGGCACGGGAAATAAATGTATAGTATCGTATTATTTTACCGTGATTTTAATCTAGAATTTCATGTTCACTTAGTGAATCATAAAGCTCCAACCCTGAACTACGTATTCAGAAGAATTTTTATAACAATATTAGTATCAATTAAAGTCTTTCCGCCTACCAAACCGATTTTTTTATTGTTTTAATTTAAATTTCTATCATTTTAAAATTTCGTCAAATCGAAAATGCATGAAATATCAAAATGATCTTTTGTATCAAGTATCGAACCTACATAAACTATTTGAAATCGACCCTTGCAGACTGAACTATCTTTCAAGACGGTGTTATCTCCCCGCAAGCCGAAAGCTTTCTTATAGGCTTTACAGAAGTAAACTAGAGAAAAACCGAAGGGTGGGAAATATTCTTTGGTAGTTCAATACATTTGATTTTAACAATTCAAAAGAGTCATAAAGGATATAACACCGCAAAAAATCTGAATCGACTCCGTCGAACTTCATTACTGAATAGCCGACAGTCTTCTGGACGCCAAAACTTTGACATCGCGGCCTTTACACCAAAGATCTTGTTTTGGTAAAGAACCATCAATTTGGGCCCGGTCACATAGAAAGTAGTACACGATTTAACAAAATGTTTAAAATATATAATTATTATAGCTGTCACTTTGTTAATAAGTAAAATATTTGGGTAACTATGGTATCAAATGAATGCTTAAGGACTTTGGATCACTGTAGAACCCTTGCTGAAGGTTTGTCTTAAATAATAAAACAAATATGTGAAATTGAAATAGGAGGGCATATTTGCTTTGTTGCTCAAATTACAGTACTGTCATTGGTCTACCAAACTTTCCTGAATCAGTGTGCTCTAATATGCAATTAAATGTATGTTGAATTTTCAGCACAAATCAGGATAAGGTATAGTTTTGACATGAAATGACTGTCACTTTAATTGAACTTAAGACAAAATAGCTGTAAATGCTTGAAATTGCAGAATTTAACATACAAACCAAGGGCTATGAATCAGTTGTTTTATACCTCGTAGGATAAATTAGTAACAATTACTTAATGTCATGTGGTCTCTGGTGGAGAGTTGTCTCATTGGCAATCATACCACATCTTCTCATCTTATACTGAGTAAAAGTGGTAAAGTCCATGGGAGATAATTCCCATATTCAGTTATAAAGAAATATTGTAAGTGACAATGGCTCGGAAAATATTCTTCGTAACAATTATTCCATTTGACTCCTAAAACATGTGAACTTGATAAGATTAAAAGATGGAAGGCCAAGTAGTACACCAAGCATGGACATTTTTATATGTCAGAAACTGTAGCCGATACCAAACAAAACAGATAAAGGATGAAAAATGTTAGTGACATCAACTTCATTTTGTATAACGGTAAAGATACGCCTGGTAAAAAAACAGTATATTTTTGGATTTTGCATAGAGCATGACCTATCACATGTAATAATTTTCAACAAAATGGGAAACTTTCGGTTCCGTAAATTCCCTTCAAGTTCGAATGCAATCATACATTTTTGGATTGATTAGGGCAAAAACTTGTTTAAATCGAAACGGTTCATTTTTACATAGGGCTATGCTCGACACAGGAATGGACTTTTTTTCAGAGAAGAATTGACTTATTATATGTGTTTATTGTTATTTTCTTTTATTTAGGTTAACTATAACATGTACTGCTGAAAACGGAGGTTTCCTAAAATATATCGATAGGGAAAATTATGACCATGAGATAACTGTCAGACTCAAAGGCAAAACAGTTCAAAGTAGCTTAATCTTCCGATGGGATTATATAAAACCATACCAAGAATGTATAAAGGGAAGTAAAACAGATTGTAACCAACCACCAGTTGATTGCAAGGACTTATCTAAACAGGTTTGCAGAGGAAACTCATCTATAAAGTGGTTAACTGTAATGTCATGCGGCAATTCCATTTAATTGTATTTGCCTGTTTGTCTGGTTTGATATTAATATTGGGAAGGAAATTTATTCTTTTATAATAACTGTCAAATTTTCTTAACACGACAGCATCATACATATCATTACCGAATATGTTGTTAAACAGTTTTAAAAGATGTTTTCATCTACAACTTGGATAATTAAGGTACACTCTTATACAACTAATTCAACAGTAATTGTGACTCCGCAAAAAGAAAGAACTTTACAAGTTATCTTAAATAGTTTAAGCCATTGAGAAAATTTTCTATAGATATTTGCTAAACATTCAATTTCGATCTTGAAACCTATTAATCCGTTATTTTAATATTATAAAGAGGTCGAGACAGTGCTCTTCCATTGTCAATGTCAAATCCGCAAAAACCAAACTCAATCTATGTAATAGCTCGTAACATTTTGTATAAAATGGTTAGATACCCTTAGTTATCACTGAAAATCGAATTATCTTTTTTTCATTAGTATAATATTATAAGAGGAAATGAGTTTTGAAAGGAAGACGTCATATACCAATATCGAACCAGGTGCGCTAGATATTTATATGTTAGAGCAATATTAGCTCTAAAGCTTCGCAGATGATAACGGATATGTTCCAATTGTGGTAACTACAATCCCGTCCCCCTTTCCCCGAATGTGACTTACCGAATTAGACTTATTACCGGGTTTGTACTAACATGAGCAACACGACGGGTGCCACATGTGGAGCAGGATCTGTTTACCCTTCCGGAGCACCTGAGATCACCCCCAGTTTTTGGTGGGGTTCGTGTTGCTCAGTCTTTAGTTTTCTATGTTGTGTTTTGTGTATGGTTGTTTATCTATTTGTCTTTTTCTTTATTAGCCATGGCGTTGTCAGTTTAATTTTGACTTATTAGTTTGAATGTCCCTTTGGTATATTTCGCCTCTCTTTTCCATGCACTTATTCCTTTTTTTTCTATGACTTGACTTGATGAAGATTAGTTCAGAAGTAATGCCTAGCAAAGACGGCCGGGGATGCTATTAGTTCTGCTACACATCATATGTGGAACAATATTAGAGGAATCACTTTATTAAATATCACCATAGTTTAACTAATCCCAGCCGAAATTAATTTGGTCCACATTCATAGAACATATATAAAACATGCTGACTGAATATCGTTGATTTGGAGTGTTTAAACTAAACTGCATGGGAAGGAATGCAACTCAGAAGGTAAACGATTTATTTCACACATCGTCATGTAGTGTGACAACGATTTCGGAAATATGTTTTACACATAAATTATTGTAAATAGTATCAGCACGTTAACGTTTGTATTTAGTTTCCAAATATTTCGCCCTCGAGCATCATTTAAGAGACATTATTCATCGTATTGGTAATACACTACAGCAAACTAGGCCCAGTTACAATATTATAAATTGAGTTTGTGTTTCACAACGTTTAGCTTTGTTTTGTGGACTGTTGATTTACTTTTTCTTCGTTTTTCCCCTTTTTAACCGTAGTATTGTCATAATTGTTTTACTAATAGTTTTGCACTCTTTTATATTTAACGAAAGCAAGACTGGATTTAAAAGAATTTAACGTTAAATGTGGTTTGTTTAAAATTTTATTCGACCATAGAGACTTCCATTAAAGAACATATTTCCGCATTGCTGGTACTCATATTTATCGATATTATCAATGGCTGATAAATGAGAAATGCATTCACATTAGAGCCTCGAAAATGTTTATCACAACCAGTCAATAATAATAATTATACATCAATTTCATTGTGATTAGAGACATGAATTAATGTTTGCATGTATTTATTAAGTCTCCCAAACGAAGTTTGGGAAGACTTATTGGTTTTGCTCAGTTCTTCTTCTTCTTCTTCTTCTTCTTCTTCTTCTTCTTCTTCCGCCGCTTTTAAATTTGAACTTGTCCGCACCCGTTCTCCAAAACCGCTTGTTAGATTTACTTAGGGTTTCACAATATGTTAGACTAACATGTCTAGTGGTGCAATCAGGGTTTTGTTTGTGCAATGGGGTTTATAAAGGGGTACTTTGAGGGGCAAAAAGAAAAGAGGGTTTTACTATAGAACCCTATGGGATTTTATTTTTAAAAATTTTCAAATGAGTATAAATTGAAAACCGTTTGTGATAGACACAATCTTTTTAATTGAAAATGTTCTAAATGATAAAGCCCATTAAATGAAATACAGGGTTAGTCCCCAGGGGTCACCCCACCCCCTGCCATTTAAAAAAAGTTCTAATACCTTGTAAGTGGTCAAGATCCCCACCCCTAAACCATATATATTCTGGTTTTTCATGATAAAGCACATCAAATGTAATACAGGGTTAGTCCCCAGGGGTCACCCCCACCCCATGCCATTTAAAAAAGTTCTAATATCTTGTAAGTGGTCAAGATCCCCACCCCTAAACCATATATATTCTGGTTTGTCATGATAAAGCACATCAAATGAAATACAGGGTTAGTCCCCATGGGTCACCCCCACCCCATGCCATTTAAGAAAGTTCTAATATCTTGTAAGTGGTCAAGATCCCCACCCCTAAACCATATATATTCTGGTTTGTCATGCTAAGATGGTTTGAATGATATACAGGGTTGTCCCCAGGGGTCATCCCGACCCCCTGCCATTTGAGAAAGTTCTAATATCTTGTAAGTGGTCAAGATCCCCACCCCTAAACCATATATATTCTGGTTTTTAATGCTAAGATGGTTTGAAATGTTATACAGGGTTAGTCCCCAGGGGTCATCACGACCCCCTGCCATTTGAGAAAGTTCTAATATCTTGTAAATGGTTGAGATCCCCACCCCTAAACCATATATATTCTGGTTTGTCATGCCAAGATGATTTGAATGATATACAGGGTTAGTCCCCAGGCATCACTTATGCATATAACTTTACTGGACCAAACCAATTTTCACTGGACTTTGCCCAATGTCAGGCGACCCTGGGAATTACGAATTATGGGAGCTTCGTTTGGGAGACTTCGTAACAGCATCCTGTTACAATCATTTCTTGTTACTTTTGTTTTTATCATTACATGTTAGCCAGACATAAAAGTGGAATGGGGAGGATGGAAAGATGATCTTTCAGGCATAGACCATTTTGAACTTGAATTGTACGAGTTAGTGTCTACTGGAAGACAGTTGGATCATATAATTGGACCAGCTGTCCATCGTAACGAGAAAATATCAGTCCAAATTTCGGAGGTATGATGCACACTTTTCTTCTCATACATATTCATGACAGTGACTATTTATTCACATAGACGTAAAATTATTCATGTGCACTTTCTTTGTTAGGTTGTATACCAGTGAATGTGTTCTCCAGTAATTACTCTAAAAATTGTTATTGAAAGTGATACAAAGATGTCCCTACTGAGTGCTTTGCAAAAAGTAAAATAACAAAAATACTGAACTCCAAGGAAAATTCAAATCTGAAAGTCCATTATCAAATGGCAAAATCAAAAGCTCAAACAAATCAAACGAAAGGAAAACAAATGTCATCTTCCTAACTTGGTACAGGCATTTCCTTATGTAGAAAATGGTGGATTAAACCTGGTTTTATAGCTAGCTAAACCGTTCACATGTATGACAGTCGCATAAAATTCCAAGTGATAGATTCAGTGTATTTCAAACCTGTGCTATTTTCGTTATGATTTTCAATTTTGACATACTAGCATATTCACAGTATTACAGCTCAATGTCTGTAGTATGAAGTTTTAACAATAATATAGGGTTTTTTTTCAAAACAGAAAATTTATTATCGCCTTAAGATGGCTCAAAACCGCAGTTTTCTATGTTGTGTTTTGTAAACTGTTGTTTGTCTTTTCGTCGTTTTTTTGGCATGGCATTGTCAGTTTGTTTTTGACTTGCGTTTTGAGTTTGAATATCTATTTGATATCTTTCGCATCTCTTTTCGTTCACCCCAAGTTTTTGTTAGGGTTCGTTTTGCTCTTTTTATAGTTTTTTATACGGAGTCTAACGACCATGTTTGTCTTTTCGTCGTCTTTCGTTATCGTTGCAAGGCGTTGTCAGTTTCTCTTGACTTATGAGCCTCTTTTTGTACATTGTGGCAAGTCGGAAAACTTACAAACGATACTTTAATAAGCCAACTCTTACTCAAATGAAAAATTGGGAACAATTAAACAAAGGTAACAAAAGTACCTATCGTTCAGTCGGGAAACCCTCCCCTGTATATACTGATACGTTCTGTCTTTTTTTTCTTTAATACACTTAGACAATATTTACATACAATAACAATACAATAGTAATTATGTAATGTTTATCAAATGTCTATGTATACACATTGGCTAAGTAGAAGAGGGGCGAAAGATACCAAAGGGACATTCAAACTCATAAGTCGAAAATAACTGACAACGCCATGGCTAAAAAAGAAAAAGACAAACAGGCTAACAATAGTACACAAAACACAACAAAGAACTGAGCAACACGAACCCCACCAAAAACTGGGGGTTATCTCAGTGATTATTCACTGCCTAGCCTGACAAATTCAAGCCTATACAAACCTACGGGCTTCCCTGTTATTGAATCGTATGTTGACCTCTTGATATCTTTTTCGAGGTTATTGTGTTGTTGGGTTATTGCCATACATATTTATATCTATTCCATTTTAGCAAATTATAAATCTGCCGAAACCGGGTATGTATTCCATGATACTGACATCGATTGACAGAGCAGGAAACCACCTGTCAGCAAGATGTCTCGTTTTGTATGATGATAGATCTGTCGTTGACATCAAACATACAAAAAGAATCAAAGTTAATGAGGCTTCAGCGAAAACTAACTATACATGGGTGTCAGTTGATGATTTGAAAATATCTGTTACATGGAAAGATCGTTTTTTAAATGAGAGACATGAAAAGCACGGCTGGTTGTACGGAGTGGGAACTTATGTAGGCGTTCAAGAGGAGTACGATGATTTATATGGACCTCGAAATGTCTTTCCTATTGAAAATATACATGGTATGTAAGTGGATGGTTGCATATTCAGTATCGTTTAAGTAAATTTCAATCATCAATCATTTTATTTAATGTTTACCACTAAATAACCATAACTTGTTGGAAAATAATAACACAAAAAATAAATAAATATTTGCTCTTTTCTTTGACAATAAGTCAGATCAAACAAACCTTATTCTGACCTAAACGTTTTAGGCAAATACCTCGATAATATATATATATATATATATATATATATATATATATATATATGTGCAAAAATACCATACTACAAAAATGTAAATTTGTGGTTATGAATATAAAAAGTGTGGCTTCCTATTTAATCTTATTATTGATTTAAAGACCGATATAAAAAAAAATGTTGCATTAAGATAACATATTGACTTAGTGAGTTTTAAATAAGATTATTGAATCATCAGTTTTCTGACTTAGTTTTCTATTGGTTTTACACTGAGTTTTTTTCACTGAACATTGCCATGACCATGAAGTAAAATGCATATGATCAAACAAAAAGTATGCAGTCACTATTAATATTTTTAATTGATATGCCTACATAAACTTGACACTATCACACCATACAATATGTACCTTACACCATTACACATATACCGTACACATTACACATGTACCGAACTCCATTACATCATACAACTTGTACCGTACACTATTACACCCTACTGTGGCATACGACATGAACCGTACACCATTACACCATTACACAATTAAACATGTACCGTATTCCATTACACCATTAAACATGTACCGTACATGAATTTTGAATAAACGGCAACAAAAGCGGATCTTTGTTCAATTATCGTTTTCATATTTTGAAAATAAAACTTTAAGGAGAAAAATCCAAGGCAATCGGATGAACTCCAAATGAAACAAGACTCAGTGTGTCGACAGGGCAAGCATCTCCCGTTATGTATGCATCACCCTAGTCCACACTCAGTCAAAGAGAGAATGACGAAAAATGTCACGATAGGGCATATGACATATTCGGTAATTTGGAAGATCAGTCAACATTTATGATTTTGTAAGATAATGTCTTAACTTTGCATCCAATGATGATATAACAATTCAATTTTCTTTTTTTTTCTTACAGGAATTGTAAAATTTGAAATTAAGTATGAAGTATATGGACCATATCTAAAAGAAAACCAAAGTTTCACACAAACAGCAAATGTATTAAATCAAGCTGAATATTTGAATATAACTTGGGAAGATGGATATAGACTTGATATCACCGTTAAAGCCCTTGACATTTTAGATATTTACAAGGATGATATAATATCAGTTTATAAAGATGTTAGTTCGCCATTAATACAAAACTTATGGTTAACTAAGGGAGACCGAGTGAATATATCAGTACATAGTATGGAAGATTTCTCTAAAATGACGTGAGTATTGTCACATTTATTACGTTTTAAAACATTATTACTACGAAAAGTGTACAATTAGATCATAATTCATCTGTTTAAAAAGACGAAACTATAAGGAAATGTGTAAGGATTCAAAGCTTCGTTGTTGTTTTTATTCTTTTAAAATCACAAGTATTGGTTTTATCTTGCGATAAATTATGAACTGCCTTGCTTAATCAAAATTTGTAAAATGGTCAATTTTGAATTGCAATAAAACAAAAACAGAGTTTTGATCTTTGATTCTGAACAGTAGGAAATTGTATACATTTAAAAGAGTAGGAGAGTGGCATCTATTGACAGTGAGAATAAATGCAGGTTGGTGATGCAGTCGTTTTTGAATTCTTTGATTTGAGTATTTTTTGGTTACCAAGACTAATGTTGCTGCAATTAGAATTTTAAACGTTATATTTACCCTTCTACATAACATTTACTGTGTTCATTGTTAAAAAATATATATACTGTATTTAAATCGTAATCTTAGTCTGCTTTATCGTTTGATGAGATTAGAATATCGGTAAGCTACTGTTGCCTTAATTTATCTTTCCCGGTCAATAGCATAGAATGGGAAGCATTTGATTATGCCAGTGGTTTGGACCAAGTGGAATGGAGACTTTATAATAATTATACTGGGATAGAAGAACATGGTAAAGCAACACCTACGGCGCAGGGTGAGGCCAAGGTAGGCATGAAACAAAAAGTTGAATTCCATATCATATTACTGAATGCACTCTTACGAATTAGCTGACATTTTAGATTTTTTTTTAATGAAACATCGCTTCCAGCTATCGCCTTTCTAAATTTAGATGTGAAATGATTTAACTTGTTAATTTGAATACAATTTAAGAACCAATTAAAATGCATTAACGTACGATAGAAAAAGTATATTCTGACATTCTAAAATTATGTAACAAAACTGTATGTGTGTTTATGTATATTTTATTCGATTGTATGTAACAGACATTGGAGGACTGCATCAAAAAGTATGGTTCAGCACCAAGAGGCCCATCCTGTTACTGTACAATGTTTCATGGTTGCTATCACAAACATTTTCAAATAAGACCAAATATTATTAAGGATTCAGGAATCACTCCTGGGAAGGAGATTGGGTTGCATGATTCTGATTACTTCATTGAAGTGACTGTTACAAACAAAGCCTTATTAAAGACGAAGAAGACAATTCAAGTAAGTCTTTACATGTCGACTTTAATGGACAAAACAGATCAATTCTAAAACTTAATTCATTCTGGTTTTATCAGGTAATCAATACAGGTTGGTTCTAATATTTTCATTTCTATAGTGAGGTGTTGTAGACATTACCGATTGGAACTACAATTCTGTAATATAATTTGAATATCAAATGAGTTCAACTAAGTCAAATGTTATCGCTTGTTTTTTAGAGAATTTTGTTATTTGTGGCAATCTAGTGTTAGTATAATTAAATTGTCTATGTGCTCATAATATTTACCTCACTCTGTAGTAAATGGATTATGAAGCATTACTTGCTATAAATATCCAATGTACATTTTTTTATGATTGACACATGTTTTGCTCCAGAAGTCCTGAAAATATCATTGTTCGTATTAGAGTAAGGAATAAATGTGATATAAAAATACCTACCACGTATGAAATGTTGATGTTAAAATATATTGGAGAAGATTTGCAGACTTCAAATGGACTATGATTTCAAAAAAATATATAAATTTGTTTTAATTCGGAAATAATCAATGCCATTGTATATACAAAAATCCTAATTTAAAAGACAGACGGCCTTGTTTAAGTATTTTTCTCTCGGATTTGGGATTAAAACAACAAAAACAGACATTATATTTCATGTCGGTGCCTTTTATGACCGACCATACGGTATGGGATTTTCTCATTTTTAAAGGTCACACGGTTGACTATAATTGCTTGAAACCACTTTATTTGAACTTTGGCGGATAATTGTCTCATTGACAATCATACCACATCTCCTTATATTTATATTACTAGTAGCAAAATGCCTGTATTCAAATACCTTTGGTTTTTATACATCCCGCCATTGTGTTTGTAATTTTTGCTTATTTGCCTTGTCTATAGAGTGTCAATATAACATTGGTTTATTCTGGCTATTCCTACATTTTAAATTTTTATTGGCTACATAGTAAAATTTTATGTTGGAGATCCCAGAATTTTTATGCTAACAATGGGATTATGTAGGATTATGTTGTAACAACACTAAACTAATGAACCAAGGTAAATCCAGGTAAATCTTGTGGGAAAAAAAAGAAAAAGAATAGTTCATATTACAATATTTTATTTAATAAATTCTTAGCGCATTTTGTGTAAATAATATTAAAAAGCACAATATGAATTTATAGGCACAATGTTATTCACAAGAAACTGAAATTATTTAGGTGAAAAGTTAAAATATATACAAGTAAATAATATCAATTGATATAAATATATTAAAATTATTCTAATTATTCTTTGAAACAAAGCACTAAATTTTGAGTTACACTACATATTCATTGAAACAAAGCACCGAAAAGTACACTAAATTGACATTAAAACATGGACTAACAAAGTTATACATTGCACTAAATTGAATACACAAGAGAATACAAAGTCTTAATCAATGTGCAGGAGATGTGAAGCAGCATCTCCATACGGGACTGGCGTAAGTTCATCATTCTCTGACCTTGTTTTTCAGTGTTTGAAGTCTGTCATCTATTTCTCTGTATTTTCTCTTTCTTGGAACACGTTTCGCACCGGATCTGTAATGGATAAGTGTGAGAGTATGGAAGACTTGTCTCAACAGCTTGATCATGCTGAAGATGTTAGGGTGAGGTGCCTTGACTGACTTACGCCAGTCCCGTATGGAGATGCTGCTTCGGTGCTTTGTTTCAATGAATATGTAGTGCCAACCTTCTAAATTATGTGTTGTTCTAGGACCTTTGCATAGTTATTCCATAGACTTTGATTGTTTCTACCCATTAGCCTGTTACATAGTCTGTGAAGTTGAGAGTGGTGTATCAGTATCTGCAGCATCAATGTCCTCTGGTGCGTTAAACCAAACATCTTCGACTGTGTTGGGTGGTGAAAGTGGCAGAACTGCAGCTAAAAGATGGTGAATGTCGCCTTTTTCACTGTGTGCAGTCTGCAAACCATGATTCTGTGCATTTCTCTAGATACACTAAGTGTAGTGAAAAAAATCACCCTTTAATGAAGGTTCCTGGGAAGATTGACGTGGCTGCGTTTCTGATGGCTATTTCGAAGTCGAGGAAAATTGTGGCTGGTTGTAGTAGTTTGTTGAATTGGTTACATAGATCTTAAAGAATAGTGGGTAGCCTTGTGTATATTTGCTGATCTTACCGGGTAGGAGACTGGAAACCAGTGGAAACATGGTAACATCAACTTTAGCATGGATAGTGTATAGCTGGTAGAACATACATAGAAAGTTTCATCACAGTAGATGGTGTCTGCTGCTGCTTGATGTTTCCCTTGGATACTGAATACAAGCATTCGACCATTGGTGTTATAATCTGCAAGTCGGAAATGTTGTCCAGTAGTAGTTTCAGTCCATTCACCATCTACTGTGATGTCTGCTTCCAATGTTGGTAGTGCAGGTAATGTCTTGTGTCTCTCGTTGTAAAGCTGGTCTTTGCATGAGGATAAGGTTGGTATGTGTTCAACTAGTTGGTGTGTGTCATCATTCTATTCCCGGTCACGGAGTTTTACTAATTATTCTTCATAGATAGTTGGAATTGCAGTGGTTTCATCTTTATTATGGGATATCATACGTTCTAGTACATCGTTTACACTGAGTTTCATTCTGTCTGAGTGTTCATTGTTGTTAGCATCCACTTTGGTTGGTTTGTTGTGTGTGTGTTGAAAGTGGCAGGGCAGTTACTGGTAGTGCAATTTCAATGACATCTCCACGATTTTATATGGAACTTATAGGAATTGTGTACTAAGTTCTGAATGCCTAATCTATTTGTAATAAACCTGATATATAACTGTGCATTAGCCATGATGAACTTAGAATGAACACCACAGGAAAAATCTTTATAAAAATGCTTACTTGTTTGGGATAGCTTGCTTAATCTATTAGGCCAATTAATGCACTTATCTATAATAATTAATTACTTTTGACAGTACTTTTGATATTATATTCATTTTAAAAAATCATAATTTATTCATAAAATGAAATTGATGTATTCTTTGAAGCTTAAGTTGAAAGTGTTGGTTACTAAATGCTTTAACTACCTTTTCTTTTAAATAATTTTATTTTCAAGAAATTTAATATTCGAAACACTTAATTAAAACACTTGATACTTGATACATGTTTTCAACAACAAAAAAAAACGTTTTTTGCATGAATTTCTTATAAATCATTTTTTTTTAAATTTCCACAGATAAATTTCCCTGAGACTTAATAGACACTAATGACTAAAACATCATATTTTGCCAATAACAACATCTATAGTTCTTCCCATAATCTCCATTGTAGAAATAGCCAGAATAGTAAAATACAAAATGTAGGAATAGTCATAATATTTTGTTTTTCTTTGTTGACATACTTTTTGTTTATAAAATGATTAAGATCATAACACATTGTTGACTGCTGTGCCCCAATTTTTGACATTTTTACCTATCATGTCTGTTTGTTTTGCTCATACAGTACTTGCAACCTTAGGCGTTACTGTTTTAGCGATCAGTCAGCGGTCATCGATCAGTCACCGATCAGTCAAGTTCGCGTCAAACTCACGTCACCAATCCGTCAGACTTATAGTAAAAATATTTGACTGATCGGACGGATCTGACGGATCGGACCGATAGACCTTTCTGACGGATTGAACTCTACTACGTCACATGATGAACTAATAAAAATTACGGAATCTTAGTTTCGTTTCATTTAATTAAAATGGCGGCCCCGAAAATACGAAACGTTCAAGTACAAAAGATCAACTTTTTTTAGTTATTATTCAGCAAAGTTTTAAGAATTTACAAAGAAAAGAAATATGCAAATAAAACTGATTTTAAATATTATTATAAAAGAATGGTGATTTTCGTTTTTATTTAGGTTATATATTTTCATACCCGAAGACTGCTAAAAACGATTTTTATCGCGATGGGGATTTTTTCCCCGAAAATGCTCCATTAAAATAAAGAAATGATAGCATTCTAATTCAACAAAACAAAACTTTATGCATATTTATCCTTCAATTATTCACATTTTATACAAAATTACTTATCTAAAGGCATTTATAATGACTGATTGCAATTGACGTTCCATTATTTCTGATAAAAAAGAAGAATTATTAGCATTTTTAAGCAACACAAACAAAAAATTAGTATCTTTTCCCTGAAATTCAGCATAATATTTGAAAAACAACCAATCCTGATGTACAAAAAGTACTGAAATCAAATGGCGGTTCATAATCTCTATCAAAATAAAATATTATTGTATATGTTTTCAACAAAAACAAAAGTTTAAGTATTAATCTACTTTCACTATTAAAATTCTTATAAAAAAACTTATCTCGAGGCCTTTGAAATAACTATTTACAAATAACATTGCATTTTTTGTTATCATAAAAAGAAAAATTGGTAATTTTAAACAATGCGAACAACATTTTAGTATATTTTCTCTGATATTCTTTTAATTTTATGAAAAACAACCAAACCTGAACTACAAAAAGTACAAAATCCAATGGTGGTCAATAATTTCCATTAAAATAAAGAAATGATAGCATTCTTATTCAACAAAAACAAAAGTTTATGCATATTTATCCTTCAATTATTCACATTTTATACAAAATTACCTATCTAAAGGCATTTATAATGACTGATTGCAACTGACGTTGCATTATTTCTGATATAAAGAAAGAAATATTTGCATATGTAAGCAATGCGAACAAATATTTAGTATCTTTTCCCTGAAATTCAGCATATTTTTTGAAAAACAACCAATCCTGATGTACAAAAAAGACTGAAATCAAATTGCGGTTCATAATCTCTATCAAAATAAAAATATTATTGTATATGTTTTCAACAAAAACAAAAGTATAAGTATTATTCTACTTTCATTATTAAAATTCTTATAAAAAAACTTATCTCGAGGCCTTTGAATTAACTAGTTACAAATAACATTGCATTTTTTGTTATCATAAAAAGAAAAATTGATAATATTAAACAATGCGAACAACATTTTAGTATATTTTCTCTGATATTCTTTTAATTTTATGAAAAACAACCAATCATGAACAACAAAAAGTACAAAATCCAATGGCAGTCAATAATTTCCATTCAAATAAAGAAATGATAGCATTCTAATTCAACAAAAACAAAAGTTTATTCATATTTATCCTTCAATTATTCACATTTTATACAAAATTACTTATCTAAAGGCATTTATAATGACTGATTGCAATTGACGTTCCATTATTTCTGATAAAAAAGAAGAATTATTAGCATTTTTAAGCAACACAAACAAAAATTTAGTATCTTTTCCCTGAAATTCAGCATAATATTTGAAAAACAACCAATCCTGATATATAAAAAGTACTGAAATCAAATGGCGGTTCATAATCTCTATGAAAATAAAATATTATTGTATATGTTTTCAACAAAAACAAAAATTTAAGTATTAATCTACTTTCACTATTAAAATTCTTATAAAAAAACTTATCTCGAGGCCTTTGAATTAACTAGTTACAAATAACATTGCATTTTTTGTTAACATAAAAAGAAAAATTGATAATATTAAACAATGTGAACAACATTTTAGTATATTTTCTCTGATATTCTTTTAATTTTATGAAAAACAACCAAACCTGAACTACAAAAAGTACAAAATCCAATGGCGGTCAATAATTTCCATTCAAATAAAGAAATGATAGCATTCTTATTCAACAAAAACAAAAGTTTATGCATATTTATCCTTCAATTATTCACATTTTATACAAAATTACCTATCTAAAGGCATTTATAATGACTGATTGCAACTGACGTTGCATTATTTCTGATATAAAGGAAGAAATATTTGCATTTTTAAGCAAGGCGAACAAAAATTTAGTATCTTTTTCCCTGAAATTCAGCATAATTTATGAAAAACAAACCAATCCTGATGTACAAAAAGTACTGAAATCATAATCTCTATCAAAATAAAGAAACTATTGTATATGTATTCAACACAAACAGAAATTTAAGTTTTATTCTTCTTACATTATTGAAATTCTTATAAAAAAACTTATCTCGAGGCCTTTGAAATAACTAGTTACAAATAACATTGCATGTTTTGTTACCATAAAAAGACAAATTGGTAATTTTAAACAATGCGAACAACATTTTAGTATATTTTCTCTGATATTCTTTTAATTTTATGAAAAACAACCAATCCTGAACTACAAAAAGTACAAAATCCAATAACAGTCAATAATTTCCATTAAAATAAAGAAATGATAGCATTCTTATTCAACAAAAACAAAAGTTTATGCATATTTATCCTTCAATTATTCACATTTTATACAAAATTACCTATCTAAAGGCATTTATAATGACTGATTGCAACTGACGTTGCATTATTTCTGATATAAAGGAAGAAATATTTGCATTTTTAAGCAATGCGAACAAAAATTTAGTATCTTTTCCCTGAAATTCAGCATATTTTTTGAAAAACAACCAATCCTGATGTACAAAAAGTACTGAAATCAAATGGCGGTTCATAATCTCTATCAAAATAAAAATATTATTGTATATGTTTTCAACAAAAACAAAAGTATATGTATTATTCTACTTTCATTATTAAAATTCTTATAAAAAAACTTATCTCGAGGCCTTTGAATTAACTAGTTACAAATAACATTGCATTTTTTGTTATCATAAAAAGAAAAATTGATAATATTAAACAATGCGAACAACATTTTAGTATATTTTCTCTGATATTCTTTTAATTTTATGAAAAACAACCAATCATGAACAACAAAAAGTACAAAATCCAATGGCGGTCAATAATTTCCATTAAAATAAAGAAATGATAGCATTCTAATTCAACAAAAACAAAAGTTTATTCATATTTATCCTTCAATTATTCACATTTTATACAAAATTACTTATCTAAAGGCATTTATAATGACTGATTGCAATTGACGTTCCATTATTTCTGATAAAAAAGAAGAATTATTAGCATTTTTAAGCAACACAAACAAAAAATTAGTATCTTTTCCCTGAAATTCAGCATAATATTTGAAAAACAACCAATCCTGATGTACAAAAAGTACTGAAATCAAATGGCGGTTCATAATCTCTATGAAAATAAAATATTATTGTATATGTTTTCAACAAAAACAAAAGTTTAAGTATTAATCTACTTTCACTATTAAAATTCTTATAAAAAAACTTATCTCGAGGCCTTTGAAATAACTATTTACAAATGACATTGCATTTTTTGTTATCATAAAAAGAAAAATTGGTAATTTTAAACAATGCGAACAACATTTTAGTATATTTTCTCTGATATTCTTTTAATTTTATGAAAAACAACCAAACCTGAACTACAAAAAGTACAAAATCCAATGGTGGTCAATAATTTCCATTAAAATAAAAAAATGATATCATTCTTATTCAACAAAAATAACATAATGGAATTCTATGCGACTGTCATACAAGTGAGAAGTTTAACTAGCTATAAAACCAAGTTAAATCCGGCATTTTCTACATAAGGTAATGTCTGTATGTACCAAGTCAGGATAATAAAGTTGTTTTTCATTTGTTTGATGTCTTTGAGCTTTTGATTTTGTCATTTGATGAGAAACTTTCCTTTTTGAATTTCCATAGAGTTATTGGAGGTATTTTTGTTATTTTACTATTTATATGTTTAGATTCTTTTTAGCATTTTAAATAATATTTATCTTAATGTCTTTCAATTGTTTCGTTATATAGTAATACTATTCAGTATGAGTGGAGATTATATGCATGTTTGCTTTCTTCTCCCCTCAGATGTTTATAGTTTATAGAGAATATATATATATGTCATGTGTGGTATATTTTACACTTTATTGACTGCCAATTAATTTTACGTCGAAGATGTGATTTCAGGTCATAATTTGATCCTTTTCCACAGAATTTAAATTCAACTTGGACAACGTTTTTATTTTTATTTTTATATGAAGGTTTTCAAGGCGATTTGGGGAGAAACCGAAAAAGTAATAGGTTATGACCTATGTTTATTATATTTTCTCATCAACTTGTCATACAGTTTTTCCGTAAACTGCAATGCAAGCTATTAAATTTTGAAAATTAAAGTATTGAATCGTAATAAAAACAAATCATACACATAAAGTATGCAAGGGTTAATATTGGAGCTTTCATTTACAATATGTTTACCAAATATTTTATACATTTTGTTGAGTTTCCATAATTTTATGAACTATTTAAGTTAAAACTAAAATATTAACTCGAATGTCTTCTTCATGTTATTTATTGATTCTAGATATCTCTTGACTTGTCACCACCTCATGAAGGTTACGTTCATGATGGTCTTATAGGAGACCCTGAAGTAGACTTTCAGCAAGATTTGAATCTTGATGCTCATTGGGGAGGATTTTTTGACAGAGAGAGTGGAGTCGACTTTTACCAGTATATTTTCAGCGACCATTGTTTCAGTAAAAATGAGATGACAATAAGCAAAGAGGTATTTCGTATTACAATCAGGTATTATTAAAGGGATAGTATAACCCCGAAAACAGCGCAAAATAAAATCTAAATAACTTATTGTGCTTCATTAATATGTTGGATCTATTTTCCCTAACAGTAATCTAAATTTTATTTAGACCTCATAATGTGTAAATAAAACTTCAGATAATTGATTCTAAAGGCATTCAGATGAAATTTTCTTATTTTAATTCCCGTCTAGCCCTGGCTAAAATAAATAACTTGAAGTTATTGTCTAATATCTGATCATATCATGAAAATCTGACAGATATTTGCTGTTTACAGTTCCTGCTACCAGTAATGACGATTGCTTTTAATCTTATTTTAGCATTTTAGTCAATGAGCTTTAAAACTATCAAAGATAAACAGAAACTGTCAACAGTAAAAATTATCAGCAATACAATATCTACAAAAACTCCAATATGACTTAAACAAATATAAATTGACCCTCATGGACGTAGTATGAAGGTTTTTGATGAATTTCAGCATATCCGGCTTTTATGTTTAAAAGTATAGTAAATCGACAGAAATAGTAGTAAGTAAACATTATCTGCAAACCACAATCACCAAAGCTGTCAACATGAGTGAAACCATTCATGGAGTTTTGTAGGAGCCATTGCCCTTGAAAGAATTTTGTTAACTCACTTTTGGATCTTTTGTCTCTTCTTAAAACTGTAAATAGAAAACACTAATAGCAATACAAGATATACAAAATTGCAAGTATGACTGAAACCAAAAACTTACACCCTAATTAAGTATTACCCTTAAATAATGATTTTTCATTTACATCATCATTTTGAATATAATCATGAAAGATAACTTGGAACTGTAAACTGCAAATATGATCACCAATACCAGATCTTCAATTATGCTAATAAAATTGAAAAGAACTATCGAATACGTATAATGTATTGGAGATATTGCGCTTAAATGACGATTTTTAACCAATGTTCATGTTTTGTGTCTTTATCACGAAAATTATTATAGAAACACAGAAACTGTAAACCACAAAATGATTAACAATATGAGAACTACAAAAATGCAAACATGATGGAACTTTCAATCGACACCTAAAGGAACATATTGTCCTTATATGAAGAATTTAACCATTTTCAGGTCTCTGGTTATCATCATGAAAAGTATAAAAGATAGACAACAACTCCCAACACAAGGTGGGGTCTTGTTAAATTTAGTAAATACTGTAAATTCAGAAATTATTGCGTGCATTTATTATTGCGATTTTTCAAGAATGGACAAAAATGCGACTTCTTATTATTGCGATACTCACCCAGTCGCATTATTCACATTGATAAAAACCTCGCGATAATTTTTGAATTCACAGTTCATTTTTTAGATAGGAAAGTTCCTTTGTACACTTATGTATAATTGAAAAAAGAAAATACAGAAGAAACAAAAACAGTTACACAATACTAACTGTTTAAGCTTGTAGTCGTCTTACTGGCTTTTTATACAATTTATGAATGTTCCAATGTTTGTATATAACGTTGCGTCGTCATTACCGATTCTTCGACAACATTTTCTAATGGATGTGTATCTACAGATCCCAAACATACATCTATAAAATTCTGCCAAAAAAACCCTTATGCTTCCTACCTGTTTGATTTTCGTTATTCCCAGGTCAATATCAAATAAAAAGATGTGGTATGATTGCATTGTGACAACTATTCAACAGAGTCCTAAGTGAGTTGATTTGAGCAAGTATAGGTCATCGTTCGGCCTTCAAAATTGAATAAAATCCATACCGTAAGTACTATTTCCTGAGCAATTCTCCTTTCATTTGGGCCTATAGATAGAAAAATACGAATGTCATAGGAAAGATCTTGGATAGTTTACAAATTTAGAATATTCCTTAATTTATTTCAAATTTTTCTCAAAAATTTGTCAAAAGTGCGTCAGAACAAAGTGAAAACTCTTTTCTCTTCTGTCCATATCAACTTTCAAATAGTTCATTCGGCTAATACTATTACCTTATATGAATCTCTATTCATGTGTTTTCTTCAAAAGCTTTGTTTTTAGGTTTCCCGAAATTCTTACAAACGCGATGGTATTGGTGGTACTAAGCACTTGATCCTGAGCGCTTGGCTGTAAGATGTAGTTTCGTTACAGGGTTTTAATTGAATTTAATCTCTCTTGAGTACAAAATGTATAACATGTTAGTGTATATATGCCATCTGCACCAGATCAATTTGAGGTATACCTTGGGTTTTCGTATTAGCATATTTTGCATTTTGTAAAAATTGTAGAATTTTTCATTTATAATATATGACTTTCTGGAATTTTAATGACAGACTACTATTTTAGAAACAGATTACTTACAACACTTATGCTACCTTCAATGCACCTTCAGAGGGTATCTTCTTCGTCTCAGTGACAGCTGTTAATAGAGCAAGCGAAAGTTCAAAGGTGGTATGCTCTGATGGAGTTACAGTCACTACAACTATTCCGTTCATCAAAGACTTTGTATTCGAAGATATCAAGGCTAGGAATCAGGTTTTCAAAATTCACAACGACGCATGGTGGTTACTAGATAGTAATTTGATACGACATAGAATTACAGATTTGTCAGGATTACCCAAGTAAGGAAAATTGGTTTTTAACTCCACAAGCTAAAGGTCAGATAAATAATTGCCAACCCTTTATGCTTCTCGGTCCGCTAACGATTTATTTTTGATCATCTCATTGCGAATCACCACTTTGAAACTGAAGATAACAGAAATATTTTGAGAAAAATATTTTTTCCAAGCATTGTAACTTTGAACCAGTTTGTCATCAAATAGGTATCTTTAAAAGTTTTTTATTAGTTTAACTTTAGGGCGTATAAAACTTGACAAATATGTGTGTTTATAGGTATTTGAGTACTTTTAAGAATATACATTTTTATATTTTCTGTAAATTGATTTTAGAATTAAAACTCAATGTCTATTACAAATTGCAAGTACCAACTGGATATTAGCAGCATAATATATATATATATCTGATTAATTCATTGAGGCATTAGCAAATAGAGGTCACAAAACGTCCCTTAATGAAAAGAGTGTCTTCTTGTATAATAATATTAAACATTTATTGCATTGTATTTTATATAGATTTTACAGTAATGCAACGGAGATGTCTCAAAACAGTGGTGATTTAAAAGCATTCCCCGAAGGTCGTCCAATTGATAAGATTGAATCCGAATTTCTAAATACCAAATCAAAAATTGAAATCATAGGAGTTTTACCGACACATCAATCAGTTAGTATCATTTACATGTTTTTCATATCATACTGGGACTGACGAAATTTAATTTAAGTTCTTTATACTACCTTCGAATATAACTTTAAGCAATATTTTAGGCCTGCTGTGAATTAATATTGTAAATCATTCAAGATTGGCGGGAAACTCTGACACAAAATTCAACTTCTAATCATACGTTAAAGAGGCGAAAATACCCAAGGAATCATGAAAATGTATAAATCGGTGATAATCCGACATTAACACAATGGCAAATATAATTTTCATATGAATCATTAGGCAAGGTTAACTGGATTCAACAACACGAACCAAACAAAAAACGGCGATGAATGTATGTGCTCTGGAAGGGTCAGCATTTTATACTCCACTTGTATGGAGTGTTACTTCTGTTCAAATTCTTCAATGTGTCATATCCAATAATTGAGCATCCCACACTAGCGAGTTGGAAGACGACTCTTATCGATAATAGTAAATTCATAAACCATCGGTCATGTAAATTCTCTTACCCTAAAACTTTACGGAACGTGAAAATTTGAAATGAAATGTGATTGAACTCTTTATTACTGTATTAACTAGTTTCAGATAAAATGGGAAAGTGGTGTTCCAGAAAGTCTAATACATGATTACGCCATTGGAATATCTTCAACTCCAGGTAGTATGGCTCCTGATATTAACAGTTTCTGTTCATCAAAACATCACAACCATTTCAGAATTCGACATAGTTATCTTGCAGAGGGTGAAGAGTTTTACATTATGGTCAAAACTACAAGTCGATCTGGCATTGATGGATATCAGGTGGATCATTTTATTCCAATCGATCTAAGTCAATTATTAAGTGATTAAATTTTTTAATATTCTATATAAACACATGACAGACATTTTAAAATTAAATCAGCTGGTGAAAGCATGAACTATCCAACATTTGGGATGTCTCTGTCTGCCACATATTTTTACTGTTTTGACATACATTTCCTTGAAAATTGAATTTATGAATGGGTTTTTTACTTAAAGCAAATTGTGCCACAATAAGATATTTGTTATATTTTGTTTTTGTATTTATTATGCTCTTTATTTTTTTAGAGTATTGGACCATTCCTTGTTGACAAAACTCCGCCAAAGTTTATAAATAATGTGATACAAGTTTACAATGTAAATAATTATTTACTTCTATCGTGGCAAGATGACACTGTATTTGATGAGGAAGATCCGTTTCCGTTGTACTACGAGTATGCAGTTGGTAACTATCATTTCATTATATATATGCATCTAATTAAATTTAATCTACAGACCAGGTATGGTAACAGGCTTTATTTGGCGTCCAAAAATACAAATACAATTGAATAAGCGATGGTCACTTTTGGAAACTGCATATCCATACTACAAATAAAACATATATGTAGTACGAACAGAATTGCCAATTAAGATATTTTAATTAAGACGAACTCATTGACATCTCAATAAAAAATCCTATTTATATGTACCAAAAAAGTACAAAGTTTATAGTGTAAAAAATAAAGTCCTACAAAATAGAATAAATAAAGTGCATCTGAAAAAAATGACATTTCGGGTAACATGGTATTTTTTTGTATGTATTTGAAAAATTGAATTATTAAAATTATCAAAATATTAAAAAAAGATTTCACATTTTTAAATTTGCCTTTAGTGAAAAATGAAAATTACCAGAAGTAAATTATAATCGTCATTGGATTTGACGCAGTAGACAATACGATGGATGTATATTAATAATTGTTGGTTATTGTTTTTGTCGTTTATGGGTGTCAAAGTTTATATTCTTATCTTAGTTAAGCAGCTTCTCTTTGTTTAGGATAACATCAGTCTTTATGGTGGCAGAATGGAAAATTAGGGGACTTGCGGTAATTGCATTTTTGTTAGCCCTATATAATTTAACTTTTACAAAAAAAAATCTTTTTCAGGTCATACTTCTTCCAAACAAGATGTTCAAAGTTTTACGAGTATCAGCAGTGTTGGGCCATGTTCTGTTACCTATCCTCCAACGTGCTCGGCTATTCTGATATCAGACCTGCAGTGGCCTTTACATGCTAATCATGATTATTATATCACATTAAGAGTTACCAATGTTGCAGATTTATCATCAACAGCGGTATCAGCACCTTTCAGATATAATGTACAACTTCCATCTAAAGGAGTTGTTTTTGATGTACATCCTGAAGACATAAAGGCCCATGGAATGAAGGTATCAGTCGACATCTATACTACTAAAATAACGAGGTCCAATTTTTAGCCGACATGACGAAAAAAACGACGAATCAAAGAATTCAACTTTAAATATAAATGATATAGGACAATGGTGTTGATTAAAAATTACACCATTCCAGGCCCTTTTGTTTTCCACATAATTTATACTACCAATAATTAACAAGATCCGGGTCGAATCCGATAACGATACCAATAGTATATATCACATGTAGTTTCCGGTTGTATGTATGTTCTGTATCTTCATTCTTTGATAGGAGCACCACCATGGGATATGGTGTAAAGGAGGATACACTGTATCGGTACAGATTTAATGTCAGCATTTGTCTTACCATTTTCCAAGTCTGGCCATGACGGGTCTAACTACCAGAAAGTTAACCTTCCACAAAAATAATAAGTACAATGCAATAAAACATACGAAAATATGATTCGCTCATCCTCAAAATATAAAAAATGCAAAATATAAAAACTATTATATACAAAATAAGCCTAGGGATAAGGTGGTAGTATGAAAACGAGGACATGTTCGAAAAGAAAGATTTTGAAGGCAGAGAAAACTGTGCACATTAAAATCAGCATGAAATTATCAGATGACAATACGAATACTAAAATTCTAGGCTTAAATGAGGCGTAGGTACTTTAATTCTGTCACGGACACGCGATGTTGCGGTTGTATTCTAGTGCTTACTAAATTACAAACAAAATTGTATATAAATACAGGTTTTCAAGACCTTATTATTCAACTTTGTTTGTTGTTTGTTTTAAAAAATCGAATAGACTTTATCAGAATTTAGTTTTTGTGAAATATAGAACAAAATCGTGTACTACGATCAATGATTATAATAATTTAGGGAAATGAAACGGTTCGTATGCCAACATCAGTCACTACATTGATATAACTGCTTTGAAAGTATTACTAGACTTACAAATAAAAAACATTACCCATGTCTTAAAGAGAATACTTTTTCTACTGTTGCATATTGCTGTGTTAAAACACCAACTTTGGAGGTTACAATCCACACAGTGGATAGTGCTGATAATGACATGTTAATTACATAATATCTTTATTTGTTGGACATTTTTTAACCCTTGTAGATTCAAGAATCTTATTTTTATATTAAGTGTGGTTTAACTAAAGATGCTTAAAAGCAAGCGTTATTCTCCTATGGATCCCATTTAACATGTCCGATATTTAGCCTTTTATTGTGGGTTTACATATTTATCTTTTTATATGGCATGTATATAGTTATAAGCAACACTTGGCATATACTCTGGACACAGCGCAGCCGGTGTTGCCGCGATGTCACAGAAGCAAGAGTTCGAATCCCGCTGACGCAAATATGCAGATCTAACAATGTATGGTAAAATTTGAGACGAATTATAAATGTATAGTATGGTGTTAGCCCTGTATAACCACTTGTATCCGATGGAGAATGTCTGTCATACAGTTGTAACATGTTTAGAAGTGTATAAATGTATAAGATTTGATGTGGCGGCATGGTTATGTTTTATTATCATCGTTGACACAGACAAAATAGCTGATCTGAAAGGTACACCATGTACTTGCCACTATACATCATGTACTGTGTTACAACCCTAGATAAAGCCGACGAGGAAAGACATTACTCGACTAACGAAGGCTATGTTTTCTGATATAGCCTAGTTGGTGGAGTGGTCTAGGGCGCTGGACACATTGTAGGCGGTGTTGCAACGATGTCACAGATGCAAGGGTTAGAATCTCGCTGATGGAAGAACTAAATTTTGCTAACCCAAATTTACAGATCTAACATTGTTGGGCTAAATTTTAGACGAGTTATATGTAATATATATATATGTTGCATAAGTAACTTGTGAACTACACCTGCTTCTATGAGCCTCTTAGGGTTTTCTTTTCTTTTTCAGTTTCATTGTTTGAAATAACTGTTTTGTCATCGCAAAAACTGATTACTTGTAGTCGAAAATTAAATTTCTAAATATAAGATATTGCATAGTTTTTATTTCAGGACATAAAAGAGGTGGATTTTACCTCTAACAGAAGAGACATCGGTGTCGTATGGTCGGGTTTTAGACATCCTCATTTAAATATCATTTTTCACATATGTATTGGAACTGAAAAAGAGAAATGTGATAACAACACTGTTGTAACAAGGAACTCGTCATTTAACTACTATGTGTTCAAAGGCTTGGACTTAATAGCCTTTCAGGTACATGTTTTTTCTTTAATTCCCTAACTATCAAATTGTTTTGCATTTTTAAGATTAGAAATAATCAACAGAACAATAAGAAAATTGCTTTCCATGCTATTTATCAATATATTTTGTAAAGTGAAAATGCAACATAATTGGATTTTATAAGAATCTATATTACTAATATGATCATTGATTTGAGCAAGAAAAAGAAGACATAAACAAAAGTGAAAACACCATAGAGAGAAATTATCTGTGATTCGAGACTTTCTTTGTGGAAAATTATGTTGATAAAGCATACTTAACAAGTATTTGGAATAGTAATGTTTGATAGTATTTTAAATTTCAGAATAGAATTCAATTATGACTAAATATATACTATTTCAAACATTTTTATCTAAGTTTCCGTGCAAAAGTAAAAAAAAGATATATTTTGTAGAAATATTTCATCACAGTTAAAGCAGAAGCAACAACTGGAACAGTTTCAGTATCATCTAATGGTGTAACTGTTTTAGATATTACAAAATTTCTGTCTGGAATATCAGTTTTCGATGGTACAAACTGTACAGGTATGTTTCAATTAAAAGAGTACACGCCAACTTTAATTTGATAACTTATTAATAGTGTGTAAATTTGGCACCCACTTTATTTTTGTACATTGACTGTAGAAATAGTTTTTCAATAATGATTTAGTTTTATTATGGTTCAAATTTGTAATGATATCTTTTTTTATGTCTTAATAATCCTCATTATACGTTAAGAAGTGTAATGTTCAACTGGTAAAATGTAAAAGCTTGAAATTGATATATGTATTCATAACTTAGATATAATGGAGTGATATATAGATAAATAATATGTTCGTATAACTATGGTTTGATGTCAAGAGAAGTTTTCGTTTTTTATTTAAAATGAAAGAGCAAACTTTATTTTTTTTTCAGGTGGTCAGAAGTTATTAACAAATCATCATCAGTTTGTAAGTTTCGTAAATTTTCGCATTAAATAATCAAACTAATCATCTTTTATTAAATTGATGAAGGATGCAATTCATTTTAAAGACTTTTCATTTAAATAGAAAAAATGTGTTCTATAATCTTATTATTTAGACTGATTTACAAATACAGAATTTATTCACTAATTTTGCTTATTAGAATAGAAGTCAAATGGTTTAATGTTATGAAGGTTAATCTGTATAATTATGACAAAAATTGTCAATTCATAACCATCTGCAGATTGAAAATAAGCTTGATTGCCGTTTAGTTTTTATTACATTTTTTTTCCTTAATCTACATTTTGGCAAACTTTAAACAATTCATGTCATGCGTTGTTTATTCCCAATACTTACTTAATTTTATAAAATGTAATTGCTATTTGAAATATTTGTTCTGTGTGTTTCGATTCAAGAAATTTTAAATTCAAGGAAGCGTTTAAAAGGGTATTCCAGGCATACTTTTACTGCAGACTAAAATCGGTTACGGCGTTTCAGAAGTCACAACACTTTTTTCATGTCGTTTAATATTTTAAGATTTAGCATTGTCTAGTGATCTAGAACTGTTATTTTGTTCCAATTCTCTTAAATACTTGTCCTTCAAAAGTTTTTAGGATCATACAACAGATACATGTGGCATATAAACGTATACATACCCAGTGCATATTTTCACAAATTATCCTGCTGTGATTGTAAGTCTTATACTTAAGTCTTTAGTATTCTTTTTTAAACCTGAAAGTGTTGACCCGTTTAAAAAAAATTATATTACTCATGTGTCCTCGATTTTATGAACTGGAAAATATAATATAAGAAAAAATGACGCAACAGCCTTGAACTACAATTTCATGATTGCCAATAAGACAAATATTCACCAGATACCAAATAATGTAAATGTAAACAACTATAGGTCAACGTACCGCCTTCAACAATGAGCAAACCCTATACCGTAAAGTAAGCTATATAAGGCATCGACATGACGAGATATAAAAATGTTCAAACGCAAAAAAAAAATACCAACAACCTGATTTATTCAAATGTCTAATTCAGTTCGTAAATTAATAACTGGTCCGAATTTATTTTATTATTCATATTACTTAATGCTTTTACATATCATTAAGGATACGCGACCAACATGTGCAGTAGATATAGACTGTCAATCTTCAACATCGTCTGTCACTGCGTACTGGACTGTGCCTAATCAATATGTTGACTATACACGAGAGAGTTTTATTGCAGTGGAAGAAAGAGCTCATATTGGCGGTAAGTGTATATATATCTTAAGCATTAATCAGAAACACACACTATCAGATGAAATGATAAAAGACTCATTAAATCAGTACAAACATATCTAGCGAAATGAAGTGGAAAAAAATTATCGACCTTAGAGCATTCAAAGTTGCTGAAACCTAAGCTTGCTCAAAACATTCTTCAAACAATTTTTTAGACCATGTTTATCAAGACTAAATATCATGCAAACAACACATTGCAACAGATTCAGAGTAAAGACGCAGTCTGGGAAAAGGCATGACCTCCTGCAACGCAAAATATAAGGATCAACAGTAAAGCGTACCATGATATTTAAACTTCAATTACAATATATATTTTGTTATGTATTTATGAATGGAAAATGAATTCAATCTAAGTACTGTTGAAGGCGATATTCAAAGATCTAACCACAATGTTGAATAAATATCATTTAAGAATAATTCAACTCAAATGACTTATACTTTTACGTGGATGGAATTTTAATTAAAGCCAATTGATTTGAGTGTGTAGGTTCAATCAACAAAAGTCTAGTCCTACAGACAGATATATTGGTTATCTGTCGGACTAATCTACTCTTAAAGGAAGGGTAGTATACCTAACCTAGAAATGACTTCACGGTTCAGCTAGCAAGCAAGCTAACCAAAGATTTTGTTCGAACCTACATTCTCAAGTCATTTGGCTGTAATGGGCTCTTTAAACTGCATCTCCGATAAACTATTTATGATTTTCCTTTAGAAATTAGCTTTCTTCATATTCATCCAAACTTCCAAACTAAATATCGAGATATGTAAAAGAAATTAGGAAAGGTTTCAAGTAATTTGTGATAACAAAATCTTAAAATTAATAATTTACATTACAATTTTTACACATATTACATAATTTAGATCGAAGTCACCACTACAGACACGGGCATAGCAAACAACTTAAAAATATAGGTACCGTAATAGTGGCAAAAACATCAAAGTAAAAACATGAACACAAAGGAACGAACAATCGTCACATTAGCTGTTAATTCTAACATGTAGTTTTTGTTTAAACGCAAATATCAACATCAAGAAAAGGACATTGCTATTGATGTTAAATTTATTTAGTCAGTTTCCGAGGGTAGTGTTGTACAGAATGGCCAGAGAATTTGAGATTGTTTTTAAGCAACGATATATCGCAATTTGTCCCCATAGGAATGCATCAAACGTACTGAAAAACTTGATTGGAGAAAAGTACATCAATGCTGTCAAGCAGAACATCAATTGCTTAAACCATTTCATCGAGGTTACAATTACTATATTTTGAATTTTTATCTTTGTACAAGTTTGGGTTGCTGCAAGTATATCTTCAATCTAATTCAGCGAATTTGTCCTTTAATTGGGTTAACTACAAGTAAATCACAAAATAAACCAAAAGTTGGAACAAGTAGGTTCAATCAATCATTCCAGCTACCATTTCTTTATTACAGAATTTTGGAAGGTATTTTGGAACTACACGTATGTTGGAAAACATGGTTCCTCTAGCATTGGAAATCTTAACCTACAATCAGGAAGATTCTATCGCACAAGTCTAAGATTTTGTGCAGAAAATTACTGTTTTCCACCAGTAAAAAGTGATGGCTTTATAGTGCTTCATAACAATCCTAAAATTGGTGCGATAGAGGTCGTCCATAGAAACGTATCGGGCGAGTCTGATCAGGTAACAATATGAAAATAGTAGTTTTTAAATTTCGTGCGTGGTCAACGATTCTCTATTAACCTTTATAACCCCAAAACTTTGGAAACAAACGATTGTATAAGACCTATTGGAACCTAAAATGAATAGCGACATTCACCAAAGGTCAGCTTTGTCTGAGGGAGTAAGAACTTTAGTTTCTTGATAATTTCTTAATTTAACACGAGAGAATTAAATATTTGTTTGAAAGCAGGTCACGTTATAAATCTTGTCCTGACCAATTTTCTGGATTGCTCTACCCAAACGTTTAAAGCAAGGATGTATAAATACTAAAAGAAATTTATTTCCAAAAGGGACCTACTAAGAAACCCTAGAATCAACCTATGGTGATCTAAGTATGGTAATTTCTTCTGTATTACTTTTACTTATTGAATCATTGTTTAAAGTAATACAATGGAATTTGATTATTAATCAGTATAAATAATTTGCTTTAAAGATAATTTCTTTTTCTACTAGCGTAGGCAAGACATTCGCAAATTAAAATGAACAAAGGTTACAATGCTTGTTTTTTAGGGAAATAATTACAAAATTAGAAAGTTTTGGACTTTAGGTGAAATTATCTGGCAACCTAAAGATTTACAAAAACTGATAATTTTGCAATGAAAAAGTCTATTGAGTTAATGTAAAAATTCGTTATGAAAATTGCTTGAAATATCCGTTTCACCGATGATAGCGGATATGTTCTACAATCCCGTCCCCTTTTCAGGAATGTGACCTACCAAATTAGACCTATTACCGGGTTTGTACTAACATGAGCAACACGACGGGTGCCACATGTGGAGCAAGATCTGCTTTCCCTTTCGGAGCACCTGAGATTATTCCTAGTTTTTTTTTGTGAGGTTCGTGTTGCTCAGTCTTTAGTTTTTGTATGTTGTGTTTTGTGTACTATTGTTTGTCTGTTGGTCTTTTTCTCTTTAATCCATGGCGTTGTCAGTTTGTTTATTTTCGACTTATGAGTTTGAATGTCCCTCTGGTATCTTTCGCCTCTCTTTTTGAAAGCAGTAAACTTTGACTGAATTTATGTTGCATTCCTAAAAGTTCAATATCCTGATATTTTTGGGCATTTGTATAATTTCTTGTATTATCATGTTGCAATTGTATTCACATTAGTTGGCTTTGAGCGAATTTTAAAATAAATATATAAAAAGTATGTGTTATTGTGCTTTATCATGAGAACACCAAGAAATGTTATATATTGTCATTTTTCGGTACTAACATATGCATGTAATTTAAAAATATAACTAAAATATGGATTGCTATACAGTTTGTCCAACATCCTGTGGATTCGCATATATAAGATTGCGCATGTTCATGTTTTCCACGTATGACGTCTTTACATTAAATCCATTGGATGTGTACTAGATAATTTAGTCAGGAAACATGAAAATGATTTTTTATCAGTTATAATTGGCTTCGAACTAGCTTTTAGTATTTTCAGCACTCTTAAATTGGTACTTTTTGTCTTTTGTCTTTTTACATGTCACTTTTTGTGTTTCGAGCCAATTTAATGAATCAAGCCATTTTCAACTGATTTTTACAGTGTGTTCTTCGCTGTCCTTTTACACTACTGTCCAGGGTGTCTAACTCTTCAACATTCTGTCCCAAGATCGAGCATATATTTCGTTGGGTGCCGTTGATTGATGTTAGTCTTATGCATTCTATAGTTTATTGTTTTGTATAAATATATAGGTTTTTGTTAACAAAACTTAAGTAATAAAAAGAGTTATAATGTTATTATAGGTTTTATTAACAGTAGAGCGAATGTATGATCCTGACGTGGAAGATAAGGAGGAAGCCTTGAGTATGGTTAATCAATATGAATGGGCAATAGGAAATGATCTTGGAGTTCATACACAATGGACGCAGATTGATATATTCTCGTTTTCAAATTTCACTCATGTAAGTAATCTTTATTTAAATGTAAAATTGGTGAGGAAAATTAATAAAGAAGACAATAAGAAAATCAATAAATCATCAAACCGTCAACCCTTGTTTTAGAGAAATGAAATTTGAAATCTTGGAATTTACTCCGGCATGCTTTAGATTTGAAATGTGTGTAAGGAATATTCTATTGCAACATCGTTTGTAATGTTCATTTTGATTGGATAACGTCAACAATTTTCATGGCATCAATTCATAATTGATGCTATGAAAACGTACGTGCAAGCGCAGACGACGTATGGCAGATTTTAAATGTATGATTTGACGTTGTTTTCTGTCAGTTTCATTAGAATGGAGATAACAATATTGTATCTTAAGCTCCGACGGCATCAATTGGTGATTTAATGGTCTCAAATACCCGTTTACTGGCTCCGCTAATGCGACCATCATATCACCAATTGATGCCGTCGGAGCTTAAAATACAATAGTCAATTCCTAACTTTTCTTTGCAAGGCAATTCAATTTTTTATTTTTATGCTTTTAGAAAACATCTGTTCAATTCATACTAATTTTCGTGTATAAACTAAGAACTTTTTCAGGTGAGTTTTCTGTTACCCCTAAATGGAAGCATAGATTATTCAAAGTGTAGGAAGGTACATGTGAGAGGATTTAACAAAGCTGGCATGTGGTCTGTAGTGTCATCAGATATAAAGAACTGCCATGTTACGGACAGTGACTCGTTTATTATCCCAAATCTTGTTATTGATGCTATTGGAAAACCGGAAAAAAGAGGGGGTAAGAGTTTTTACTATACACGTTAATTTCTGTAATCGAGGAATTAAAGGCGATGAAAACAAAAAGTGTTGTGTATGTTATTATTAAGTGCTTAAGTAGTTTGCTACTTTAGAGACGTATGTCAAAAAGAATTGCATTCATTATTTTCAATAATGAAAAGGAATCATATATCAAAAAAAAATTTCATTCAATTATGAAAGTTTTCATGAATACTGATTACTTCATGCATGGATAAAACTCGCAGTAAGGCTACTTCATACTGATATGTATATATAAAAAATAATTTAACATCACAACTGACCACGATTCTAATTCATTATCACATTATAATTACTTTACATGTATGCGTCATTATAAAACGTTGTTTTGATTGGCTAACAGCAATCTCGCGTCATTCTGAAATAAACCTTCATTTCAAAATGAAATGTAACATTCATGATAACACGAGCTTTTACAATAAAGTGCACGTGAAAATAAAAGAAAAAAACTTGATAGAAATCGTGTTATCATGATCCTAGCAAATAAAAATGTAATTATAAGTATTGAATGCTTCTTTTAGTAATTCTATAGGGTTGTAAAACCGTTGACCGTGCGCACCTTTTTAGAATGAAGCGCTTCCGCTCGTCATACAAAATGTACTTCGGTGAACGCTTTTACATCCCAATAAATTTACACAAAAAAAAGCATTTATTTATTATTTTTATTTTTATTTATTTATTTTATTTATTTATTTATTCAATTCTTAAATGGATTACGTTTATGTCTTGATATAATTTAATAAAAGTAGAATTAATGAAAGACAGGATAACTTGAACCTGTAAGTCCCGACATTTGGCAACTATTGTTTTGCGTCTGTCTGTCAAATAAATTGTAATTTGCTTATTACCATAGTTTAACATCGCCATGCTTTTCAAAATATGTTGTTTATTATTTTATTTGAAACAAAATTTAACTAAATATAAGCACTCCTGACCTTGAAATGTTTTAAGAATTGTGATAGCTGTCATTATTTGGAATTGCAAATTTGTATATACAGTTAAAGATTAATTGATTATATCCATAAAAACGTATTGATTTTTTCTAAAGTAATTTGGGTAAATTATTCTACTAAAAATCATATTTTTATCAATTGTGTCTATTATTCAAACCTATGTCGTGACGTATTTTCATTAGAACCATAATGACCATAATGATTTTTTCTAAATAAGAACTTGTATTTATCGATGAATTAAAAAAAGCCTTTATGGACTTATGTAAGCTAGCACGTGTCATTTGTTTGGCAGGATGTGACTGAAGATAACATACAAAAAGTAAATTCAGCCAATAAAAGACTATACAGATGTTCAGACCGAGCAGCAGGAACACAACCAAAAATATGATTAATGACTAAATATTTACAATCAAACTGTATCATTGTGTCATGCCAGTTCTGGCTTCTAGTTGAATGGTATCACCGAGATATGATATTCCATAGCCAGCAGCACCGACCCTTAGATTTCTGAAATACATGGTTTTGGAATATCTCCAATCGATCGCTTGCTTCAAAATTTTTTAAAAGCTTAAAAAAAATATGAAAAGTTTAAAACATTAAGGGTCATAAGGACCTAAACAGAATAACCAAAACTGTACAGGGTCAACATTCCATGAGGGTTTTTTTACTCTATCTTTAAAATAATAATTTATGAATTGAAAATTAAGAACAAAATATCATTTAGATCATGACAGGACCAATACTCATTTGATTCGACAAGATGAAAACATGTCTGATTAGGCAATTTAATAAAATAAAATCTCCTTGAAACTATCAGAAATAATGTTTGACAGGTTTTCTACAATTAATCCTTATTGGGTTTCGGTCAGATGGAAACTCTAACGTTGATGTAGACATTTTTTTATTTGTATCTTACGTCGTCTCCATTGAAACTACAAAGTTTCAATTTTTGAAATTTATTATGATTGGCGATTAGAAGACCCTCACCATTCGCATTTAATTTTGATCAGGAGAAAAACAATGCAGCAATGGAATCATATAGATCTAACATAAAACGGAAGTCTGCGATATTCATGTTTTTATCTTCATTGAAACTTCTTGGCTAATGTTAATCAAACACTACATGAGTTATATAATCATGGTTGTCTTCAAATTATCTTCATTTAGTTCTAATTGGATGAACAACATGTGACAGAACTATTCCTTGGTACTGATTGAACAATTAAAAAGATATCCTCTGTAACTACGAGCCCGACTGATTTCAACGTTGTAGGATTGATTATAGTCAATACCCTCTTAAAACGATTCCGATCAATCGTCGTTTCAATGTCAATCAAATGACTAGCATAGTTTCTATTCAAAAAAAACAAGTAAATCACTTGTTTGACTTCATTCCGAAAACATCTTCGCCATGCATTTAAAACCAGATTTGGTAAGGATTATGCATGCAGGGTTATCTATATAAATCAAATATTACCCTCCATCGCTTTATTATTCGGAAGTTATACTCAAGTTAGCAATTCCAGGTGAAAAATCAAGGCTCCTGTTCTATATTTAACAAAACTTTGATATCTCATCCTTCCACATGATCCAAGCTAAAGGTCTTGAAACAGTGGGATATCCAGTGAACGAAAACAAAAGAAAATTCACTCCTCTTATGATAGAGTCGAGAAAGTCAATAATAAAACAATACCGGTGACGATACTGATCAAACGTTATTTCTAAATAACAATTGTACATTTTAAAGAAATTATTTGTTAAACTGTGTTATTAGAAATATACATGCAAATACACGATGTTTTATGTTCAATATTTATCGAGATAATTGCATTAGAAGCTGGTGAAAATGAAATTTAAAAAATGCCAATCTTTGCTGCATATTGATAGAAAAATTGGAAAAATCATGTACATACAAAATCGAAAGATCTTTCGGGTCACCAAAAAGTCCTTAGCATGTTACAATTTCCCAAAGTATGCTTATTTTTTCACATCTAAGTTATCGAGTACACCGGTCTGCTCTTGTTGCATGTAAATTCAGTAGAGAAATATTGTCTTTTTGTGAATATAAAAATTTGAAAGAATGTCTGTGCAGGTTAAAAAAAGATAACTATTTTTATAAAGCAGGTATCTTTCTAATATTTTGTATACAATTTTAAGAAAAGGTCGTCTCGAGTGTTGTACAAGTATATGCGGTCTTCTCGATCTATTTACATTCAATGTTTACATCGAGATAAGGTCTGTTTGAATTTGCTTAGTAACTTAATTTCAAATGTGCCAATCTTTGCTGCATATCAATCGATTCCTTTGGATTTTTTTCCCTGACTTTCTCTGATCTAGCTGTATATCTATACGAATAATTAGCATGTTCCAGAGAGGTATACAGACAGTAAAAAAATAAATTGAAGTTGGTACTCCAGGAATTTATTCGCAAAGCAACATTTTAAACCAATTTTACGTCAAGCTTCTATAGCCTGCTGTACTCATCGTTTGCTAGTTCAGGAGGAAAATGATAACATTGAGTGGAAGTTTTGTTTTTATTTCGACTTATTTCTATTTTCACTATTTACCAGAACGTTTTTCCGTGAATCCATAATCGATAGCGTCCTTGCTAGAATGGGACAAACATTGAGAAGATCTAGTTTTCAGTGTTTACAGGGGTTGTTATATTTTGTCGCTAGATTTCCCACTGAAAAGGAAACAATGATTATCAAATTGAATAAAATAGGAGAAAACCTTTCAAATTCCAGGAAATTTCTACTCTAAAAGATTTCAAATTGCCCGTTTTTTATGTTTATTTTCCCTTTTGTGATAAGTCGTTTCCATAAATTGAGTCTTTTGTCTGGCTTTTACTTTTTTGTAAAAAGATTTTGCATTATATAGTCGATAATCTATACTATGTTCTGTGAATTAGTAGCCCTTATTGAATGCCCCTGCATTAATCATGGTATCATCGTAGAACTGTTTTTACTATTATTTTATTGTTTACATTTTCTGTTTACATTTTAGATGGTCAGGTTCGTGAAGGATATGGACGGGATATATTCTTGGAGCAAAATGCTGTTTGGAAAGTATCTGATATCGATTACATACCTTACAGAAATATATTATCTGCTGTCTGGCCTACTCTACGCCATAGATCTTACACATGGGCAGTTCTTGAAATTATCAATTTAGATATTACCATGTATTACAGGGAAGAAATTCCAAAGTTATCTGATCCATGTTCAAGTCCTCATGCTATTAAATGTGGCAAAACAGGTAAGCATGATTGTGTTAATTTGTTTTTAATTGTGCATACTATTTTGTTAACCCAATTCATTTATAAGAGCGGTTTTGGTCTTGATATCTGTATGATATCACCAAATTTGGGAATTAATATTTCCTAAAAATAACGTAACTCTCTTGTGTTGACGATGCTTACATAAATTTTATCCAGATTGGCTGGTAAAATGTTTTAGAATTCTGATGTCTTATGTTTTATGCTTTTGTTGTAGTTCAGTGTTTCTGTTTCGAATTTTGACTATTGAACAGCGGTATACTACTGTTCAATAGTATAGTATAATACATAAAAAAGAATAACATATATCACCAAAAATATCACACAGCATAACCGACCACATCAACCACTAACACTCCGACACTATTTGTTTTTCGTAAATTGTTTAATCATGAATTTGGCCGTTAGTTTTCTCTTTGGAACTGTTTTACATTTTTCATATCGGGAACATTTATATTAAACTATACGATATTGGGTTTCTCATTTATAAAGGCCGAACGTTGACCTACCATTACTTATATCCCCGTCGTTTTAACTCTGTTCAATTGTTTCCTAATTTGCAATCATACTTCATCTTTCTTTTTATACACAAAAGCAAACAGTAACTACCAGAATATAGTCAATATTGCATGACTAAGTACAAGAACAAAATGTTGTGGCATTTACCCAGATTTACGTTCACTAAAGATAATTTTTATTCTTTTTCTACTTTTCATGCACATTATTTTTGTTTTACCTTAGAAAAAGAATACGTAAATGTACTGTTCGGAGAAGGAAAAGAGTTAAAACATGGAGAGAGATATAGGATATGTATGCATGCACCAATAACAGTTATTACTCATGAAAAATGGATTGAAACATTAAACGAAGTATCAGGATGTAGTGATGGTGTAACTATTGATTTAACTCCACCGATACGGGGGAATGTATATATTGGAATAGACTCTGCAAAGCATTATCAGGTATAGTTCCCTCAGCATGTCAAGATGTCTTCACATATATTTAGAACATATTTTGGTGTTTTATTACCTACTACAAAGAGGTCTAGGGAAGAACTAAAAAGATGGATGTTACTGGAAAAGAAAGGGATAAAGGTCCTTTAGATCTTGTTTCTTATTATCTGATTTTCTTTTGCTTGAAATATTCGACTATTTGTTATAGATGATTTTACTTGCCAAAATTATAATCACATCCTTTGTCAAAAAAATGAACTTTTTTATTCAATGCAACAAAATTCTGATATTTTTTTGTATAAGAAATATTAAAATATATACTTTCCATCCGCAGATCCGAATTAAGTATTCTGCGTACTGATTTTTGCTACATTTTAGATAAAAAGAGGAAAACTGTTTTTCTTGTAGTCATCGATATCAGATCTTCATGTAAACTGGGATTCCTTTCTTGATGTGGAGCAAAATGTTGAAATCAGACATACATCTGGAATAAAGGAATATCATTTAGGAATAGGTATAGAGATTCTAAACAATAATTGAATGATGTGGTGTGATTTAATTAAGTATTCCAACTTGTGCATCTTATCGTATTAAACTATATATAATATAAATTCACTTGATAAGTATGTCTATTTTGAGCAATTGCCATCATGTAACGTCCGTCTTCGAATGTTGTGCGTCGTCCATACATTTTTTTCAAATAGTTTTCTTCCAAAATCGTTCCTTTGATTTTTACCGCAATTTTCCGCAATTATCTATGTAACATCCTCTTCGACTGGCCCTCATTTGGTTTCGATTTTATAAAAACCATAGCTGCTGGGGTAATTCAATAAGATAAAACATGTCCGTCGGAGGCAACCTTTTTTTCTGGCTAGTCTCCAAAATGTTCTCTTAAACTACAATCGAAATATCTGTATTGAAGTAGTTCTGTTGTCAACATGACTTCATTAGTGACATGTAGGTGGCTCTTAAATTCTTGAACAATTTTATTTTCTTCTACTCTGAAACTACATGTATTCGACATATTTCAACAATAGTTTGATGGTAAAGTGTATGGACTTTCTTCAACAAATGACCCCAATTTGGTTCTGAATTAAAGAAAAAAACATAATCACCCAAGGCAATTCTTGATTCTGATTAGAAAATTTCCAGATGTCTTCAACACTGAAACAACATTGCAAAACGTTTTAAAATTCTTTGCAAGACCAACAAGAGACGATCTTCAATTATTATGCTTGAATGGTATTATCGAAATATAGTTCACATTAGGAGCAACTGAAAATTGGTGAAATTTACCAAGAACTTACCAAATTAGTTTATGGAAGGCTCTATGAATACACTATTTTCATATTACCTACTTTTGACTGCGAAGTTTATATTTTTTCGACAAATTACCTACTCTGTGGTAGGACATCCTGGTACCAAGTCAAGTAAGAGCAACGTAAAAAAGTAAAATCAAGCTTTCAATCTGTACAATTTTGGGAGAGAATTAACTGCTTTATATATTCTTTACACTACAAGATGATCGGAAAACAGTAAAATTTCCCCTCAATTTACACCGATTATATGTTTGATTATACTTATTTTGGTTGCTCTTACTTGAACGAGTACCAGGATGTCCTACCACAGAAAAGGTAACGAGAAATCATATAATCCGAAGTCAAAAATCTGTTATATGAAAATAATCTATTATTCTCGTTTTGTTTCTATCGGATGAGAGCATTACCACCAGACCCAATATGATTTTTCCACGATGCTCTTCAACATACTTTGTTTGCCTTTTTATGTTTTTTTGTTCTGATGATTATTTGGTGGACGTCTGGTGTACAAAATTATAAGCCTTGCATCGTTGGTGAGTTTTTTTTGCAAATGTTCAAAATTTATATCATCTGAAAGACAGGACAAAATGTTTGATTATTTTTAGATTGATGTTAACAAAGCAATCTAAAACTGAAAGAAAAATAATATAAAATCCACAGCTTTACCAAATAAGAGATGTTATCCACATTAACAGCTTCATAATAAATATCGTGTAGCAAAAAGGGGAAGACTGTGTTTCATATCTTAATATTAATAGCAATGTATCAAACTTTTTTCACTTTTTCAAGTTATGAAGTTGTGCAGTATTACAGTAATTCGGATCCTACATAATTGGTAGGATGTCTTTCTTATTGTTTCTTTCATAATTTCATACATTCTTCAGAATCTAAGGTTCAAACTACCTGAAGACCTAAGATGGACTAAGATAGTCACCAAACTTCGCCTTATAATAATTTCTTCATTCTCAAACGTTATATTCTCTTTGCTTATTTTGTTCATTTGCCAGGTGATCAATTAAGGAATCATGTAACCGCTAGTTAATTTATAATGTTAACAAAATAGTTCTAACGACAAAAAGTTCATGAAGAAAAATTCTGAAATCAGTTATGCACCTTTTATTTTATTTGATCATGTTCCGTTGAGGCTAATTTTTCAACTCATTCATTTTTAAGGAAAACTAGTATTACATCTTCATTAGGATTTTTCTGTATGTTGATAAAAAACATATTTCGTACTTGGTTCACTGAATTTTCAATTTAATTATGTCAATTTTTCTATGTTTCTGGACTTTAGGTTCTACAATTGGTGGATCAGACGTTGTTCCATTCACAAACATCGGGATAGCAAACCACTATACTCTGCATAATCTCAGATTACAGAATGGACATGAATACTTTGCTTCGGTTAAAGGTTATTTTTCTCTTTGTTTGTCACCGATTCACAATATCAGTCGGTCGACTCACTTTTTAAGTGGCAGTAATAATTCGTAAAATTATCATCTCATGGTAAAAACGTTATTTTGAGTAAAAATCATGTGAGGTAAAAGAAAATGAAAATATTTTCATCAACTTATTTTAATGATTGCCCTTCTATTTCATTAATTTTATAAAAAAAAATAAAGATGATGTTATAATCAGGCACTGTAGAAAAAAAAGTTTGACTTCAGTATAAAATCGTCTATCAAAGTGACCTTTTATTTGACATTTTATTAATAATGTGTCCTCGAATCTGTTTTGGGGAGTTATTCTGTCTTTGGAAACTTCCTATCTGTTAAAAGAAAACGCTGTCGAACCAAATCTGTAACCAAATCTTTCAGCTTGACACAAGGCCTTAATTTTTTATCGGTGTGATGAAGATGTACGGTATATATTAAGTTTTGTTTACCAGGTGCTTTTCATCGTGTGTTATTTCATATCGGTAAAGAATTAGCTTTTCTTATTGGATAACAAGGGGCCACGTGACATTGATTATTCTTCAGTAAAAAAAATCCTCGGTCTTTAACAGAAAAAAAACGGACCAGAAAACCGGTCGTTAACTGACTTTTACATGTTAATGACCAGATGGGCGTGATTTCTCTGTTTAGAGTGATTTCGTTAATTATAAAATTAGATATTACCATGTAAAATTATATAAAACTTTACACTTAAATGAATGGCAGTGACTTATAGTTATCACTATGACTGGTCTTCACTCTTTCCTATAGAAATCATACAATAACTCGAGTTTGCTTTGAACAATTTGAATTTATGAGAATTTTTAAAAACATGCTTCCTCAATGAAATAAACATAATAGTTATTGAAGAACTGGTCATTATCGTGATACATGGACTTCCTGTAGGACAGTAGTATTGACTAAGACAGCGATAATGATCGAGCTCGATCATTATCGCTGTCTTAGTCAATACCACTGTCCTGTGGGCAGTCCATATATCACGATAATGACCAGTTTTTCAATAACTATTATGTAATTAGAAAGTAAATTATCACTGTCAGTTTTCAACAGCTGTTTTATTCAATTTTTACACCTAAAAAACAAATTCAAAATTGACTAAATGTATTTGTAAATTAGCCGTCATTTTTATTTTACTTGAAAATCGAGTCAGACCCCTTCAATATTCAATGTGAACTTACAAAACATATACTGACTGCCTATAATAATGTAACACAGATTTTGTTAATTTTATCATCAAACCATGATAAATCTCCATATTATTGTTATAATCCTTAAAAAACTTATAAATAACTGATAAGAAAAATCAAATACCAGACTTACCTGAGTGATTGCATCACCTGAATTGATTGATATGTGAGATTTGATACCAATATGTAATATTTTGTTTTATTTTCGTAGTGAAACATTTCTTTAAATCTTTGCCAATACATGAATAAATAAACAATTGTTGAGGTATTGATGACAATCTAAATCAAACAATAGTCTGGTGTAGGTCATCTTTCTGTTGCTACTCAATGTCAGAAATTCCCCTGTCGGTACTTTTAACAACGATGCAGACAGTCGGGATTGGTAAATGACCTCCCATGACCAGGTTAATTTAGTTCCAACGTTGCGTCAATAAAATTGCACTAGACATCGTCAGTTGCGAGATAGATTTACGACTCCAACGTCCAACGTTTCCAGTATACTTACATACCACATCATCCATTCCAACATAAGCAACTCGACGGGTGCCACATGTGGAGCAGGATCTGCTTACCCTTCCGGAGCACCTGAGATCACCCCCAGTTTTTGGTGGGGTTCGTGTTGCTTAGTCTTTAGTTTTCTATGTTTTGTCATCTGTACTATTATTTGTCTGTTTGTCTTTTTATTTTTGGCAATGACGTTGTCAGTTTGTTTTCGATCTATGAGTTTGACTGTCCCTCTGGTATCTTTCGTCCCTCTTTTCTCTCTTCCAGAAACCTATTGAAATGTAAACAGTTGAAATAAACTCATTCAGGTCATTGACAAAACAACAACAGACTGCAATGAGTCAATCTGAAGATTAATCAGCAAGGAAAAAACTTATCTCAATACGGTACCCCCTACCACACAGAAAGGTTTGACGTCACTTTCAATCATTGAGACGTAGACTACAAGAAGTCATAGACTACGGCGGTGGACACATCCGTTACTAACGAAACAAAGTTTTCCGTGCATAGGAAGTGATTTAAATATTAATTGTGACGTGTTCAATTCAACTTTAGAACCGACAATTTTATTTATGCGATTACGAAATAAGCAAGTATTAAGCATATAAGTATGTTTATATATGTATTGTAAAAGTTTGGGTTTTTTAAACAATAATAAGACAAAACAGTGTTGTGTTTTTAAAGTCTGTAAGTATATTTTTTTTCTTATTTTACTTCAGCTTATGATTTTACTGGAAAAAGCACAACAGCTACTTCACCCGCAGTGATAATTGACAACACACCACCGGAGAGAACAAAAAATCAAATACAAATAACAGAAAGACATATTAAAAACTTTACTGCATTAAATGCATGGTATGTTTATTTTCATATTTGCTTTTATTGAGAACTGAACTATTGATGTTGATATTCATTTCATAAAGATAAATACATGTGATAAGATTGGATTGAAAGTGAGACCAAGATCCACAAGACCAAATGATGCAGAGACATTGTTTAAGCATTGCATTTAAATTTTAAAATTAAAAAAGGAATAGCAAAAGGGTGAAAATATATAGCTTCCCAAGGGGAGGCTTCTTCTCCGATGCTATCACCCTGTAGTCAGTGGTTTGGTGTTGACATGAAATAACATTGATATGCTCAATTTTTTGTAATTTTCCTGTTAATAAAATGATAAATTGTTTTCGTAAAGCAATGTTTTCCTACCTCTTTTTTGATTGTTACCTTGATATGTCTCTTTCTAATCGATTAAGGAGCAATTTTCTGTTTTCTAATCGATTAAAGGGCAATTTCCTGTATTCTTCGACTTCGTCTTTAATATGTCTTTCCATCTGAGTTGAAGACAAAACGCGCGTCTGGTATATCAAATAATAAGCCTGGTACATGTATCTTTGTTGATTGTTTCTGTTTATTAAGAAAAACGTTATTGTTTCTACGATATGTTCCAATCAGTTTTCACAAATAAGAAGCAACAGCAGTATACCGATGTTTCAATCTCGCAATTCAATTCTGAATATACTCATCAAGTAAAAACAACTGAGGGAATCGTATGAACTCAAAAAGCAGCAAGACCTGGCAGCCGAAAACTAGGTCACTGCAGGTTCTTCAGCAATGAGAAAACCCCATAGACTTTATAGTAAGCTATTAAACGACATGATAAGATGTAAAACAATTCAAAGAGGAAAACTTAGGTGCTGATTGATGATAAAACAAAACAATCAACGAAAAAAGTATGACAAACAGCAACAAACTACTACCATATAATCTGAAGCAGGTGTAATATCACAACATAAGAAATCAAATGTAAAAATAATTGAAAAAGGTTGAACTCAATCGATCGGCATGAAGCACACAATTTCTAAATTTTCAGTGTCAGTTTCAAGAAAATGATAAAGATATGAAGCCGACCATCAAGTCACATTAGTATCCTTAGTATCAAGTTCAGTAAAATATATAATATACCAGAACTTGCTGAAATGCCGGTTATTAAGCGACGGCATATCCACCTTCTTTCTGAATGTGGAATTAAAAAACTTTTTGTCTTTGAGAAGGTATTGCATAAATTTGACTTCATATGAATACAAAAACAAGTCGGTCTGTAGTGGTGCATATTTATCAACTATTGGAAAATCAGCTGTTTGTTACAATATCAATCCATCAAAATCGATAAAAAAAGGTCCAACCTTTCAAACAAGTCGCCTGTGGTGTATTTGTTCCAGCAGACAAAGCCTCTAATGAAATTGTTTTGAAAAGCAAAAAAGTCTATTTGGAATTCGTCTGGCTTTGTTGGAATTAGAATAGTTCTTGTCAGTGTACGTTGTTCGTGTTTTAAACAAGAAATTGGAATCAATTTCATTTTTATAAAGGCATAAAGAAAAGTAGTGTATAGTGTAGAGAAAGCAAGCTTTTGATATTACTGCCAGTTTTTAATGATTTTTATGAAGAATTTTGTGTACATCTTTCGATATTTTCAAAATCCATATCTAACTGACTGTGCTGACTGAAAATACCTGATCATAATATTGTTAAGGTCATCGTTAATTGTAGATAGTTAAAGCAACAGTAGCCCATGTTTAAAACTCAGAAATTGAAAATACGAATCAAGATATCAAACAGAAACAGAAGCACACGATTGGAGCATTTTTTTGTAAGGAGCAAACATCTGCTAATAAAATGGGTATAGTAAGGAACTGTAGTAAGGATTTAAGAACCATGTTTAGCAGATGATCTAGAAAAGTTTCCTATATGTCATTTAAATTTGTATGTTAAGCAGTTTTCTTATCCGATATTGAGATGGTAGCTTTTCATCGTCCTTTTCGACATTTGTACCGAATTGGAGAAGGACGGATTTGTGACTATCTGCTCTTTCATGAATGATGTTGGTGTATAAGCGGGATGCCTAGATTTCCTGTAATTTTACGATCTTTTATTTTGCATCCCAAGTAATGATTTTTTCAAATCAAACCAATATTGTTTTAGGCTTTGTCTGCTTGAATAACGTTGTCCGTGAAAACAGAATTAAGCATCCACAACCTCAGGCCTGGTTAAGGAGTTAGAGGACCATGTGCTTCTTGTTAAATGTAGTTACTGTATGTACTTCTGAATGCATGTACGAACTGCTTTCATTTATTCCGATAAAGAGCCAATTTTGAATTCGTCTGGTACTGGCTTTATCCATTTTCTGGCATTCCTTATTTGCATCACTCAGATAACTAAAGTTGTTTTCCAGTTGAAGGGATGCCAAACCACAGATATCGATTTATGTTTGGAGTTATCAGGCAATAATATTGCAAACGTTTTAATATATAGTACAGATTTATAATATGAATAAAATGATTCAAACGAAGGAATTTTAAGCCATTTTTATTTATAAAAAATAAAGATAAAGACTTTTTTCACAGTAGAGTGTTTTGACATTTACCATAATACTGAATATTATCTGTTTTTTCTATCAGTTGGAGAGATGTATTTGTAGACAAAGAAAGTGGAATCGACTACTATATGTGGGGTGTTGGCTCGAAAGAAGGTCATGATGACGTCATCGCATTTACTAAAACAAATAAAGACTGCGATGTATCAGCTACACATAATGATTTTGAAATTCACGAAGGTCATAGTTACTTCATAACAATTAAGGTATCTCATAAATTATTTAATTTGCTTGTGAATGTTTTCAGATGCGTATTATATATGTTTTCAGATGTAACAACAAATATTTAATATTTTTGAATTGCTTTATAGACTTATCAAAGATACCAGGGATCAAAATGTTGTACGCCAGACTCGCGTTTTGTTAACAAAAGACTCATTGATGACGCTTGAATCAAAAAAGTTAAAAAGACCAAATATAGTACGACATAAGTGTGAAGTTTTTCCATATAAAATGGAGTTATAAATAATGTTTAATTGTTTTGAATTGTTATCTTGAATCTCTTATCCTTAAACTTTTTTGCAATGCTTTGGTTTATTCCCTTTATATATATATATATATCAGTACATGCTGATGAAATGACTGGTGTTTCAGTTTGCAGACTTATTTCTGTCGATTTGAAATGAAAAAAATAATATTAGAAATAACGAAAAAAATTATTAAAGTTGTATCACATGTCAATCTCATTTTCAATAGGCAATTAATAGAGCCCATCTCATGATATCACAGTCATCATTGGCATATAAAGTGGATCAATCAGCACCCATAGCCGGATATGTATATGATGGATATCGGCAGAATGCAACGGACTCCATGAGAGACATAGATTATCAAGTTGATTCCAAGACATTATCCAGTTACTGGGAGGGCTTCTATGATCCACATTCTGTTATCAAAATGTATTATATCAGCATTGGAACATGCCCTCATTGTCAGAATGTTTTACACGAAGTAGCTGTTGGAGTTATATACGGTTAATATTTTCTCTTCATTTTTCCAATAACGTCAGATTCAAAAAACATATAATATTGATATTTATCTTAGCTTGTAAATCATATTTTTTTCAGACGGTAATTTAGAGTACGTGCGTTTTACTCTGAATGTTCGAAACTTTTATTTTAATTCTTGGTATAAAGTAAGGATCACTTATCGTGTATAATACCACATGAAATAAAAAAAAATTAAAATATAAACAAAACTAAAAATGATGACATATTTAGTTGTTTTTGTTTTGTTTTTTGTTTGTTTGAATGCTTACCCTTTTGCATAGGATATCATCACTTCTGATTCATATATTACATCACGAATGCATGAACAATAATTAGCGTTAGAAATACCACAAAAATATTTCTGTCACGGAATACAAATGTGTAAATAGAGTCGATAGAGTACACGTAATTGAAAAGCGATTGTCAAGTTCTGTTCTGTATCTTTAAGTATGTTTTTTTTTAATTAATTGTAACCATGTTTAAAATTAGAATATTTATTTCAGATTTTACTCTGCATAATATTCATTTAACAAGTGGTTTGAATTATTTCACAACTGTCACTGTCTGCAATACTGCTGATTTATGTACATCGGTGACTTCAGATGGGGTGGTACTTGATGATAGTCCTCCTACTGTAGGAGTTGTTCAAGACGGGATTGAACAAGACGATACACACTATCAGGCATTGAGGTGGTATTTCGTTGTTGTTGTTTTTTTTCTCGTTATTGAGTAAGACAAAAGACACAAATATAATTAATGAAATCATTAGAAAAATAGCTTTTGTTGAAATACTGTTAAATGCTGTTTTAACAGGACAAGAAAGAACGAGTAAATGAAATTTTATTATACATGTTTGCATCTTTTAAAATATTAAACAAGCAGATCATTCAGTAGTGCAAAAAGTGACCTTGAATTTCCAAATTTATTTACTTATGTACTTCTAAATTTATTTATTTGAGGAATTATATTGCTTGCCGATGGTACGGGTTTACTGATCCACAGTCTGGAATCGATAAATTATCATGGAGGGCTGGAACAAAATCTGGTTCCGATGACATTGTCCCATCAACAGATATACCAATTACCAACCCTATTGTAAACGTGAATCTTACCACATATCTTCCACTGCAAAAGAGAATATTTGTAACAGTGAGAGTGTATAATAAAGCAGGTATTTTGTTAAAAAAGGACCAATCTACAGATTGTTTAATTGAAAGTTTAAGAAAAAATGCGTAATCACATTGTCCTTGTAAATTACGTATTTCCAATTATTAGAATGTCCAAAAATGATACTTCTCATAATGCAACACAATAATTTCTTTATAAGTTAATTGAAATTTTAAAGATTCCGAGTGCATAAAAAATGGTTTTCGAATAAATTACTGAAAACATGACAACTAACGTGGCGTTTACGGCTGTGTTCATGCAAGTGGTTTTTCCCTTTTAGAATACCAATGAGCAAAAAAAATATATTTGTTTGTGTTACAGTTTGAATTCCTTCATATACACTGAACCTTTACAGTTTCAGTTAAAGTTCAGTTTTTCAAATTGAGAAAAATGTCAGCCGTTTGTTAGATAACGGTTGTTTTAGATTAAAACAAAAGCCAGCGATGGATATCAAAATAATATTCAAATACATAAGTCAAAAATATTCTTAATATCAAATATTGATGATTGACTTCCTGTATCATTATAAGTTTTGAAAAATCGAACTCCTTTAATTAGGAAGTAAGTTTAATGAGGGTCGGTTGAAAACAAAACTTTACGACAAAAGAGATGATTTCAGCTTCCCAGTTGTGAACTTTCCATTTCTATGTAGCAACATTCCAGCAGCGCATACGGAGTATATATCTCCCAATTGATACGATATTCCCGGGCTTGTATTTCCTATAATGATTTTCTTGATAGAGGATTGCTGCTCACAAGGAAGCTATTAAACCAAGAGTTCCAAATGGTGAAGTTGAAATCATCCCTTCGAAAATTTTACGGACGCCATCACGAGTTGGTTGACCGTTATGGAATTACCGTTTCACAGATGATATCGGATATGTTCCTTATGTCGTAACTACAATACCCTTCCCTTTTCACGAATGTGACCTACCGAATTAGACTATTCACCGTATTTGTAATAACATAAGCAACACGACGGGTGCCACATGTGAAGCAGGATCTGCTTACCCTTCCAGAGCACCTGAGATCACCCCCAGTTTTTGGTGCGTTTCGTGTTGCTTAGTCTTTAGTTTTCTATGTTGTGTCATGTGTACTATTATTTGTCTGTTTGTATTTTTATTTTTGGCCATGACGTTGTCAGTTTGTTTTTCGATCAATGTGTTTGACTGTCCCTCTGGTGTCTTTTGTCCCTCTTTTAAAAGATGACTTTAATATGAACACTTCTTACATAAATGTTATTATTTATTATTGTTTTTTTTTACAGGGTTATTTTCTGAAGCATCGTCGAATGGCTTCATTGTTGATGTAACACCGCCCATATTCTTTGAAAAACCATTTTTGGTTCAGGATTTTGGGTCTTTTTATAAGGATTCAATAGTATTCAGAAGTACTTTTAAAGTGAAATGGAAGGTTGAAGATAAAGATTCATTTATTGACCGTCAGTATATTTCAGTTGGTTGTCATATCGGTGGAAATTTTAGTTCGTCGTCTATTCAGGTACACTATTTTATTCGTAATATCATTTTAGATATTTTCAAAATTTTATTGAGTTAAATAGTTTAAAATCTTCTATTACCTAACTAAAGGACCGGTAGAATATTGAGAAAGCGCATTGAAGTGTATTAAATACTGGATTACACAAAGTATTGCACTTTGTTCCAATGCAATCTGAATGAAATAATAAGTTATCTGTTTTTAACCGTAGAATACTATTTGTTAGATTTCAAACCTGAATCGAATACCTCACTTTATATGAGTAAGACTTATTAAAACCGTTAATAAAAGATTGCAATGGCTAATTAAATATATAGCATCATTCGTAGTCCGGCTTCTCTTGAAAAAATCATTAATGTAGGTCCTTTGTGACTCTGCGCAGGGTTTAATTGTTCACTGCTGATTGATTGACTGATTGGTGTTTGCGCAACGACCTTCACTGTTGATAATCAATACAAAAATGTTCTACAAAATAAGACACAACACAAAATAAGATATTACAAATACACGTACTAAGAATGATACGTATTATCATCTCCAAGTTTGTTAAATCCAAGTAGTTAACTTTAGTTTATCATAATTAAACAAATATATTTTTCTACACAATAATACGAATCTGTACTTAAGACTACATGCGACAACTAATCAAAATATAATAGTACTAAATCATCACCACCATGTGTCGATGAAACGTTATCTTAAAAACATAGTTCTACTCGTGGATAATCATAATTTAAACAGTAGATGCCAAGACAAGACAGTCATCAATTAAAACATACAAGTGTAGGTAGACCGCATGTTAACTTAAAGAAAAAAATAATGTAAACATTATTAAATGGCTTATGATGAATGTTATAAGGTGACGAAACTAGATTATGTACTGTTAAATTTACTTGCCTTAATAAGTCTTACTGCCAAAAAAGAATATAATATGATATAACTCAATATCAATCATTACTCATCAATTATATAATCATGTAAGCCTCAGAGGTATCAAAAGTCACAAAGAGAAGATTTGTGTTATTAAAGACATCAATACTTTTAATTTCGAATTAAATCGATATCCGTTAGGTCCATTTAAAAGTTTATGCGTGTTGAACACTGTACATCGGAGTTTACAATTTCTCGCAATAAGAAAATAGCAAAGAAAGTCAGTAATTAGCCTTTTTAACATGTTATGTTTTTATAAAAAAAAGTTAAATCAAAGCAATTTTGAAATTTGTTTTATCATTAGTCATAAACGTTTCTATTCGGTTCGTCTAATAAGTACGAAGCCTTGAAAGCCAAACCGGTGAAATAGATTTACGTACTCTTAGATCGGAACGTTCTGTATTTTTGTTTCTTTGATTTTTGTGTTTTGTGCCGATCTGATGAGCCAAGTCCTTTCCAACAGATTTTTACAGTTTACTCTTGTGTTATGTTGTTTTATTACTGCCCTATGTTAATCGCTTTAACCCCGCCCAAAGTCGAGACTCATATACTGAAAGTATGTTTTATAGAAAGGAAACAGATTTGGATTACAAACAGCCACACATTTGATTTTCATGATGTCACGTGACACATATCAGAGGAAAGAACACACATTTGAGGCTTGGCAAAGGGACATAGAATTAAGTGACTTGCCGTCACGTTACAAGGATTTGAGGCTGGACAAAGATGTGACTCTTACATAGCTATAACATCCATATGTCAAAACATAGTATGAAAATGTTAATTAATTTTGATTGGAAATAGCGTGCAATTTTAAATCAAAATAGAGATTCGTACGCTTTCAATTGCATACTCCTGAGAATTAAACTAGACTGATAAACATTGTCAGATATTTTCATATGAAAGGTCAATATAGATATCATATACGCATCCAACATTGTAAACATGCAGTTACAAAGTGCCATGTTTGGTTTAAAATTGTACCTTGTGATAGCTTACACCCTACTAATTCCAAAATGATATAATTACAAAGTAGTTACTGGTGGTGAATTTCCGAAACCGAATATTTTAAAAAATTTTATGCAAATTGTATGGTGTTTGGTTATGTACTGAAGACAATGAACCTAAAAACATTTCAAATCTCCAGTTGTGCACTAACTGTTACTGTAACTGTTTATTTTATAAGGAGATGTGGTATGTTTGCCATTGAGACAACTCTCTAACAGATTCAATATAAAGTGGATTTAAACGACAATAATTCACTGTACGGCATTCCACAATTCGCAAATTCCATTCTGTTTGGTCAGCTATAAAAGGCTCCGACAAACAGTGAAACCATTCAAACGCAAAGAAGACGGTCTGATTTATAACACAACAATAAACAAAAATCAACAAATAATATAGACAGCAAACACCGGCACTAACTGAATGACAGGCTCCAGCGTACTTTGGACAGGCACATGCAAGTTTATATTATTTATCAAATTTCATATCCAGTATCAGCATCTAATAACTGATGGATCCTTATTCTCCAGTTGAATGGTATCGTACGAGAATATACGTTTTCAAGACTGGATCTTCATGATGGCGTTGAATATACTGTTCATCTGATTGCCTGCAACAGAGCTAAACTGTGCACAGGATCCAAGTCAGACCATATTTTAGTTGACAGTTCCCCTCCTACTCCAGGTAAATAAACATTATCTTTTAAGATTAAGAAATAAAGAAATAAATAAGATTAGATTTACAATGTTAAGACGTCATTATTATTTCATAATAAGTGCTTATTTTGAAATATGAAGGAAAATGATGATGTTACATCATAAATAACAGAATATTTTATTTAGCTTTTAACCTTTACCTTGATTATGTTATGGTATTTCTAAGATCGTTTGCAATGGTTTTAAAATCTACATCAGATTTTTTGCTCTATTTGGCTTCATCGTTCGTACTATTATTATTTTATCATGTTTATGCATTGAAAATAATGAAAACTGTCAAAATACCTTCATTTATAATTTGATGTGACTATAATACAAATGAGAGGTTTAGCTAGCTATAAAACCAGGTTCAATCCACCATTTTCTACATATGACAATGTCTGTACTAAGTGAGGAATATGACAGTTGTTATCCGTTCGTTCGATGTATTTGAGCTTTTGAATTTTTCATTTGATAAGGGATTTTCCGTTTTGAATTTTCCTCGGAGTTCGGTATTTTTGTTATTTTACTTTTTATATCTCTTTGTTATTATTAATAAGTTGACCAAATGCATTACCCAAAAATCATTTGGTACATAATGTCAAATACAAATATGTAATGTGTATAAAATATCTTTTTGGATAGGGCCTTGGCTCCTATTCAATTTTGCATCATCTATGTATGAAAGGTCATATGAAGTCAATTTAAACTAATTGTTTTTACAATATTATTTTTCCTATCATTCTCAAGTCTCAACTACAAATGAAGATGAACGAAAAAAAAATGCAATAACTTTATAAATGTATAGTAAAGAATAACAGTCAATAATACAATGATTAATACATCTTTAAGCCTTTTTTCCTTTATACAAAATAATCAATATTTTACAATTTTCCTTGTATCTACTTTGATGTATTGGTCAAGCACAAATCATAGAGTCAATGTAAACAATCCTATAATATATAAGCCATTCAATTCCTTCAAGAACAGATGGAATTATAAATTTAACTCGGAATAAGTAAATATATCACTTCAATATCAAAACGTGTATTAAGGATATCTTAATATACATGATAAATAACACCCAAGATCATACTTGATTAAGTTAGGTAAAAACTCATGCTATATACCTCTTCCAACGTTCGAAAAGAAATTAGCCGGAAAGTTCTAAAATATCTACATTCATACAAGAGGTGTATATATGTTTCTTCTGTTTCTGCACATAAAAGTGCACAATTCTGTTTCACTATATTTACATATTGATATGTAACGTATTTGTTCCTAGAATTCTATGGAGTAATCTATATTGCCCTCATTGTGGGATCTTCAGTTACGGAAGACTAAAAAACAATCTCCAGGAAATCGATTCCCAGTTTTGTTTTCCATTTCTCTTGTAAACGAGATAGGGTTCCCTTTATATTTTCTAGAAGATTTATTTTTAAAATGTTTTGATACTTTATTTGTTTTTAGTGCGGTTACATTTTTATGATGACTGTATTTAGTTTAAAAGTGATTTGTGAATGGACAACATGGTTCCATTCCTTTGGAAGTGCACAATTTGTCCATACAAAAGATCATTTATGAAAAATTTATTTTTCTTTATCCAACTTTTGTAAAAAGCTATTTTCCCACCAATTATACTATTGTCATTTAAAAACAATGGGAGCTGTGGACAGAGGTTCACAAAGTGATGCCTATGATGCAATCACATTTTGCCAAAAAGGGTTAAATTTATTTTTAATTTTATCGAGTGCTGATTTTGATAAATACAAAATATGTTTTCTTACATTTATTTAAAGTGGATCTGCCGATAACAGAAGACTAATTTGTAGGGATTACAACTTTTTGTATCCAGGATAGCTTAAGTGATTTTATAAAGGATTTTAAGTGTTGCATCTTTACACCGCCATACTCATAATTTGTGATAAGTACATTTCTTTAAACTTTTACCCCGTTTATCCGTACCACACGAACCTGTATAGCATAGCTTGTAACTCCCTTAATAGAACTGGTAGAATAGTAAAACATTGATTTAGAATTGGTAGGGCAAGAGTTTTCACAGCTATAATTTTTTTCCATATATAGTAATATTTCTAACGGACCATTCACTCATAAGATTTCTTACTTTTTGGATTGTTTCTAAGTTGTTGTCTATACAACTTATGACAAACAGTATTGCATGCCTTTTTGGAAATTTCCTGAATGGTTCCATAGTATCTGTTTTATCTGTGATGAGCTCCTTAGTCCCTTTTAGTCCCGATCTATATAACTTGTGTTGTTTCAAAGTTAGCTTTCAACCCAGAGCATGAGGAAAACAAGTCTTTCTGATTCAAAGCGCCGCTGTTTAGGGCCGGGATTCTTCATTATCGTTCAAGATCAAGCTGCATACTGACTGATTACAAATTCACAATTTTGGATTTTATACCGCTATTTTTATTGTCATATTTTAAATATATGTACTAAGCAGTTCCAAATATAAAAAAAGGTAGACAACGGATCCCCTTGCCGTACTCCCTCTCTATTACAGAAAAAATCAGAAAGATAGCCATTTTTTTTTTTAGTTTTAGTATAGGCTGGTAAACCATTTCACTATTGTGTCACCAAATCCTTGAATTTTTTAAGTCTAGCATATAAAGTTCCACTCTAGAGAATCGAAACTCAAACTCTAATAAAACAAGCAAACCTGTAAAAAAAATATTGAGTTTACCATCTGTTGGTAAACAAGTGATAACTCCTTGTGTTTATGAAATTGGTAATTTGCCTATTTGAAATGCTTCTTTGAAAAAACACGGCCGGAATGATTTAATAAGGTGTCAAACAAAACTATATAAATCAATCGTAAAACCATCCAACCCTGGATTATTCCATTTTCATATTTTTCAATGCATTCTGTATTTCTAAACTTGTTAATTCCCCCTCTTGATAAATATTTTGTTCATCATAGAGAATTTTTATAATGGGGTTTTCCATAGAAAAGAAATAAGTCCTGTGTAAATTATTTTTAATTGTTTTCTTGGATGTATAAAGATTCTCATAATATACTTTCTAGTTTTCCTTCCCCTCCCTCCAAAACTGGATGCGATAAATAGTTATAATAATCAGAATCGTGTACCCGTGGTTTCTTTGATGTGACTTAGTATATATTTTCTTGATGTAAATTTAGGTATGTTTGCTATCAATACGGATCATGTTTCAAAGCTGGGTCGAATGATTGATGGCTGGATGATATGGTCAGAGTATAAATTGTGGTTGTCCTGGCTGGGCTTTACTGACTTGCATACTGGTATAGAAAAATATTGTGTGACAGTTGGCAGTAAATATATGCAAAGTGATATCAATAAGGTATAACTAATTGTTCCATATGTTGATGTTTTGTTATAACATACTCAGCAATCAATCTTTCAGATATTACGGAGAAAATAGATAACTAGTAGAGTTTTGATGTCATAAATCAGAGTTATTACATGCAAACTAAATAAATGGCAGCCATACTGAAATATCTAAAAATTATTAATCACAGCAACACATTTCAGGAAATATCTTAAGTATGCTTTTGTCGTAATTGATTAAATTCATCAAAGCTCTTGAATTATTAATAGATATAAAGAAGTTGTTTTCAATGATAATTCATTTCATTTGTTTTATACCTTATTTATATAACAAATATAATGTCAACTTACCAAAATATATTTGATTTTAATAAAAAGACATCCAGCATGTCAACATGTTTTTCAGAAGAAGTTTTAGCCATATCCTAATAAGTATAGAACTTTACATTGAAGGTTAGAGGGTCTCCTGAAGTTTTTCTCCACAATGAATCAGGAATAGATAAAGGAGATGAAGGGTTTGTTCAAACATTTTTCATGGAAACAGTCAGTCTTAGTCCTTTTGAACATATATATGTCAGCGTTTGGGCTGTTAATAAGGTATGTGTAACACATTGGAAATTATATAAATTAATTCGTACATAACACACTATATTTAATGCACAGGACAACAGTTTTCCCGACTTTTTATACCATAAAGTTTGTAAAGTATTCGCAAATTTTTATTCTGAAGTGTAATCCATTAATTCCAGGAAATTTTGTGTCTTATTTTTACATTTTCTAAATGGGACATATTTACTGATTTGTCCTTATTTAACATTCCGCCTGTCCAGGAATTAAAGGTAGAGTTTAAGGTTTAATGTGTACTACCAACAAGATTAGTATTAAAGAAAACCTATATGGGTGCCTTAATCATGCTTTTTTTTGGTGGTAATTGTTTTACACCTTTCATTAATTTATACATATCAAATTGCTGACATGATTCTATGGAATATACAGACAGTTGATTTATACAAATTTCACCCTCTAAAATGTAATTAATTTCATTATGTTTACAGTTTTTATGTTCAGTATTGCTGGAAGGATTCACTTATTTCGAACATACAAAGCAAGAAATTAGAAATAATTTAGATTTCAAATTGAACTGCTGTGTAACAATTTTCGACAATTTATTGTTTTAAATACCACACCCAATCTCCTTAATAGAGCCTAAGACAAGTCCTATACTGGTACTACTAATAGTTGACATATTTTTTAACACAATTCTTACAGGCTACTAAAACTTAGTTATCAAATTTAGTCACATAAAAAAAACTGTTTTGGTAAAACAAAACTTTTTTTTTATATTTTGCTTTGTTTATGGAAGAGTCTTTATTCTTTAAAATTACTAATTAGCCCAACGTTCTCAACTTGCAATTTGAACGCCAATCCTAAAAACTGCTAAATATGTGAAGAATAACTTATTGCAAAGCAGTTTTTGAACAGAAATAAAGTAGATGCAATGTTATCAATCTAACCAACTTGTATTTATTATTGACTATATATGTCAAATGATAAGGGAAAATTAAATGAAATAACACACGTGTAGCTCCAATTTTAGTCATAGAAAAGTCAGTAACTCTATATGAATGTCGTACGTCCAAAGTGCTTTTCTGGATTAAGGTTCCACAGCAACACTTAGAGCCGAAAATTCATTACTTTATACATGGTAAGCGATCAACTACTTTGTCTTTGGTTTAAGGAGGTAACCACGACTTTACTTTCCACTAATAATCAGTAAATTCTAGTTATTATTTGGTTTTAATAAAACTAACTTGCTTTTGTAAAATTTTAGTTTCTAAATATGCAATGGCACCAATTCTAATGATGCAACACCAATTCCTCATGTAAGTTGGGGTGTGATGTTTCAGGACGGCGTCGGCGGCGACGATTATTTGGCGCCGCTTTAATAAATCTAACAAAAACTGTTGTTGTATGTCGTACAAGGATAAAACTATTGCAAAGTAATAACATTAAGACTACCTAGAGGCACATCGCGATCTCCGTTACATCGTTACTTAACATGAAATATTTTTTGAAAGGACGAATAGTCGGCTGGACTGCTAAACTAATTTGATAAACATTTATGAGAAACTATTTTCTGAATAAGTACACCATAACTATACACATTGCAGTGCAAATAGTTCAAACATTGGTTAGCGTTTTGTTGTTAGGAATGGTTTGATCCTCTGAGGAAGAAATTCCACATTAAAATCTATTATCAACTGCAATATCGGATACTTATATCCAACCCACACAACATGAAGCGGGAATTATAAAATTTAAAAAAATATACCTAAGGAGCAATAAGCATCAAATGACAAAGAAAAATACACAATACTATAGTTAAAAGAGAAAAAAAAACAATGCTAGTTGATGATCCACAAAACATTAAACGCAAAGCTATAGATACACTAACATCGCAAAATCTGGGTATCAAAGGTGCATTATCTTATGCAGGTTGGATTGTCTAGTCCAATGATTCATTCTCAGTTCAGATTGGTACCTGGTGGTTCAATAGAGTTAGTTCGCCGTTGCACTGCTAAAACTTGTTTAGGCCATTGTGTCTGTTCTACACAAGATGGCCGCTGTGCACTTGAAGACAAACAGTGTCATGACGTTTCAAATGGTATGCATCATGTTTTTTATCTCATGTTTAATGAGAAATATTTACATTAGTTGACCGCATACAGTAGTTATTGATACAATGAAACATTCTTAGTTTGATATATAACCAAAGAGGTCCTAAGAGTTTTGCCAAAACTGTTTTTGGCTAACGAATTTAATCTATAATCTAGTTAGATGAAGTGTGTATGTATTTTTAACCTCCAAATCAAAATAAGGAGAAACTATATAATTGCCAATGTGAAACTACCCACGAAAGACCGCAGGATAAAGATGTGAGCAACTACTCTGCTGTCAAATATAGTTATTCCATGAAGCATATACTTGCTCGTCCTTTGTATGTTTTTTATGCCCCCACCGTAGCGGAGGGTGCATTAAGTTTTACCCTTGTCCGTCTGTACATCCGTCCGTTTCGGTTTCCGTTCTCTAACTTTAGTTTGCCTCAACCAAATGTTATGAAACTTATACACAATGCTTATTTCCACAAAACACAGATCAAGTTGCAATGTTGATGGCGTCACTATAGCCCTTCTAGAGTTATGTCCCTTTACCAATGGAAAAGGGCTGAATTTTTCGTTTCCGTTCTCTAACATTAGTTTGCCTCAACCAAATGTTATGAAACTTAAATACAATGCTTATTACTAAATAAATCCAATCAAGTTCGAAATTGGGTGGCGTCACTTTTACTGCTCTTGAGTTATGTCCCTTTATAAACATAAAAAATGCTGAATTTTTCGTTTCGGTTTTCTAACCTTAGATTGCCTCAACCAAATGTTATGAAACTTATACACAATGCTTATTAACACATAATACAGATCAAGTTTGAAATTCGGTGGCGTCACTTTTACTGTTCTAGAGTTATACCCCTTTTTAAACATAAAAATTGCTGAATTTTTCATTTCCGTTCTCTAAATTTAGTTTGCCTCAACTAAATGATATGGAACTTATCCACAATGCTGATTACCACAAAATACAAATCAAGTTTGAATTTTGGTGGTGTCACTTTTACCGTTCTAGAGTTATGCCCTTTACAAACGGAAAAATCGCTGAATTCTGTTCTCTAGCTTAAGTTAGCCTCAACCAAATGTTATGAGACTTGTACACAATACTTATTACCACAAAACTCAGATCAAGTACAAATTTGGGTAGCGTCACTTTTACCGTTTCTTAGTTATGTCCCTTTATAACTTTATAGGATATGTAAGCGGGGGCATCATCTGTGTCCTATGGACACATTCCCCATTAATTTTTTTTCGTTTTTGATTTTAACGTTCTTTTCATAAAGTAAAGTAAAACTGTAAACTGCAATGAACCAGATAAATAGTAACACAGTGACATAATGGCGAACATATGCTTTTCCCTTTAACATACGCAATAATCACAGATGAACCAAGGACACATTTAAATAAAATTCAGAAGATGCGGTATAGTTTCCAATGAGACAACTATCTATAACGACTAAACGATGAATTAACACGTCACCGTAAAAAGTAATCAAAACCAATAGCTGATATCAGGCTAAAAAATGCCCCCGGAATGGAAATTATTGAGGACGAATGAATTCCAAAGAGAAAACAAACGACATGATTTTAGCAAAAACATTTAAAGACAAACAATTTTGCAGACAGCAATCAAGACAACCACTTGACAATAGACTCCAGGTTTAGGACATGCACATAAAAAATCTGACGGGTTAAACCCTATTTAAGCGCTCAATCCTCTCCTTATATGGAACAGTATTGTAAAAGTGATATATTAGAACAACTGTAAAAAATCACCTGGAAACGGTTCAACTCAAAAGTGATAAATGAAGCAAAGTAACTGTCCACGAATACCTGCATTTTTTTCAATGAATATCGTATATAACGAGTCGCTAAAACTTTATAGATTTAACTGGTTTGTTTTTTGTTGTTTTTTTTTTAGTACTTGCTTCTTTTAAATTTTTTATATTTATTGAAGAAAATCCAAACAATGTTATTGGAGTTTATGATGTAACTAATTTGCAAGATGTTCCCCTGTATGATATTCAGTACACCCCTTCTGTAGTTGAACTGGTGGCAAAGTGGCAAATTATTCAAGTTCAAGGGTTGCCTCCGCTGTGGTAAGTTACTAAGCTCTTTTAGCTAAAAGATGTTGTCTCTTATAAATGTGTCTTTATAACGACTGGGATTGTTAAAACGAAATGACAACATGCTGGTAAAGGGACCATTGATTTAATTTGATTGATTCAAACATTCTTGATCCTATTCGATGAACTGATAGAAACAGTGGGATACAGTGTCAGAATTTATTTTTTTTAATTAAAACAAAATAAAACTGTTTTTATTTTATTTTATTTTTTTTCATTTCTGGATTACAGACATTAATTGACAATCCAGTGAAAGAGATCTAACAAATATGATTAAAAGAATGTGTTTGATAAGTGTATGTGTAAGTTGCTGTGTGAGAAAGCAAACAAAAACACACGAAAATGACAAAAGCATGGATGAAAACATTCAATAGTAAAGACCAATTCACGTTATATTGCCATATGTCATTCAAACATGAAAACAACACAAAACCATATTTGATGGACAAGATCCTTGCAATATGTTTTGGTGTTTTAGGTCTTTTTCGGGCGGGGTGTTATGACATCTAATATTTTATTTGAAATGTTATTTCATTGAAATCTATCATCGTTGTCAATATAATGGAATTTAATGCGACTGTCGTACAAGTGAGAGGTTTAGCGCTATAAAACTAGGTTCAATCCACCATTTTCTACATCAGAAAATGCCTGTACCAAATCAGGAATATGACAGTTGTTGTCCATTCGTTTGATGTGTTTGTGCTTTTGATTTTGACATTTGATTAGGGACTTTCCGTTTTGAATTTTCCTCGGAGTTCAGTATTTATGCGATTTAACTTTTTTCTGTCATGTACCTTAGTACAAGCCAGCATTCTTCTGTAGAGGGTGCAAAAACGTAACCACTTGTAGAATAAAGTAGGAAAAGCTGAAATTGTTGATAAACAAGTTTACGACAAAGACTTACAAAAAATACTAATTAGATATTTTAAAATCTTCTCGTCATTTGAACTGTAAGTTTTAATCGAATTTAATTTTAACCTGACCTAAATGACATCAATGGTACACTTTTCGTCGGTCATAGGTCACTGTTGAAGTGTTGGAAGACGTCAAGATTGTTAAATTAACAAAAGGTTGCATAACTTAGGAGGTTCACCACATACAAAATTATTTTGAAAGGTACGAATGGAGTGTCGGTCTAGCTACAAATGATGAACCAGAAGGTGTTTTTGACAATGATAACGATGTCATTTGGAGACATAGTGGACAAACAAATCAAGCGTTTCTGAGTATTGAAAGAGGCAAGTTTATACATTTGTTCATTATCTTTGTTGTAATGACAATTTAAATTAAATACAAATGGCAGAGAAAAACAAGATTTAATTGTGAATATACTTTTACTTGTTACGTACTAGTAATTTATCTCAAGATATCAAATAGATCTTCAAATAACGCATTAATCCATATATATAAAACAGACAAACAATGAAGGGAAAATAAACGGATTCGCTAGATCTCAAATTGGATAAAGACTTGGCGATGACCATCTCATGCTATGCATGTACCTCCCATTCTTAAACAACGATCAGTGGTACATGTCAAAGTGTGGAATATGACAAAACTGGGTTTAACGTCAAACTGTCATAATTGACATATTGGATAAACGACAAAGTTACTTTGTCATAAGAGCATATGAAAATTGAGATACTTTAGCCATCAAGTAATTTATGATGGTGACATTCTTCCCCATAACCCTGTCGGAATAGTTTTTTTTTGTTCAGAGTATACGTCTGTTAGAGATTGATTGATTGATTGGTGAAATCTACATGTTAATGATAATAAGACCTGTCGTATCATATCAATTGAAATTTGTAAAAGATTTAAGCTTGGACAGGTGGTATGTTACTTCGCAAGAATGGTAAATTACAACCTATAGCAAGAAATTTCATTCGCCATTAAAAAAGAAAAATTGAATATACTTTGTTAAGCTATAAGATAACAGCATTTAATCTAAAATGAGGGACAATGGTGTAGACCGGAGATAAGTACTAGTAAATGTGTTGATGAGGTTTGAAATGTTATTGACTTTGAGATTCTTCCAAATCTGTTCAAATCGTAAAAAATATCATATGATTGGCGAATTGCGTAAATAACACCTGTTCACAGTATTGACTGTATTATTCATGAATATGTAATATAGCTCGAAAGGATTTCATGGAACATCTACATTATCCCTCTATGCAACGCTATTCATATGGTTTCTTCTTGATTAAGGTATCCAATATGAAAAAAAAAGATTTGCATATTTCATACTATACTAATAGTCATAAGGAGAGATACATGTCGTCTTTGATAAGGGATGAAGGTGCGGTAGTATACACGATGTACTTTTGATTAAAAGAAGGTGCATTTATAAAAGAGATGCTTTGTCTCCAGTCTTGCTACAACAACGTTACGTATTTTCTTATCACAGAGTCAAATGTGTTACAAAAATATTTTTACATCTTTGTTTTTTTTTTGTATCATAAGCCTTTTCTTCGTTTATTCAAATTTAGACTCAATATTATTTTAAAGCATTATTAGCTGTTACATTTAGGACGTCCACATTGGGAATGGGCGGAAGTTGGTTTAATAAATGAATAATTGGTTTTTGCTTATCCCAGAAACGGTAAATTTATTATGTACATCTAAGTCAGGAAATATAATAATAAATAAATTTTCCTGGGCGATAAAATGTGGTTGAACAAATATAACGAGTGTCTTATCTTACTGGTACCTTAAAAGAACATATAATTTAAGTAGATAAGAAACAAAATTAAGTAGAAAAAACGGGTCCGTAATAAACATATCCATTGTTGTTACTTGATAACTAAAGGAAAAGAAATCAAATATTTACTCGACACAGTCTCTTAACACATTACATAATTGGGCGATGCTATATATTTGCGAATCCAGTACAACCATACAGACGTCTGTACATCAACAGTCAGCGAATCAGAAATGTGATTAGAGTTCTCCACAGGTATAATTGTGGTTGAATGATCTTCAGCTTTTTGATTGTTTCTAAATTAAAAACTACAAGAGCAATAAAATATCTTATTTTCTGATTTATTCTAAATGTAGGCAGAGAACCACTGAGGGAATTTGTCACCTATTCATTTTTTGTTCGAGCATGGTTTAGTGATCATACATATGCAGTTTTCAAAACAAATGGAGTGACAATTTTGTCGACACCCTTAGCCATATCTAAATTAAAAGGATCTACAGTAAGTTGATAAGCATTAGTAGTTTCAATTTTATTCGTGTTATTCGGTCTGCTTTTTAAATAAGATTGATAAACGGGATCAGAATATACACTTATCAACATTTTCAGACGACAGAACATGTGACATATTAATAATATATGTACGTGTATATAACAATGGTCTGTCTAATTGAACAGATAAAGTTTAAGAGTGGTGTCTGCTTTTTAAAAATGATCGAAGAAAGGGAACAGAATATACACCTTATCAACATTTTCAGACGACAACACATATGACTTGTTAATAATATATGTATATAACAATGGCCTATTATTTTAGATAATTACATTGCATGTATGTTTCATTATAAGGCGTTATTTTGATTGGCTAACAGCAATCTCGCGTCATTCTGAAATTAACCTTCATTTCAAAATTAAATGTAACATTCATGATGACACAAGCTTCCACAATTAAGTGCACAGGTGAAAAAAAAGAAAAACTTGTTGGAAATCGTGTTTTCAGGATCCTAGTAAAAATATATAATTATAATTAAATTGAGAATGGAAATGGGGAACTGTGGCTTTACCAACGGGGACGCCTAATAAGTAGATCCGTCGCCCGTCTATCGTATTGGATTCTTCTTTTAGTTATTTCATACCGCGCTACAAACAAAATGTACTTCGGTCAACTCTTTAACACCCTAATAAATTTAAATAAAGAATCATTCAGTTTAATTTAACAGATAACTAGCAGGAGATGCTTTCCCTGTTGAAGCGCCTGGTCTCGTTCCTTTTGGAGTTGAATCGATTCCCTTAGTTTTTGTTTGTTTCGTTGATCTGTCTCCTTCATCTATTTAAGAGATTTGAATTTCGGTTAACTACTGTGGCTTTCATTCTTAACGGGTCTGTTGAAGGCCGTACCTTGACCTATAATGGTTTACTTTTATAAATTGTAACTTGGATGGAGAGTTGTCTCATTGGCACTCATACCACATCTTCCTATATCTATCTACTGACTTTCAATACCACTAAAACATGACATATATATATATTAAATATTATTCTCTAAATCATTCTGACACAATGAAATTGTAAATTAAAGCCTGATGTTAAGTGAATTAAAATGAAAATGTCGACTAACAATAAGCAATATTGTTTATACTTTAAGGTATGTGAACAAAGACCTGGACATTGGAAGAAGGATATTGATTTCATAAGACCAGGATTTCCTTTTGCAATCAAGTGGAGCAACATTTTCATTGATGCGGATGAAATAATTGAACGATTTAACATTTATCTCAGTACATTTCCAGGCGGTAAATACCAAAATCAAAATTATACAAATAATGAAATGAAACTCTTGTGTTCTAAACTTCAGTCGTTCTTTTCGTAAACGTTTTTCACTTCACTTTTTGATGCATATCACATAACATATTACACATAAATGATATTCGAATGTTGACCATTAACATTAACTTTTTAAATAATATGTTGATATATTTGCTAAAAGCTGGTTTTCGTAAGTATTTTGGGATATTAAATATTTGTTAACATTTTGCATATTTTAATTTAGGTTATGATGAACATATCGCTAACATAGATTTACCTGGAACAGTCACAGCATACAATGTCAGTCGTATACCTTTAACCCCAGGCATTATTTTCTACAGTAATGTTGTAGCTTATAGCTTTTCAGGAATACATTCAACAGCAACATCTGATGGGATAACAGTTGACATTGTACCGCCATCAGCAGGGAGTGTAAAGGATGGAACAGGTTGGACTTGAGGCATATTAATTTTATTTTATTTTGATATAAGATATATTGATGTCATGATATACAAAAATGTACAAGGAGAAACGTCCATTACTCCAAAGAAGTCTAGATGTCAGTCTCATAAAGTTTGACATTTTTTGTTTTTGTACCAAGTTAGAAATGTGAAAGTCATTGTTAATTTGTTGTAAACACTTATAGATAAAGAGTGTAGTTTTGGAAATTCCCATTACAATTTAACACCCATTGTTAATATAATTGGTCTCAGACATATATGATAAACCTTGTCTGCATCTTGAACCACGAGCCGTTGCTGAGTCATGTGAAATGTATTAAAACAGGTGTAAAACATGCTTATCACTCTACTTTTCGTCTTTTTTGTAAAATAGCTTTTGAAATAATGTTTCCAACGATTGTAGGTCTCTTACTAGCTTGATAGATAAATACACAAAACAGTACAATTGTAAGATGTAAGATGTGAATATTTGATACAGAATCTAATTTTATGTTGTTCTAAGATATTTATGATTATGATGTGTGATTATGTTTGCAATGTTATGTTTGGATAAGATGCTTATTGTTTTATTCTTGTATAAATAATGGTATTAGTATTCTCACGAAGACGTTTACTGGAACATTTGGAAGAATCTTGAGAAGTTTTGGTATCCAATATAAAATGAGATATAAAAAATCGCGCTTTGATGCTCATATGTCAAAATCAAAGGAAATACAGACGAATTTGTGATTTCTAAGATTTCCTCTTTCATGCATTATGTAGGTGTATATATAAGATCATAAGATTTGTTGTGAATTTTTTTGTTTGAGGCTCTGCCCGTTGACAACATATTTTTCGTGATCCGTTTAGATAAAATGTCTAGTTTTGGCTAGTAACTATCTTGTTATTTGAATAGGTATTTATGATTGTGATTATCAAGACGAACCTCAAGTCATAAGCGCATCTTGGCATGGTTTTTCTGACCTGGATTCCGTCATTACGCAATATATGTGGTGTGTGCAGACGGTTTCAGAGCTAACTTTATGTAACATCAGAGCCTGGGAAAATGTTGGTATCCAGACATCTGTATCTCGAAAATTGAATGGAACTTCTCTTTCGTCAGGTATATTAAATAATTTTTTTACTAAAAAGCTGATAATATACAGAGTTTCAATGCTCTATTCAGCAAGTATGATAACAAAAAGTCACAGATACAGATTTTTCTATATTGATTGCTAGTCTTAATTTGTCTATATGAGATGAGTAATTATCAACAGTTTGAAAAACAGAATACATCTTGAAAAGTAAGTCAGAAACGATACAAAACAGAAAAAAAACATTTTTATTTTGGTTTTTGACACAGTTTTCTTATTTTTATTTAAAACAAATATATCATTTATAACATTGAGTTTCTATTAAAGGGGCAGGTAAAAACGATGATAAACATACTTTTTAACCAACAATATGAAATCAAACAGACCTAGAAAAATCCAATTGCAAGTGGTCGCTATCTGTTTATATTTATGTTTATGTTTATATTGGGTTAAATGATCGTCGGCAATCTTCGGAGGTCATCTCAATGGTTAATTGTCTAGACAAAAATACACATGGAATGTTGGTACATATTATCGAGTCTATGCATTGTTAATTGTTTATTTCAGACGTTTTGTAATTTGGATAAACGTTTAAGTATGTTATAAATCAAAAAGGAGAATTTGAATCAAATCGGTGAACATGAATTTGACAGCTAATGCCCCTTTAAAATGTATCTCATATATTGTTGAATAAGTGTTATTTACGTGTAAGTAACACTATCACTAAGTACAGACTGTTATAAATCTTTGTCTTATGGCTCGTCTCGCACAAAAGGCCTGTGTTGCCACTTGGTTCATTTTGTGATTGGTAATTATTTTAGGAACGAAAATTCAGAGTCTAGTATATGCAGTGGATATTGTTGGACATGAGTCTGAAACTGTCCGGTCAAATGGTGTAATCGTTGACATAACTCAACCCATTCCAGTTGAAATGATACATTTGGACATCAATATTGCTTCAAATCCATCTTTTGAGCTTTTAAAAGGAAATTACGTGCTTTTGGAGAATGTAACAGATGATAGCAGCTTGTGCGTTATGACTGAATACGTTCAACTACTAAATTGGACAAAGAATTCTGATTCCTGTGTAATAGTGTTGAAATCAAACAGAAACATTGCGTTTGACGGACGATCGTTTGTATTAATTAATGGCGTGATATCTCAGAGTGTGTCAAGTCTTGAGGAAGGTTACCTGTATCGTATTACGTTTGTTACAGCACATCCTTATTGGAAAGGGACAGATGGTGCAAATAAAGAAGGATTCGCTCAGATTGGACATGAACGACATGTTTTTTTTGTATATACAAAGCAGGACAGACATACAGCACAAACTTATGATATTCCTTGGCATCACCATACATTTTATTTTAGACCAGTCTTACAAAATATGACGATTAGTTTCGGAAGTTTAGTTGGAAATACAGGACTTTATTTTGATGATGTAAGAATTCAAAAGGTGAACATGCTAAAAACGGACAGTAATCAAACCTCTGGTAGACATATCTTTAACCATATTGTAACGATTCATCAATGGTCATCAGTTCACGCCTCGTGGCATTTCATGGACCCAGAAAGCCCCATTGTTGATTACACATGGGCCATAGGTAAATATATAAACTTTTTTTTAATTATGTTTCTAAAAAATAAGAGAAAAAAAATAGAAATAAAACACATTTGTGCATTTGAAACAGGTCTTAAAGTTCAATTATAACTTACATCTATTTTATTAGCAAAAAACGTATAACAACAATACCGAACTTCAATGTAAATTCAATAAGGGGAAGTCCATAAAAACTGACAAAATCAAATGTTATAAATCAACGGCACGAGTGAAAAACAACTGTCATATTCCTGACTTGGTACAGGCATTAATTAATACTTGGCTTCAGAACTGTAAGGTATAAAGTATTCCACGTTTGAAACATAAAATCATAGAATTTATTCAAACTTTGTTTCATAAATAATACCCAACGTAGAAACAAATACATGTATGTTGTTTTCGGCAGGGATAAATCATTATTCATAAAAAACAAAAATGCTTTACAAAACACTACACTGATTCTAACAAAGATTTATTCGAACTAAAAACATCAAGACGCTGGATATTTTTTATTGTCAATCTCACAAGGTTGGTTAAAAGTATTTTTCAACAGACAATCGGCATTCTTATGAGCTCCAATTGTAATCCTCTTCTCGTCTGTGTGCTCCTTAATTCGTACGCGGCAGCTCTCAAGCAGAAAGAAAAGAACCTTGCATTATCATTCAACTTGTTTTAAAAATGATAAAGACGATGTTCTCTTAATTAATAGTTCAGTAATGTTGATAGCATCTTTTCCATTTAACTTGAAATAAAGGAACAAGTTTCAGTTCGATCTGCTTCATAGTTTGACTTACATCTGAAAATTGGAGGAGAACTGAAATTTACGACAAAATAGTAGATTCTATTTCCGATTTTCACAGTTGTATAATTTGGAAAAACATAATTATTTCTTAGACAAAAGAGGATCTAGTATACTTAAGATTTAAATACAAAATTGTTCATCTTAAGTATAAACGAAATGGAGAAACAAAGAATAGAACGCGTTTTCAGTAGGAAAGATGTTTTCAGTAGGGAAGATATTTCCTAAAGATGTATCTTTTGGCTTCTCAATCTAAAAATTATGGGTTAAATTTGCTTAACAGTTTTGTTATTTTTCACACACTTTGTTAAAATTTATTGACTAGCTTATCAATATTATCAATGTAAATCAATAAATTTATTGGATGAAAATAAATAACTATAAAATACTGACAAAATCCGCCTTTGGTAAAGATTTTGTATGATAATTAGATTTTATTTCTATAATGGTATTTCTATAAAAAATATTTTCCCTATAACCAATACGTAAAAATTCTTAAAGATGATAAAAGCAGATCATCAGAAAAAAGTCAAAACGATTTCAAATAAACAAAGACATGTTCTGAAAAAACAATTATTATTCAACATCATCATTTCGCCATTTCTGAGGCAGAGGACTACGGGTTATTCCAGTTTGCCAAAATGTTAATAACGGCACATCATTGGTTAAATGTCCATTATTATTTTAACCAATCACTTCATGCTTTTGAAAATATTACCCAGAATGCATTATATTCTAAAACGTCCAATTGGTAGTGAAGTCTTCCTGATAACCTTGAGCATATTAGGAGACATTCTTTTCTGTTTGATAAGAGATATTTAATGACATTGACCGCGTAGTATGGGAATGACCGTGAAATTTGAAAGGTGATGACATTAATGACATTAACCTTCGATCGTTACAGCTTCTTTATCGAGCAATCAGATGTTGATAATGAAGCTTTTCGACATTAAAGGCGTGAACATGTAATAATATTACCATCTATCGACCATTCCGTACAAAGTGTTTCATACATCACTTAATCTTCTGCAAATATAAATATGTATGTACATTGCTTTCATAAACAATAAATAATTACATTTTTTTCAAATACAAATTTTTTAAAAAATACGAAGTTTCTAAAAAGGTAGTAGTACTTCGCAGTATCAAAATTACGTAAGCTTTAGTGTTTGTGTTTGTACTGTTTTAGGAATGAGAAGGGGGTTTCATTTTTATTTCATCGTATTTATTATTTTTTGCTGTTTTTTTTTTTTTTTTTTTCGTTTTCGGATACTATTATTTAGTTTAAGTTTACTGTAACATTATTAGTATGATTATTAAAATAACACAAAATGACAACTAACAGGAAACAGGTTCATAGAGTGAACCCATTCGTTCTGAAGGTCACGAATTAGACAAACGTGAGAGTACCCAAATTGCACCTATTTGGACATTTCTTTCATCTACACTTTCTTAAGAAACAAAGTTTCAATTCTGTGTTTGTTTTGGAGTTGTATTATTATTTACTATAAAGTTCCGCAAAGGAGAATGTTCGGTAGGGGCTAGTTTTGGCCTATTATTCGAAGTACATCTAATGAAAGATTTAAAAAAAATTTTAAACACTTTAGTGTCTTCCTCAGTCGATTCAATTAGTTCATTTAAAAGATTTATACTGATTTAGTCATCAAAGACGCTCAAATTCAAGCTTAATCATGAAAAAATGTATCAAATATGCAATAAAACGTCACTTTTCAGATGGTTTTTGTCTAAAATGTAACTGGCCGAATTCGTGTTCAGTCTCAACCTTTATATATGTTATGTATTATCATCAAATACAACATTATTTAAATATTAAGACTGAACACAAATGCGGCCACTTCCATTTTGGACAAAAACCGTCTTAAAATTAGCACAAATGCTAAAATTGTGAAGATTTCAGTAATATTGCATGAACTTATGATGCTATTACCTGATGCATGTGCATTGTATTGTCAAAAACAGCCCATATTTATGGGAACAGAAGTATTCTTCTTTCCAATAAATAGCTAAAAGTTTACATTTTAACAAATTGGTAAAATGCTATATTTTGGGGCCAAAAAGGGGTCTTACCGGACTTACTCCTTTAATTTTTAATCCATACTGAATCGATGACAAATGAGTTTGAACCGACCTCCAAACGACCCAAGATTTATGTAATTAGGAGTACCTAAATTGATATAAGAAGATGTGGTATGAGTGCCAATGAGACATCTCTCCATCCAAGTAAAATTTTAAAAAAGTAAACCATTATAGGTCACAGTACGGTCTTCAACACGGAGCATTGGCTCACACCGAACAGTAAGCTATAAAGGGCCCCAAAAAATTACTAGTGTAAAACCATTCAAACGGGAAAACCAACGGTCTAATCTATATAAAAAACGAGAAACGAGAAACACTTATGAACCACATCAACAAACGACAACTACTGAACATCAGATTCCTGACTTAGGACAGGTGCAAACAAATGCAGCGGGTTTAAACGTTTTAATGGTACCAAACCTTCACCCTTTTTCTGAAACAATAGTGTAACATCACAACATAGAAAGACACACTATAAAATATCAACTGAAATAGATTAACTCAATCAAAGGACATATTAACACCATTGAGCATACACTGAACAAATAAATTTGACCTATGACACAATGTAAATACAAAATAAATAAACTAAGGGAAGAATAATAAAAGTAACATGTTATATCGGTAAGAACAAAAATACCATCCATTTGCAATAACTTTAAACACAGGTAAATGAAAATAATTTTGTTGTTAGGTATACCTGTACAGTACCAATAGAGAAAGGAAATATTTTTACAAAATAAATAATTTTGAATACAAAATAAATAAACTAAGGGAAGAATAATAAAAGTAACATGTTATATCGGTATGAAATGTTAAACAATTAAAGAAAAACAATATGCTCGAACAAAAATACCATCCATTTGCAATAACTTTAAACACAGGTAAATGAAAATAATTTTGTTGTCAGGTATACGTGTACAGTACCAATAGAGAAAGGAAATATTATTACAAAATAAATAATTTTGATGTTCATAGTACGAAGTGAAAATTTATAGTTATACCAAACACTTATAAAAGCTGGTATATAGACCTGAATAACATTAAATAACAAAAAAGCAATACAATTAGTATCAACAGGTCAAATAAACAAGAAAGTACGATTTGAGAGTACTCGCAGTTACTGACAGCTAGTTAAAAGCCAAAACAATTAATAATAAAAAAATCATGCATCAGAGACTAAAATCAACTAAAACACATCCCAGGGATTTAGTATTTTAATGTCATGGACAGTCAAAGAAGACATGACTAGTGCAATGCCAAAAATAAATGTATCGACAGACAGTAGGATAGTTAGGAGTTTAACCTCTTTATAGATCTAAACGAACGTGGGTGCGTCTTTATACATCCCACTTGAAAAAAATACAAATTTAGTTATGTTTTAATTTGCTGATGACAAAATCGATATTAGTGCCAATGTAAACTATATTCAAAGATCTAATTACAACATTGGTAAGATAACCTTTACTGATAAGCCTGTTTAAAGGTTCGATGAGTTTACACGGATCACATAGTGATTTCCGCGCTTTAAGTACAATATTACCGTAAAATTTAGGATGTGAAATACCGTTTTTAATCAGTTTTCTACAAGTACAGCCAAATTTACTAATCAAATCTTTGTATCTATGAAAGAACTTAGCAAAAGTTTTACGTAATTTATGGTAACGAAATCCTTGATTTAATAATTTACCAGTGATGCATTGATTACGTTCATTAAAATCTATGACATCACTACAAACACGGGCATAACGAACGAGTTGGGATATATATACACCGTATGATGGAGCCAAAGGAACATCGCCGTCTAAAAAAGGAAAATTAACAATAGGGAATGAAAAATCGTCTCTTTTGTCGTAAATTTTCGTATGGAGTTTTCCTTTAGAGATTGAAATGTCCAAATCCAGAAAAGGACAACTACTGCTGTTTATGTTAGATTTAGTTAAAGTAATTTCAATTGAGTAAATTTCGGTAGTATATTTAGAGAACTCTGGATTATTTAACGAAAAAATATCATCTAGATAACGGAAGGTATTGTTGAATGTATCAACCAAATGTAACAATGACGTGTCTTTACTGAGTTTGGTCATAAACTGAGATTCATAGCAATACAAGAATAAATCTGCTATTAAAGGGGCGCAGTTAGTGCCCATAGGAATACCTACTACCTGTCGATACATTCTATCGCCGAAACGTACATATATGTTGTCCAGGAGAAAATTTAAAGCTTCAATCATATCTTCACATTTCCAGTAAGTGTATCTAGCATACTTTCCTTTTTCGTTACATTCATGCTTAATTTCGCATCCGTAAAAATCGAATTAATGATATTTTGTTAATATTATTCCACATTTTTAGTACAATTTGCTAATAGTCCATGCTTTAATACTATGCATTTTGTAAGAAATTGTTGCCTGTGACATATTTAATTGTTCGTTTTTTAAAGTTGACTTTGTGTGGACGTCGTATAAAGTAAAATCATAAAAATACTGAACTCCGAGGACAATTCAAAAAGGAAAGTCCCTAATCAAATGGCAAAATCGAAAGCTCAAACACATCAAACGAATGGATAACAACTGTCATATTCCTGACTTGGTACAGGCATTTTCTTATGTAGAAAATGGTGGATTGACTACGTTATGCGACGTTTCCGTAGATTTTACTTTTTTCACTGGATACTTATATCTGTTGGTAAATAATGTGACCGTTCTGTGTACATTTAAATATATTTAGTTATGTTAAAAGGCGTGCATAATGACAAATTATAAAAACACTAACTGTTTAGTCTTGAGAAAAACCTGTAAGATTGAAGCTGCTTTTCTAGGTTACTCGGTGTATATCGCTTAACAAGCTCCGCTAATGCGAAGCAAAACGTAATTTCAATCATTTATTTTATTTGGCAATATTCATTGTTACGGGAATGTTTGGACAATATACGGAATGTTAAACATATTAACACAAACTGACGGTCCTATACTATTTTACTAGATAAATCTGAAGTCTAACTATAAACAGAAAACCATGCGAGTGAAAACAACCGAAATGTCATAAATCATAGATCGGAGTTAGTCCAGACGTTTGAGCATCTTCGGTAAAGATCTTCAAACAGCTCCAAAGTCATGTACAGTTGTGATCTTTTTTCATGTTTATCAATCAAAGATATATTGTTGCTTATTTGGTATGCGGGTTGCAAACTTTGTCTACATAAACCCATCAATGGCGCTCAAACAGTAACATAACAGTTGGAAAACCAAATTGATCACGAAGGTGGAGGGTGTTGAAAACCAAACATACCAAAAGAATGTATTAAATATGACAAAGGCCATGTATGTCTGGTGTAGATAAATCTTAGTCACCACAGGGATGTGACAAAACAGGTACATATGTAAAACGATCAGGGAAATGTATCATTGCGTGTTGAGAAAATATGAAGTAGTAAAAAATCAAATATGTCTTTATTTCATTTTCAAACAAGAGAATTGTACGTGTATGCTAAAACAATAGTATCTTCTATTACAGGATATACAGAAGGAAGTACAGAGGTTCAAGGTTTTCAAAGTGTTGGTCTCAGCAACTTTGCATATAATTACAATGTATCTTTACCTCATACATCAACGATACACGTGACCGTTATAGCTACGAATGCTGCAGGTTTGATGACAAAGATACACGCTGAAAGTCTTCTTGTAGATAAAACTCCACCGGAAATAACATTTGTAAATGATGGTATAGGTAAATTTTTAATACTTCTTATAATATTGCTAAAATGAATTATTCGACATGACAAAGTTGTGTTTAAGTGTATTTAAAAATAGACATTTTGATAGTTGGATACGATGGCTGATAATGAATTCAGTTGTTTTTATTTAAAATCAATACGATATTTTCTGCCTGCTTATATAAATGATTATATGAATTATGGATTGGAAATAATTTCTATATTGTTATCTTAACATTATTTTTTTTTTTTTTTTTTATTTTTAAGGTGAAGATATAGATGCACAGTCAGAATCTGAAATATCTGCTAACTGGGAAGTAGTCGATTTAGAATCTGTATTAGAATCCTGCGAATTTTCAGTTGGTCAGTTAATTATCACAAGGATAACCATCGTCTTCGTCTATCTTTCGAAAACAACTTTTCCTTATTGTCAGTAAACAACTCTATGTAGAGAATAAAATAGTTTGTAACACATATTTGTGGGGCAAAAATTGAATGAAATGCAACCAAAAACACTTATGTTATTGGCTTGATATCTACTTTTTCAAGGGTTTATCACTACCTTTGCTAGTTAAAACAACATAGTAGAGTGAGGTGAACATTCGTTTGAGTCTATCCTGTTAATGTCAGTCAATTTATAATGATATGTTAAACTCAGAAATTTAAGTAACAAAATGATGTGTATTTGAATAAAAATACATGTCTAGAAAACTATGTTATTGCAAATTACAGAAGTTGTGCATGGCGTATGAATTGTCTGTTATAAAACATTATATTTTGTCTATTTTCTAGGCTACCAGTTATACGGCAATGAACTTCAAACGTTTCAGAAAATACCTGTTGAATTACGACTATTGTCGAAAGTGTTTCCATACCATCTTTTGTTTATGCAGACTATATACGTGACCATTAGATGTAAAAATAAGGCTGGACTACAGTCATCTCTGTCAACTGATGGCGTTGTTGTGTCTAATCTGCCTCCACTCAGTGCCAGCGCTCAAGTTAATATCCTCCCTCTCTCTAATACAGAATATATGGCTTACAATGGATATCAAAAGAATAAACATACAATTAGAATTAAATGGTCGGGATTTGAAGACATTGTTGGTCTGGACTCTTATCTGGTTAGTATGTATTGATGATTATACAAATTGATGTTTTTTTAATATCTTATGTAATATGTCTATTTTATAGGTTTTTTTTAGATTTTGCTTTAAACATGTCTTGTTCATGGTTAATTCTATGAAGGTCAAATCAGTAAATCTCACACTTCCTTTTAATATTCATATAGCTATATATATATAGGTGATCCATAAAGCATATCAGATACAAGTGTCATTATCATTCATTTTGCCAATTAAATTACAGACCAGAAGAACTGCAACCGGGTCATTTGAGTCTGATACCCATTGAATGTAAAAAATTCAAAATTCTAAAAAAAAAATCCCCGCCAAAGTAACTAAATCTAATTTCAGGTATCATTTAAAATGGACAATGATGAAGACACTATAATCAAACGGTCAATTACAGCTGAAAAACAAGACATTTCATACTGTGTGTTGACTGGACTTCACCTGAAGGATGGTAACTACACTGTTGTGGTTCAAGCTATTAATAAAATGTATGTCCGGAGTGACCCAGTTAAAGCGTCCATTACTATTTCGTCATTCCAGCCTAAAGTGAAACGTAAGTTAATTACTAATGATTGCTGTGTTCCATTCTGTTTGAAGATTAGGCTTGCATTTTATTTATGCAAATAATTTTTAATTATGGTTTAAATTCATGGTTCATGACATTTTCTAAAATCTACGAAGACTTTTCAAGTGGTAATGTATCGTACAGAAACCAAAATGAATCCCTATTTTTAAGATAATTAAGTAACATAGCTCTTGAAAGATAAATGCTAAATGCCAACACTGTCAAAATCGAACCTGGTCTGCATTTTATGGTTCATGACATTGTGTAAAAATCTAAAAAGATTTGAAATTCGACAAATAGTACTTCAATAATCATCAAGAAACCAAGAAAATCCCCATTTTAATAGCAAAACACATCAAATTCATTCTTGACCTGTATTTTATGTCTCATGATATTGTGTTACAATTTCAAAAGATTTTGTCAAGCGTTAATTGAATTATTATTCGGAAACCAGAAAGGACGAATGAGCAGATGGTCAGGTGTATGACTAAATTATAAAACACAAATAAAAATAATGAATAATCCACTATCATCGTAATATTAGAATTTATTCAAACTTTAGTAGCATGGTCTAAAACCTGAAACCAGATAATAACTACAGTCTGGTTTTCTGCAACAGAAATAAATTTGTCATGAAATTTGACTTGAGAGAGTTCAAGTTATAAGAACTGTGATGATACATTGATGTGAATTTTCCCTGTGTATACCCTTGTATTTTTATTGTTGGTTTTTTTCAGGGTCCTCAACTTTACATGTTTCTTTTAATAATCGTACAGTACAGATATCATGGAAAGATTTGTTTTCTGAAGATAAAGACACATTTTACGAAGTTTCTGCTGGAACTTTTGTTGGTAGTGCTGATATAATACAGTGGCAAGAAACTAAAAATACATTCATTACCTTTTTCATTCCACCAAGAATTAAATCAATTAAAGGTTTAACAAGTTATATAACTGTAAGAGGGATTTATGCAAATGGAATGTTTAATGTTGTCAATCATAGAACAAATTTAAGTAATATTTGATATAAAAGATATTCTTCTCTAATGGAATGTTTAATGTTATCAATCATAGAATAAATTTTAAGTAATATTTGATATAGCTATTCTTTTCAATTTTATTCGGAAATTACCAATATAAAAAGGTTCATTTCAGATCTCATACGTTAAGGTACAAAAAGTCAAATATAAAGTGAATATAGTGGGAAATGTGTGAACTTTAAACGAGATGAGAATAAGTGTATCTATCGATTATACAACTTTTCATTTGTGGACTAGAATAAAAATATTTGCACTTATGAATTTATCGTTTTATTGAACTTAATATGCCTTGTCAAAATACAATGAAACCATTTTTTAACCTTTTCAAAATGAAATTCAATGAGGTTCCAATTATCCAACATTAGCAGTAATTGGGTCAGTAGATCTTTAAATATAATCTATGAGTATTAATTGCAGAATGAATCATTACATATAAAAGAACTGGTGCAGTCTCACTGACCATCATTCAGATGAAAGCCAGATGAGAGATCGGAAAAAAATAAAAATAATTAAAATCAAGGCAACTGAAAACATGTTCATAGGGTCAACCGTAACTACTCATTATACAATCAACTTTATACCAATGAGGACAGCTGATAGCAGATTAAAGAGCGCAACGACTGAAATGCCGCACCTAATTTACCGATCAGGATTTAAGCTTTTACTTTTAGTACATGAGTAAAAAAGTATGAAAAAAATACCGAACTCTAAGGTTAAATGCAAAAAAAGGGGAAGTACATAAAGCCTGACAAAATCAAACGCATGACTATCTCAACAAACGGAACGAATGCTCTACTATATCAAAAACGGAACAAAGGAAAACTACTGGCATATTCCTGACTTGGTATAGGTATTTTCAAAGAAAATTGTGAGTTAAACCTAATTTTATAGCTAGCTAAACTTTCCACTTGTATGACATTTTTTAAATAGTTCCACTATATTGACAAAATTAGGTGATTAACCTAAACAGACATAATTGGTAAACTGACAATAATAAGGATCCAGCAGCAAAAACTGTGTAAAAATATACATCACAAACATACAATCACAACTGAAACGGATCTAAGCAAGAAAACCTAACATTGACCAATGAACTTTGAAAATAAGTTCAAGGTCAGATTAAGTTTAACAGACAGACATGTTTACATCAATACCATTTTATTTCATACACCAAAAATAGAATACCTGTTTCTTAAGGTATCTGAGAAACGGAATTGACGGTGAAAATCTAACGATCACCGATCCATGACATGAAATCAGGGTCACATATACCATGCAATGATTATATATACCCAATAAAAGTATCATATTACTCATAAGTGAAAAAATTATGTTAAAAAACCTCGTATTTTTTTAGAAGTCGCTAAACCTTGAAAATGACAAAAAGTCAAAATATAAAAGAGAAAAATATCAGATCATATAAGGCATCTATAAAGAAGATATGAAGTTTCAAAATCTTCTACCTTATGACATATAGAACTTCATACAAATAGTTTACACTGTTGCTGCCAGATAAGCACCCCTACTTCTCACCAGAAAATAAAAACATTGAAATCTTAAACTTTTAAAAATTCATTGGTTGTTCTAAGGTCACCTGGAAATTCTACATTAGTGGAATCCTAAACACAGACATATACCACACATCTCCTTTCATTAACTTTTACTCAGAGAAACTGACATAAGAATGGAAACTGAACATTGACCATGAAAAGAGATCAAGATCAGATGACTTTTGTCACTCCTATTTATTCACAAAAACTAATGTTGACCTAAGTTCTGTTAATCAGTGAACAATGAGAATGCCAAATGCCTTTAAGGATATTTTGGATCATAAGCGAACAAAATACAACATATATGGAACGTCAAACTCTTCCATTTTCATAAATATAGAGCTTTAAAGAATTAGAGACCCTGTCACGGCCACCAGATGATCATTACTGTTGCATTCTGAGCATTTATCTCAGAACTTGACTAAAGTATATGAAAATAATTCACAAGTTCTATGGATGACTCAGGTTACAACATATGAGAAAATTTCAAGTTTTCCATGAATAAAGTTCCACAACTCTGGAATAACAAAATGTAAAATAGTGAAAATCGAAAGGGAGCTTTCTTCCGTCAGTCTTAATGTTGTTTTCAAATTTCATGAGAATTCGTCAAAGGAAATAACAGTTATCGTAGGAAATGTTGACATACAGACGGACAGATTGATGGACTACAGTTTATATTAAAATGTCTAGTATAAATTCCTTTAAAGTCTTAGTTTCTACTACATTATATGAGTGTCATAGAATTTTGATGGTTCATTGAATCTCTCAACTGAAATTTAACTGATGAAAAAAAAACAAAAGTAGAAGTTGCTTGACTTAATTTTTGTGAATTAGTTTATTGTCAAGTTGCGTTTTATTTCACTAAAACAGACTCTCAGATCTGTACTTTTTGTTTTAGGGATGTATAAATACCTTGTCACGTCCGGTCTGTGTTTTTTGTTACTTGTTTTCCTGCTTTGTATCGATCTGATGAGTTAAGCCCTTTTCAACTGATTTTTAAAGTTTATTCATATATTGTACTGTTACACCACTTTCCCAGGTTAGTGGAGGGTTGGGCGCCCGATAACATGTTTAACCCCGCCACATTCTGTATGTGCCTGTCCCAAGTCAGGAGCCTGTAATTCAGTGGTTGTCGTTTGTTGCTGTACATCATATATGTATTTCGTTCATTGTTTTTAGCTCACCGGGCCCGAAGGGCCCCATGTGAGCTTATGCCATCAGTTGGCGTCTGTTGTCGTCCGTCGTCTGTCGTCCTCTGTCGTCGTTGTAAACTATTTCAAGAATCTTCTCCTCTAAAACTACTGGGCCAAATACCTTCAAACTTTAACTGAATGTTCCTTAGGGTATTTAATTTATAAATTGTATCCGAAGTTTTGATCCATCTACAAACATGGCCTCCGTGGCTAAAAATAGAACATAGGGGTCAAATGCAGTTTTTGGCTTATATCTCAAAAACTAAAGCATTTAGAGTAAATCTGACTAGGATAAAAATGTTTTATAGGTCAAGATCCATCAGCCCTGAAATTTTCAGACGAACCGAACAACCCATTGTTGGGTTGCTGCCACTAAATTAGTAATTTTAAGGAAATTTTGCAATTTTTGGTTATTATCTTGAATATTATAGAAGATAAAGATAAACTGTTAACAGCAAAAATGTTCACCAAAGTAAGATCTACAAAAAAGTTAATGTGACAAAAATTGTCAATTGACCCCTTAAGGAGTTATTGCCCTTTAAAGACAATTTTTACACAATTTGTTCATGTTTGCTAACATTTAAAAGTCTTCTCCTCTGAAACTACTGGGCCTAATACTTCTTAACTTTAACTGAATGTTCCTTAGTTTTGATCCATTAACAAACATAATAATTGACTTTGATTATTTATCCCTTGTAATTTTTTATTAACTGTGTATATGCATTCAGGTGTCACAGGTCAAATTTATTCGTTCATTGTGTGTTAATTTACGTTTTTTGATTGAGTTAAGCCTTCCAATTGATATTTTATAGTGTGTTTTTCTATGTTGTGATGTTATACTATTGTTTCAGAAAAGGGAGAAGGTTTGGTACCATTAAAACGTTTAATCTCGCTGCAAATGTTTGCACCTGTCCTAAGTTAGGAATCTGATTACAGTAGTTGTCGTCTGGATATGTAGTTCATACGTGTTTCTCGTTTCTCGTTTTTATATAGATTAGACCGTTGGTTTTTCCGTTTGAATGGTTTTACACTAGTAAATTCACTGGGGCCCTTTATAGCTTGCTGTTCGGTGTGCGCCAATGCTCCGTGTTGAAGGCCGTACCTTGACCTATAATGGTTTACTTTTGTAAATTGTAACTTGGATGGAGAGTTGTCTCATTGGCACTCATACCACATCTTCATATATCTATTTAGATCTACCTGTCAAGTAATCTTCAGACCAATAGGACAACTTATTGTTGGTTTACTGTCCAAAATAGGAAATTTTTAGGAAATTTTACAGTTTTGGGTAATGTATTATCTTTGATATTATTATAGAAAGAGAGAAAGTGTAAATGACAAAATTGTTCAGCAATGTAAGATCTACAAATAAGTCAAATGCCTGAAACTGAAATTACAAGTGAGCGATATCAGGCTCTCATGAGCCTCTTGTTTACATAAATCAGGCCGTTGGTTTTCTCGTTTGAATTGTTTTACATTTGTCATTTCGGGGACTTTTATGGCTGACTATGCGATATATGTTTTGCTCATTGCTGAAGGCCGTACGGTGATCTATAGTTGTTAACTTCTATGTCAATTGGCCTCTGGTGAAGAGTTGTCTCATTGGCAATGATTTTGATATAACTTTCAACTTTCAACAAGAATGCACACGCTGAAATGTCTCTTTACTATTCATGATTTATTTTATGTTGATATTCAGAAAGATAAATTGTTACTACAAGTATCACATAAACTTAACATAATCAATGAACATTGAAAATGAGGTCAAGGTCAGATAAACCAAGCCAGACAGACATGTACATCTTACAATCATCCAATACATCAAATATAGTTAACCTAATTGCTTATAGCATCTGAGAAACAGACTTACCCAGGACAACAAAACATTAACCAAATAACCAGGAAAATGAGGTCATGGTCAGATGAACCCTGCCAGACAGAATGTACACCTTACAATCATTCCATGCACCAAATATAGTTAACCTATTGCTAATAGTATTTTAGAAAAAGAGACCATAACACCTGAACTTAACAATGACCATTGAACCCTGAAAATGAGGTCAAGGTCAAATGAAACCGGTCAGACTGACATGTACACCTTACAATCATTCCATACACAAAATTTAGTTCCCTTCTGCTTACAGTATCCGAGAAACGGACCTAATCATGTAAATTTAACCTTAATCACTGGTCAATGAAATGAGGTGGAGGTCAATGGAAACCTGTCTAACGAACATTGAGACCTTGCAGGGAACCCATATTCCCATCCTTCTACTCATAATAAGTGAGATATTCGAATAAAAAACTATACTTTTTTCAAGCAGTCACTGAACCATGAAAATGAGGTAAGGGAAAACGGACACATGACATAAGACAACTGTATACAAGAGATGAAGCCTCTAGGTTTACTACCCTTTGAAATATAGTTTATAAATAGTTTATGCCGCCGACGGATTGTTATCCTTATGTCTCACAAACGAGACAAAAATGTTGTGTGGAAAAGTTCATTGCCTGCTATAGAAAACTCAATAATTCATTTTTGATTAAAAAAAAAAAGCCGGATGAACAACTTCAAATAGTATGAAATAATCCTGACAAGTTTCATTGAATTTCTGTTTGAATGGATAAAATGTACAAGGCAAGTCGACAGATAGCTCACACACACATTGTAAAAAGCAAAATAACAAAAACACCGAAATGTAAGTTTTTGGATCCGCCACTGTATACTTCAAGACCATCGTGTATTATTTGTGAAGCTGATACGGAATATTTATCAACAAGGTCTTGGTATCTTCCGATCAACTTTTTTAGAAAAAGGACGAGACGTTCTATGACATAACCTTGGTTCATCAACCTGTAACAGAGACTGATATCAAAAAATGAATCTCCCTTACATGTGAGTTGGGGAAAATGGAACCAAAACACAACTACAAAATCTTATATTCAAACTGACTCATGGCACAATACAAGGGTGTCTGCACTGAAAATCCATGCCCGCTCTTCTGATTATGACCTAATTCTATGAGGTCTGAACATAAGCAATTTATCAATGATAATTTTGTCAAGGTTAGATGAACCTTGCCAGACAGACAAGTACACCTAAACTTTACAATAATTCTACTTGTAATATGAATGGTAATTTTTCCTTTGATCTTCGAGTGAGTTAACTTCGGTTATTTTTAGAGGAGTGCGTTGACTGAATGATTTTTTTTAGTTATTGCACTCTCCAGTCCCGCCGTGTGTCGCTTGTCATAGGAAAAGCAAAGAATGGGAGGACCTTAGACCAGTGCTCTAACTTCCATCTCAAAAGTTGTTATTTCACTGTCTAGCTCCGCCTCCTTTGCCTAGTAAACTATGAAATCAATGACCATAAAATGTCCTAATAAATGTAAACAAAATGCATACACAACAATATATCAATAAACTGCTTCGCCTTGCACAGCTGGATACGACCGCAGAAGTCCAACCCTGAACAGTTGGGGCAAAAATGGACACAATATTCAAGCTTGATTTTACAGGCCTGAATTTGGATTGTAATTAAATATTTGACACATTATAGGTTTCTGACACAGAATAAATGTAGTCAAAGAACTTGAAATTGGTTATATGATTTGAATTTATATTCAATTGAAGATTTTTTGCTTTTGTGCAATACACTATGCTGTATTAAACCCCCCGTCAAACACACTTTTTTTTTGGCCAAAAAAAAAATATTTGAAGAATTTTTTTTTTTAATTTCTGAAATCTGAAATGAGAAAAAATTGACCCCTAACAATTTCTTATTACACCCCCCCCCCCCCCCCCCCACACACACAAAAATTCTTTCCCTCAAGATATGGTCATAATCTCAATTAAAATTTCCAATGGAATTTGCAACCATAATTACCCATTTAAATTTACCATAGTGCTAACTTAAATCTATTTTATAATAGAATTTAAAATATGGTGTCAAATCTTTCATATGGATTTTTTTGTAAACAAAACAAGATGCAACATTTGTAGATATTATTACTGGTCTTCCTTTATAAATATGCATTTCTGTAAACATAATTTAAAAGCAGTGTAAGGGAGGTAATCAAAACGTTGTAATTGGATTACCTCCCTTACACTGCTTTTAAATTGTCTTAATTGTTCTGTAACCATTACTTTATACATAATTCAAAAGCAGTGTAAGGGAGGTAATTCAAATGATGTATATGAATTACCTCCCTTACACTGCTTTAAATTATGTTTTGTACTAAAGTATTTGTCCATTAACCAGGGCACCCTTGTTTTTCCCCTTTTTGCACCTAATTCCTAAACGGTTTGAGCCATAACCCCCAAAAGCAAATCCTAACCATCCCTTTGTTGTATGGAAACTTGTGGTATAATTTCAGAGAGATCCATACACCGTTCCACTAGTTATTGTCTGGAAACTAGAAAAATGCTTATTTTGGCCCCTTTTTGGCCCCTAATTCCTTAACTGTTGGTTTGTGTTTTGTTGTAATAAGCATTGTGTATAAGATTAATAACATTTGGTTGAGGCAAACTAAAGTTAGACGGAAACAAAAAATTCAGCAATTTTTCCATTTGTAAAGGGGCATAACTCTAGAACGGTTATAGTGACACCACCAAAATTCACACTTGATCTGTGTTTTGTGGTAATAAGCATTGTGTATAAGTTCCATAACATTTGGTTGAGGCAAACTTAAGTTAGAGAACGGAAACGAAAAATTTTGCAATTTTTCCATTTATAAAGGGAAATAACTCTAGAACGGTTAAAGTGACGCCACCAAAATTCAAACTTGATCTGTGTTTTGTGGTAATAAGCATTGTGTATAAGTTTCATAACATTTGGTTGAGGCAAACTTAAGTTAGAGAACGGAAACTAAAAATTTTGCAATTTTTCCATTTATAAGGGGAATAACTCAAGAACGGTTAAAGTGACGCCACCACCATTCAAACTTGATCTGTGTTTTGTGGTAATAAGCATTGTGTATAAGTTTCATAACATTTGGATGAGGCAAACTTAAGTTAGAGAACGGAAACTAAAAAATTTGCAATTTTTCCATTTATAAAGGGGAATTACTCTAGAACGGTTAAAGTGACACCTCTAAAATTCAAACTTGATCTGTGTTTTGTGGTAATAAGCATTGTGTATAAGTTTCATAACATTTGGTTGAGGCAAACTTAAGTTATAGAACGGAAACTAAAAATTTTGCAATTTTTCCATTTATAAAGGGAAATAACTCTAGAACGGTTAAAGTGACGCCACCAAAATTCAAACTTGATCTGTGTTTTGTAGTAATAAGCATTGTGTATAAGTTTCATTTCATAACATTTGGTTGAGGTAAACTTAAATAAGAGAACGGAAACTAAAAATTTTGCAATTTTTCCATTTATAAAGGGGCACAACTCTAGAACGGTTAAAGTGACGCCACCAAAATTCATACTTGATCTGTGTTTTGTGGTAATAAGCATTGTGTATAAGTTTCATAACATTTGGTTGAGGCAAACTCAAGTTTGAGAACGGAAACCAATTTTGGGACGTACATACAGACGGACAAGGGTAAAACTTATTGCCCAAACCGCTACGGCAGGGGCATGAAAATATATCTCACTGGATGTATAGTAATTTTCTTCATTCTATAAAGGCCTATCGCCGTGAATTGATCATGCTTCAAATATTGGTATTATAAAATGTTTCCTTCTTATCACAACGATAAACTCCTTTGAAACTACACGTCATTTTCGAGTTGGAGGGTAGATAAACATCGTATAAAATTTTGCATCACCCCCCACCCCCCCTTTCAAGGGAGAAAAATATTCTACAACACGCAAATGGCTATCGAGCCTGAATCCCATGGCAACAATTCATTTAAATGTACCTGTATCTGATACACAAATCCAACTGACATCTGCTGCATGTGTTAATTTTTTGGAAATCAGATATAGTAACCCGCCACTATTTGATTGACATATTGAAAAGTACAGTAAAGTTTTATTGGTCAGCATTTAACCTTTGACGTGTGTCATAGCCCATTAATGTTACAAATCATATATAGCCACGCCTTACTCATTACCATATTTAATCCACTCAAAGCTGCGCTTTTCGTGAATTAAATACGTTAATTCGTAAAAGTCGTGCTATATATATAACATAACAAATAATGTAACTTATTATCACTGAAATGTTGATGTAATCACAAAAGCAAGCTTGATAAATGAAAAATGACTATGAAGTCAAGGTCAAGTGAAGCCTCTCAGAGAGACGTGTACTTTTTAAAATATACCTGGTGAGTATTGTATCGTTAACCTATCATGTATAATTTGAGGAACAGTTTTGTAGCTAAAGTGGATAAAGTATGAAAATGAGGTCAAGAACGTATGCTATATGTCAGAAATATTCCCCTAACCAATTCACATACCGAAACTGTTAACCAATCATCTATAGTTACTGAAGAACAATCCTCATAATGAAAACTCATTTTGGTCACTGGAGCATAAAATTCAGGTCAAGATCACAAAGAATATATCAATCAGATAATTACTCCTCTTCCAATCAACATACCTTATTTGTACCTCAGGAATAGACCTCAACCTATACCTTATATGTACCTAAGGAATAGACCTCATCATATACATTATGTGTATCTAAGGAATAGACCTAATCCTAAACCTTGTATGTACCTAAGGAATAGACCTCATCCTATACCTTGTATGTACCTAAGGAATAGACCTCATCCTATACCTTGTATGTATCTAAGGAATAGACCTCATCATATACAGTATGTGTACCTAAGGAATAGACCTCATCCTTTACCTTGTATGTATCTACAGAATAGACCTCATCCTATACCTTGTATGTACCTAAGGAATAGACCTCATCCTATACCTTGTATGTATCTAAGGAATAGACCTCATCATATACAGTATGTGTACCTAAGGAATAGACCTCATCCTATACCTTGTATGTACCTAAGGAATAGACCTCATCCTTTACCTTGTATGTATCTACAGAATAGACCTCATCCTATACCTTGTATGTACCAAGGAATAGACCTCATCCTATACCTTGTATGTACCCAAGGAATAGACCTCATCCTATACCTTGTATGTACCTAAGGAATAGACCTCATCCTATACCTTGTATTTACCCAAGGTATAGACCTCATCCTGTACAGTTAACCTGACCTCAAACTACATGTTGTTGGAAAGAAATAGCGAAGTTTTGCCTACTGTAACATTCATTCCAGGTAAGACAAAATCAAAATGTCATAATTATGTGTACCAGAATAAAACAACAAATTAGACGACTCATTGAGTTATTCCATGATACATGTATAACCATGTAAACTGAGTTGTAAACAAATAACACAAACAATTGAGTAACTGTTTAACATTCATTTAATATTGATGATAATCATATAATGATATGAAGACCAAACAATATGTTCAGTCTATAAACACTCCAGTCTTCCTTTATACAAAAGTTACTGTGTTTTACAGATATCTATACAGGAACTCATCACACTGATTCATTTAAGGAATGAAGCATAAATATTGTTAGATATATACATATACAGTATTTCATTAGTATTATAGTTTATTTAAAAAAGTGATTATGAAATAAATACATATTGTCCCTCTAAAAAGTTTGAAATGTCTGCAATATGAAATTCCCATGTCAGTTTTCTTGTTTCATTTATTAAGGAGAGTTGATAAGAGTTTCTTGTTGTGATGTCATTTTTAGTTTTGGGGATTTCTTGAAAGTTGATACATATTTTTTAATCACATAAAATTAAGAAGATGTGGAATGATTGCCAATGAGAGGACTTTCCACCAGAGACCAAATAACATAGAAGTTAGCAACTATAGGTCACCGTACATAATACCTGCCAAAATTAAAAGTTTCACCTTATTTTTGCAAGTGTCTTGTATTTTTCACTATGCATTTTGAATTATATGAACAGCTCTAAAAACTATTCAAATTGAAGTTCCAAGATTTTCGTCTCATTATTTACATAAATATCGCTTGCAACAAATTATACATGTCGTCCAAATCTGAACACTCAGATTAAATACAATCATTTTTCTTTCAAGTCATCAAAAACAACAAAATATTTGTTATGTAATTGATCAATTTGGCAATTTTGTATCATGATCTATTTGTTGGGATCATATTTAGGCAATTACAATCCTGTATTAAAATATGTCATCATAAACAAAATTTAAAAGAATGGAACTCTTCTTGTTAAGATATCTCCAATGAAACTGTATCAACTCCCCTTAAATGAAGATTTTCATATTTAAAAAGATTATTTCCAGATAAATACCTAATACTATGTTTACCCTATTACATATTTGACTATTAAGCAGACCTCAAATAATATTTTGACTATAATAAACAAGAATCTTATGAACAGCTGTAGCTTAAGAAGATAAAATTTACCAGAGTGCTGAGCTCTGTATTCTTATAAAACATCAGTAACTTTGATACAATATAAAACTGTCAATTAAAACAAGATAGGTACATTTGACACATCTCTAACATAAATTAATATCACAAACAATTATATCTATTTGCATTGTACAAATGTCTTGAATCTCTATTACGATTCTATGGTACAATATCACTCTCAAGTGTATTATGTTGTATTAGTAGCATCACAGTTGTCGTTCTTCTCGGGGGAGTCCACAATGAAATAAATAATCCACTTCTAATGTTTACACCATCACGGTTTACGATCACAAAATGAAGCTTAACAAAGACAGGACACAACATGCATGTACAATACTGAGTTCAGCAAGGAAGATTTAAGGGACCATCTCAAAACAATCAAATTCCAGATGATATTTTGACAACAAATTGATGACATTCATGACATAACTAAGTACAACAAAAAATTCTTCTCTCTATCAATATTTGTTTCTCTTCTTTTTTTACTTTTTTGTTTGATTAAATTTTATTTCAGGATTTTACCTGTTATTGAAAAAATTACAAACTTATTGCATTCAATGATGAAGCAAATTATTTAAACTGCATTCATTTGTCCATAAACTTAAACTACTAAGTGCAATGCTGTGCTGCATCAAGAGAGAAATGAAACAAGGTGACATGGCATTTAAAACTTTTTACTTTGTGCCCTATATATCACTGACTGATACCATTACTACACAAGAATGTGTACCCATAGGACACCATGCCCCACTCACACTATATTCCCATGTTTAGTGAACTGCAAAAATTGGGTCAAAAATTAAAAAATACCCATTATATTGAACATGTGTATTAAGTTTCAAGATGACGAGATCACAAATGAATGGTAAACTACATGGACCAAAAACTTTAATATGATAAGGGAACGGACGAACGAACAGATCAACGACAGACACACAGATTGGAAAACATAAAAATGCCTCCTATTGTAGGTTGCCCTTAACAATCAATATCAAAATTTTCTTTCTATCCAAGACTGTGATAGAAAGAAAAGCAAAAATGTGTTCACATGAGTAATTATTGCAAAAAAGTAAAAACAACAAAACAAAATAAACAACAATATGGCAACATTTCATGATAAAAAGCACCAAATAAGTAAAATATATGAACAGACTTTTAAATCAGGCAACATTTTCAGCTATAGAATATATATAGGGAATTTGTTCATAAAAGAAATTTTAAGATTTAAGCACATAACTGTTCTAACCCTTTATCTATACCTAAATTAATTTGGAGAGCATATATTCACTATTGAACCATGTCAAAGTTACTGTATATATATTTTACTATTGTCTGTTCTATGTAAATTTAGGTTCAAATTAGCCATCTTCTCTTCATAATAGTTGCAAGTAAAGAAAATTCACTATCAGATCTTTTTTTAATTTTTTTATTGAAGCAATATTTATCAAAAGCTTTATTTTGTGTTTTCCCCTTTTTACATGTATTGCTAGATTTGATCCTCCTTAAAGGATCAAAACAGTCAGTAAGTTCTCACTTAAGCTATCATGGTTCACAGTTAGGAAAGCAAACTGTAATAACAGTTATTGCGTGAATAAAAACCAACAAGTCTACATGTGGGTGATGTGCTTAAACCATAAAATTTTGTCATTTTTGTAAAACTTAAAAGACTTCACCAGAGTTCAAATGATGTGTATATAAGCAAAAATAGGTCACCTTACAGCCTTATACAATGAGAAAAAACATATTGTGCTGTATGCTTAATAATTCCTGAAACTGCTATCTCATACAAACAAGCCCTATACATAGTACAACTGAAGTTAGAAGGTTGTCATACAGATAATACTGTCATCAACATTTTCATTGAAAACCCAGGAAAACAGGTTTAAACTACCATTCATAAACTTAGTACAATATTATTGTATAGCCACACACCACAAGCCTCTATTTTTCAAAATATCTTTGAAAACTATATAATTTTGCACCAAGTTTTGAGATGGTCCCTATTTTCATCACAGTTTTTATATATAAAAACAAAACATGTACGATGTATCCCTCAGAGCACCACATGACCTTGTTGATCACAGACATTACATCTGACAGCTGTATGGACTCTGTATACGCAAGTACTGAAAAAGAAATAGAACTAGTTTTCAATATCATTAGGATTTGTTATAATTTATCTCAATATAAATGAGCATTCACTAAGGGCTGTTCCATAAAAACATACATGGGACCCAGGGAAGACACTTCCAAATCGCAACTATGGGTGGGTCTATGTTTTTGCATAATGGAAATGTCAGTGAAATTTTAATTTGCCTCTATAGGTGGTTACCCCATTTTTAAAGTGCCTTCCCTGTGTACCATGTATGTTTTAATGGAACAGCCCTAATTACATTTATAGTTTATTTTCTTCAGACATTACATAATATTTATTCTTCAGCAGTTTAAAATTATTATTGCTTCCCCATTATTATTATTGCTACCCCATTAACTCTTTAAGGTTAAAAGTCTTTTAATTTTATGACAGATATTGAAACTGATGTAAGAAACTATATCATGTATCATATTTAGAACAGTTATTACTATTATCACTGTGTGTTAATTCACTATTATTCATGGGTTACCAGTAATTGTGGATAACATGGGTATGGGTGTTTGTGGATTGAATGCAAAATTTGACAAAACTACGAAATCAAATAAACAGGAAAATACAATTTTTCCTCAACCTATGAAAATTTGTATCCATGAAAATAAATGAATTCACAGTATAACGACCTTATGATTTATCTGCATGTAGAGGAAGCACGCTTGTTATTTGTATAGAGTCAATTAACTTCTTAATCCTTTTTGATTTCCCGAGCAATTGTTGCTGCATTTTTAGAGCACTTTTGTAAAGTATGCAATACAGTTTAGAAATGTAAACTTCAACCTGAATTTAGATGATAGTTGTGTAATTTCTAGAAAGTTTCAACTGTTTGAAACCATAAGTAACAAGAATACAACAAGAATACATACATTGAAATGCTCACCTGCCTAATTGATATGATTGAATTAATGTTGAAGTTCTTTAGATCAGGACAGATATCACAAAAACTAAACATTATCAATGTTATGTGAGTGTGTTATCAACGATATGTAATCCTGAATCTGACCTACCTGTATGACAAGTGAGGGACCTTTTGCCACTATTTCTGGTGGAATCTGACTTAATGGACAATTCTCTATACTCATTATCTGTAGATTTCCACATAACACCAACTCGAATGGTAAGCTGTGAAGATCTGGGTTGTCATTAATGTACAGTGATTCTAAGTTCTCTAATGACCCTGAAAATCAAAGTTAATCAATTTATGGCTAATGAAAAAATCATTTCAGGCAACTGGTTGAAGTTTGGTTCAAGTTGGAAGTATTATCTTAGAAGCATGATTAATAAACAGCTGGACTCTTAGGGGAAACATTGTTTAATAACTTTTATATCATATTGTATACATACATCATGTGTTTTTATATAAGCTGGAATTTTTTTTTTCTAGTTGTAGATCATACATTTGTATTAATTATGACTATATGTTATATTATTAATGTTTATAATTTCTCTGTACCATGGATTTTGGTTTATGAGAATAAAGATATATGGTCTTCACAAACTATCCTTAGCTTTATATTAAATGTAATACTAAACCTGAAGATCTTGTCTTTGTTCTGATGAATTCAACATTTGACAAGTTTTGGAATATTATAATTGACTATCTCCAGACAAAGGAGTTCTCAATTTTGCACCGACAGGATTTTTTTGTATAAATAGTATGAAATCGAAAGTCTGAATTTTAGAAGTATTTTCTCTTATTTATCTCTTTATTGTAATATATTTGAGAAATCCAAAATGGTTTCTTATAGAAATTAATCATCTGAACAGAAGTTGATATTAATACCCCATTCCAGCACCGACAAAATCTAACCTACCTATTTCTGCGGGAAGCGAAGTGAGATTATTTTCTCCAGCACCAAGGTACTCTAACTTGGACAGGCATCTAAAATATGAAAGTTGAAAGTAAGTTATCAATAAACCAGAGATGTACACACAGCAACATCTAGAAGAAAGTATTGAATTTAGACAAAAAGAGAGAACATACTGAAATGTCTATCCTAATTAGTTATAACTTAGTCACAGCTTTAAGACTTATCACTATAAATCTACCTATATGTATGATCTTCTTTAGGAGATGTTAAACAACATTCATGAAGAGTAACACACACATTTACATTTTGTATTTATATTTTGATTGAAGCTGCCATGGACCGAGCTGACACCTTTAAGCATAAATATATTGATTTTTTTCCACTACTATCATGTGATATACAGTGCTTCTAAATAATTTTGTTTATCGGATAAATGAGAGTGTATTATATTGAGTCAACAAAAGCAGAGCCTTATCAGACAAATCATTGATAAATTTATTTATGGAAAATTGACACTGCATCACATCAGACAAAATTATGTAGACTATCTTAAAAGTAGCCAGGTATTTCGACTTGAATAGATCATGTGAGACTAGATTATGAGTATGAAATTTAAACTTTTTACATTTGTTTTTCAGATGTTCCTATATCATGTGCTTTACAGCCTATGTTTTCAGACATAGAAACAAAACAAATGACTCACCCAATTGCTCTGGGTAAGCTCGTCAGTTGATTTGACTGAACAACTAATCTTGTCAATTCTTGTAACTGACCTACAAAGTAATACAACGATTCATTAATTTCCCTTACAAAACAATAAAATAATTAAAACATGACATTGCAAGTGAAAACTACTTTTCATCTACCAAAAAAATGATACATAGATAAGGAGGAAATATTGATAATACAATAAAACCTGTTTCGAAGGTCATCTCTATTAAGCGGAATCCTGTATTGTCAGGTCACCCTCTTCTTGTCTCGCTGTATGTATTTTGAACCTTGATTCAAAGATCACCTCTCTCATAAGGCCATTCACATTATTATGAATTTTCTACTATAGAACTATTTTTCAATGCAATTATTCTGGCATTTTGGGTTACTTGCCAAGTTTTATTGAGTTTTTAGGTTCAGTGTTTTATTTCTTTAGTCACAATCAATCAATTTTCTGAATCAAGGTATGTTCACATTTTTACCCTGCATATTGTAATATGTGATGTCTTTTATTTTCTTGTTCAAGTAAGTGTTCATTCTGTTGACAGCTGGAATAAGCAGGTTTTTATTGTGTGCTTTACTTTTACAACATACGGTCTAGACAGGCAAAGGGAGAAGATTGATCACACATAAAATGGTAATAAAACCACCACATTATGTGCTTGTACAACGTCAGGCTATCTTGACCATGTGTTGTTCATTGTTGTTTGTCTTTTTGTCTTTTCTTAAGAGTCAGGTGTTGGTGGTTGGAGTGATCTGTTGTACTGCTGTATATTTTCTGGTAATTTCTGTTTTCTTTTGTTAACATCTACTATTGTTGATTAATTTCAAACTGATTTCTCTGGGCATTTATTTATAAGTACACCTACCATAACTTTAACAAAGATTTTGTTATTTCTTGGACAAATATATTGTTGGTGTTTTGATTCTTTTTCAGTAACACAATAAAAATTGATTTTTGAGTCAAGTTTATTCCCATAAAATTGATAGTACAGTTTAACATGCTTACCTATTTCTTGAGGTAGTGATTCTAGCTTATTTTCTTCTAAATCAAGAACCCTCAATCTTTTTAAGTTGCCTATACTTGGAGGTAATCTCTGAAAAAATTTAAAGAGTTTATATTTTTATGATTTATCTATAAACATGTGCAGTGTACAGAAATATACCAGGTGTATCTTCCAATACTTATTTTACACCTTTAGATTCATTGATTTATGGTCAGATAGATTAGTTTCATTTTTTGTAAAATAAACAACCTACTTTCAAAGGAATTACAGCTAACTTCAAAAATACATGAACATTATACTGTCTCTAATTTTATTCAATATGCCTGTAGCCATTAATTGAGCTGAATTTTGGTTACTTCTTTTATATTTGTGAGTTACAAATCGAGTGCTATTTTGTTTCGGATTAACTACTGTGTTGTTAATGATCCCACTAGTGGAGCATGAACTGGATACCCTTCCAAGACACCTTAGTTCAACTCCAGTTTTTGGTGGTATTCATGTTGCTCATTTTATAGTTTTCTGTGTTGTGTTTTATGGACTGGTGTATGTTTGGGATCTTTCTTTTGTCTATGTGCTGTTTTTCTTTCACAATTAGTTTCTGATTGTCCCTTTTTTAACAATTGACTGCTCAAATGTTTACCTAATGAATTTTCTACATATTCACAGTTAAAAAATTTATAATTACTCATCGTTCCAAAATTTCTAGAAAACTTACCCTTAATAAATTATTACTAAGAATGAGGACTTCAAGTTTCTCTAGATTCTGAATGTCATCAGGAACTCTTGTCAGCTGATTAGTTCCTAAATTCAGTTCTACCATATTTACCCAAGTACCGATATCTGCAAAAAATTTTTAAAAATTGACATCAGTTTATCACTTGAACCTTTTTGCTCAGTTTTACAAAAGATCCCCTTCATTCAATTAAGTATTTCACAAGTTTCTCAAATAAGATGTCATTTTAACTCAGTTTTCTATTATGCCAAATCTATTATGTTTTCATGTATCAGTTCTTAATCCCATATCAGCTTTGGTTTAATGATGATCAAGGATATGAAGTTGAAGTCACATCAACTTGACACTTAGTACACATTTCAATTTGACGTAAACTTTTTCAAATACATGCCAACTAGGGTTTTGTCACCAATTTTGACGTTCACTTTCATTGAAATGTGATAGTGTGATCTTATAGCTCTAATTTGTTTTGACAGTTTACATAGGAATTTAGTATAATAATTGATTTTGAATTAAATTCTTAGAGCATTTAAAGTAGTTTCTAAAATTTAATTGAAATCTGCTTACTGTGCAATTTGGTAAAAATTCACTGCTTAAAGTGTGATACAAATTAGACTGCAACAAGTTTTGATATCTAGAACAGTAAATTGTATTTACCTTTACAAAAACAACAAATATCACATTTTGCGTGACAGAAAAACTTCTCCACATAGCCTTTTTATTTCAAAACAAGGGGCATATCTCTTTTAAAAATAATTGATCGGCACTGTTTTTCGAACTTGTCCAAGACATTGCTAATATAAACCTATGATATAAGTTTCATAAAAATCTGGCAAGAATTGTACACATGAGAGCGCTAACGATGCAATTTTCCATATAATTAATGTTTCCAAAGGGCATAATGCTTTCAAAAATAATTGATCGGCAATGATTTTCGAACTCGTCTAAGACATTGCTGAAATAAACATAGGATATAAGTTTCATAAAAATCTGGCAAGAACTGTACACGTGAGAGTGCTAACAAGACCAGACGGACGGACTGCCAGCTGGTATTTCTATGTCCCCCGCAAGGCATTCACAGGGGACAATTATCCCATCCTCTATAATGCACATTTAAACTTTCCTATAAATAAAATACTTACCTAATGGCAAGAATGTAAGCTGGTTATCCTTCATATTGAGCTTCGTTAAACTGGCTGCTCGTGAAAATATTCCTAGTGGAATTTTGTTTATCTGGTTGTGTTCCATGTTTATTGACTGTAAGAAAAAAGTAAATAATTTAAATAATGCTCTTTCACAAAAACATGCAATTTCAAAATTCATAGTTGGCAACTTTAAAATTTCCAAAACTTTTCAAATTTAATAGTGTTACAGCTCTTTTCAAATCCTCACATTTACTCCCTGCATTTAATGCACGTACTTTTTCACATCATGCATATATCTTATAGACCAAAAAACTAAACAAATCCAATAAGATTCAATTGTAAAAAATTTTTTTAACAAAACATTTTCTTTGTTCCACATTATTTTAATAACTGTCCAAATTGTTCTACAGGACAGATAATGTCTGTTGCATAAACAAAACTACATATAATTGCATGGTTTCATCATTACAAAAATAAACATGATAAAATTATGAAAATTAAAAATGTATAAATGTAAATTCAAAAATGTTTGCGATGTTTTTATTATTGCAGGACAGATAGATTTCAAAATAATAAAAACCTGCATTTTAAATTTTGATAGCATTATTTGTATGCAGCATTTCCAATATAGCAATAAATAAATAAATAGAGGAATAAATTCTCTCATTGTTGTCCATAGTTCAACAATCATAACTAATACACACAAAAAATTTACATTTGCAGTATTTTATCAAATAATATTTTTTTTAAAGTAGTTTTATGTTGTCTTAAAAACTTTAATTCCACTTACATAAACAGAACAGAACTGAGCTGGCCCTCCTGAAGGATAAGACTGAAATGCATTTCTTGACAATGTAATGGAATTCAGTCGAGTCAAATTTGACAGCAGTCCCTCCTGAAAATAGAACACACACATACTTTAATTTCAAGAGAAACTACTTTTAATAAGCAAATTTAATATGTGTCAGAAATTTCACGGATAATTTTACATACATTATCTCTTGACAGTATTGTCTGAAGACTATATGCCTCATGTAGAGAGAGTGCAACACACAGTAAAGACCACTTGAAACAATTCTTTGATCCTTAGGTAGCAGCCCTGTTATAAATCAGACCCATGGTTTTCCTGTTTGAAATTTTTCTCATTTTGCGACTTTTTGTCATGTCAGGGCCTTTTATAGCTGATTAAATGATATTGGTTTTGCTAAGTCATGTTGGAAACCATACAGTGACTTATATTGGATTTCATCAATGTTATTTGGACTATGATGGATATCAGTCTCATTGGAAATCATACCACATCTATTTTTTTACAGTTGCAAAGTTTCTTTCTTATCCAATATACCCTTTTTTCCAGTCATCTGGTCAGTCAAATTTTAAGAAACTACCTATTAGATTTAATGTTACTCCTGTCATCATCCTGAATATGCATGAAAACTGTGCCAATGCACATAAAGCAAACAACAATAAATTAATCCTATATAATATCAAGCTCACAATAAAACAGGACACCTATTAGGATTTCAATGAACCTATAGGATGAGTATGTTGGCCACTAATAAACTGATCTCATATTTATAAGATACATTTCAGTTAAAAAAAAATAAAAAACAAGAAAATGCAAACAAATTTGGCTGATTTTTAACTTACCGGTAACTGTGAAATTTTGTTTCCTTCCAAATTGAATTCATCCATAAGAACACAATTAGCTAAGGACTTTGGAATACTACTTAAATTATTATATCTGAAATTAAAAAGAAAAAACATTCAATACTTATGTACATATTTTTAACATTATAATTTCTTGGTCTACCATTCACTATATGTATCTGCATGTGCTTATGGATTACTGGTGTAGTTGATATATATATATATAATTTAAAGAAATGATCCTGAATATTTGTTTTAGCTTTGAGATGCTTATCCTTAACTTTATTAATTTTGCGTTCTATCATCTTCTTTGTTGTTTTTTTTTTGTGTTAATAACAATTGGGTCTATTTTTGTTTTGTTTCTTAGAACTGGAAAACAATTTTCTTCATGATTTGGGATAAAAACATGAATTTGATTTGTACTTTTGATTGACAACAGACTTTCTAGGTAAATGAAAGAATCTTAATTTCAAACTATCAATGCAAAAGGTAAAAGTTTCTACCATAATTATTCAACCCAAAATGGATGCAGTATGAATATTGTTTTAAACATGCTTGGGAAAATCAATTAGGAAAAAGCATTGATAATAGCATGCCCAATTGCTTAACAGAATAAAGAATTCATAATTCTTCTACAAATTTCTTTTACAAAAATGGACAAAGATACAATGATCACAGTATGGACCTATATTTGCACTTGATTGTCAAAAACTATGCTTAACAAAGTTTACAACCTTAAGTTAGAAGTGTTAGAACTTGGTTATCCTTTTTTGTATATCTTTTTTAGCCTATTATCATTTTCCTGATTAAAATAAAAGAATTTGTCTGAGGACATGAATGCCCACGCTCAATCTTTAACAATGGGACGGACTGACGGAAAATCGCAAGGAAGGAAGACGGAAGAATGGACAGTCAATGGTAACACTTAATGCCTCCGTCGCCTAAGGTGAGGGCATAAAAAGTCTCTGAAATATCACGAAAATAAGATAAGTGCGAACAATTGCAGGTTGTTATAGTATTTCTTTGTGTTGGGGTTTTGCTCTTTTAATTTTACAAAATTGTACACTAACTTCATGTCCTACAATATCCTATATGACATGAATTAATTAACATTTTTGTCCTTTTTTCTATCAGATATAGCCACAATTTTGAGGTTTCTATATATGCGATGGCACCTTACCTTAAACCTAATCTGGATAAATTCTTCATATTTCCTATTGTTTCTGGAATATCAACTAATTCATTGTGTTGGAGATCAAGGGAACTTAGATTTACACAATTACCAATTTCTGCAAAATAAATTATTCATTGAAATTTAGCAACAAAAATACTACACTGAAGCATTTAACTTAGATACTGCAAGTACAAACATTCATTTATTACTTGTTGATCATATGCCATGTTTTATCAAACTTTAAAAGGTTCTTGGAATATACAGATGGACAGCTTGTATCATAAAATTTTTTTTTTAAAGTTTTCGATAATCTGAAATTAACGAAAAAATGAATGAAACCAAATTTTAATAATTTATGCAAACATTTGGTTCATAAATATAAAATTTTAAATCTAGCTTGAAAACTGAAGGTGATAGCCATAAAAACCATGTACAATATATACAAACTGACTATACTAAAAAAACTGTCCAGATCAAATGTTTTATTTCTAATTTGAAAATGTTGACATTTTCAACTAAACAAAGTTGCTAAACTGTGTTAATGCTTTATTTGTAAATATTTGAACTTGGTTAACTTACCTTCTGGTAGATGTTCTAAGTGATTATGTGAAATGTCAAATGTGACTAAATTGACTAATTTTCCTATTCCTTGCGGAAGCTTTGGTATTTTATTTTCTCGTAAACTTAAAATCTGTAAATTCTGAAAATAAATTCAAAATGAATTACTTGAACATTTATAAGTTTGGATACAGTAGAATCTAAGCAGTGATCTTAAGTACTGTTTAATCTATAAAACAATTGCAACAAATGTCAGATCAGATATAATTGGTTCAGACAAATGAACTCACTACTGTAAATTTAGAAATTATTTTGAGGTTTTTATTTAATAGGAATAGGTGAATATGGCAATATTAAGAACTCACATTCTGATATCTGATGCATATAAGTCTGTATGCAGGTTTTCCTAATATCCCAATAATTACACATTTTTGTCCATTCTTTGAAAATCGCAATAAAAAATGCATGCGGAAATTTCTTAATTCACAGTATCTATTATGTAATGATTTGTGTATATAATGATCCAACAGTATCATGAATAACATTCTCGAAGCGTTAATACAAATGTAAAATAAAGAGCTGCGCCATGAGCACATGATACGACCGTCGCTTTTTAACGAATAAAGTTCCATAACTCCTCAATGTCATATCAGAAATAAATGTCTGAAAACTGGAAAATCCAACCTTTTTTTATAAATAAAATCCAATAACTCGAAAACGTAAAATCTAATATTTATAAAAATCGAAAGGGAGCTTACATCAATAGATATAATAAACAATTCACCAAAGTTTCATGAAAATTGGTTAAAGCATTTTTGAGTTATTGTCGGACATGTTGATGAGGGACGGACAAACAGACAGACAACGATTTACCATAATACGTCCTGTAAATGAGCATATAACAATGCTTTAAAGTTCATTGAATATACAACAAAATATCTTGTTTGATGATTTAAAACACAATTGCATTGATTCTACAAGTATACTGCAACCATTTAAAATCGGCTCCAACCCTTTCAGATATTTATTGAAATTTTACAATGGGTGATCCAATTAGATTGCCTAAACTGATTGATTTGCAAATATAATTGATCATCAGAACATCGCTAGACAGTTTTAACAATGTGTATTAAATAACACAATTTCTTAAATAAACTTTTGACACAGATACATGTCTTATCTGTATGTAATTTTGATAGTTTAATGGAAATGTTGAAATTTAAACATATTAAATGGCAAACCTTTAAGTTGTGAACTTTACAAAACAATAAACCATGACTCAGAAGCCAAATAATCTTCACGGAGATGTGATGTCTGAATGCTAATACAACAGCATAAGAAACAACATTAACCTACCATATGTGGTTCCCCTGAAAATAAATTGATCTGAACACAAACTTTAACAAATTGTAATCTACACCATTATCAGCACAAACAGGTTTTGCAAAGTAACACAAAGACAAAATATATAAATGTTTACTTGTTTTTTTCTGCAAATATTCAATCACCTTTCTAAATAACTAGCTCATCATTTGAGCTGCTTTCATCTTGTCAAGGTCTGAAGATCATTTTATAAGTAGCTTTCAAGATGAACATCAGCATTTTAAAGACCTGTTTTCTTGCTTTATAATTTGTTTTACTCATTAATTAATGAAGTATCATACACCATTATACTGTGGATTCAGTTACTTTCATAGGTACCAATTTTGCTGGATTCTGGATTTCACTGTTTTTGAAAATTCTGCTTGCAAGCCTTTATGAAATTAGCATTTGTTCCATGAAATACAGGAAAATTAGTTCCCCACAAATAATAATGTATTTCCACTCTCAATTTGATTAGAGTACTATATTTTGATGTCTTTTCTATGAATAAATGAGGGTGTTGAAAAGCACCAGTTGTTTAACCCTACCTTCCACTTGATAAAGCTCCAGTACTTACTGTTAAATTCCTAATAGCATCATCTACATGTCGGATTCTGTTGAATCTCAAAAATAACGTTGTTAAGGATCGTAATTTATAAACAACTTCTGGAATCTGAAAGAAAAAAATGTTTTTGTTATAAGTTCATTTGTAAATTAAGTAAGAAATTTTATTAAGAGACTGAACATATGTAAAATCAACAATAAATATGAGCTTAAGAAAGCTCTTACAACCGGCTTTGTAAGACTTCCAAAAAATATAATTAAATAAACAACTTACACTAATAAATATAATTAAATAAACAACTTACACTAATTTAAGTGATGACTAGGTTTGATAATAGTATATCATAGATAGTGTTTACATGGTTAAAGGCTAATTTGTTTGCAATGAATTTACTAATAGATCAATCCCGAGTTGTTTTTTTAAGAAACAGTTACACCGATGACGTCATTGAACAATCGGTTCTTACTGTGATGTAATAACATAATCATTGTGACATAGGAAATGTACAGATTAAACACTTTAATTTGAAAGTCATCTATATCATTTCATGTATTTCATATTAGGTTCCAGTATTAAACATTACTTTTTCACATGAAGTTTGGCCAAAGTAACTTCACATTCTCGAGAGAATTGATGTATACTTTATATATCTATATTGTAAACCACAGCTTTTATTGTTTAAAAATGTACATGTACATGTATTCAGATTTGTAATTGTCCAACTTTTCTTCAAAATGTTGTCTTTTTTTATCATTTTCTGTGTGTAAGTCTTTCATTCCTCATTTGCAACATATCTTTTAAAATATATCAAATAATTGCATTTGATCATCAGGGGGTTTTTCTGGGTATTTTGGGAAAAAGGACCCTGGGCAGTTTTGGGAATTTTTCATGGGATTTTTAATGAAATTGGGAAAACCCAACAAATATACCTGATTTGAGTTTTAATGTGGATAGTTCATTAGAAATTATTTTTTTTGTGAAAATAAAGCAAGAAACTACATGATTGCCATTTATAATTTTATTTTCCTGTCCTTTTGGTTTTTAAACTTGACAACAAGGCAATCAAGTTTATTTAAGTATCTAAATACCATACTTCTTATTGCACACATGTGATGAGAATTTACCCCTTTTTCACCTTCAAAAACAGTAACAGTTTAAAATAATAAATTCAGGGATAGCCTAAATAAGATTGTTTTTAACTGGCCAAGCAGGCTAACACTTTTCTAAATTCACTTGCCCTTCCAGATTTTTACTGTCCCTTAAAAATTGAGGAGAAATTACATCCCAAATCTGTAATAATGTGTTTACATGATAAAAACCTCCAATATCAATTTTTTTTCGTGATAAAGAAAAGTGAATGTAACAATTAATTGGATTTTGACATGAACATTTGTGGTCTATTTTTGTCTACAAGTTTCTGTAAAAAATATGTCCTTCTTCTTTCTTTTTTATATATCTTTTGGTTTTCATTTCAAGAGTTTATATTTAATAGCTTATATTTTTTTTAATATATTTTTTGTATATGATCGGCAAACCCGGAATTAGCCTTATCAGCTGCAGCAATCTGATCTGATATTGCATTTATCTACATTTCCGGTTTACAGCGGCCATTTGTCGAAGTTGTATTTTGTCAGTCGGATATGTTTTTACTCGGTTTTTCACATTACTTGTTTTTGATTTTCTACATAAAGCTAGCTGTTGAACAAAAATAACATCACTGTCATGAATAATATAGGTGAAAACGTAATTTGAATATGTAGATGTCCCTAAAAATCTCGTTTGGGAATTTTTCCTCAGAAAATTGGGAAAAATGTAGGGGTTTTGCCATTGGGAATGGGTCTGAATACCGAACCCTGTGGAATGCTAGAAAATTCCATGTTGATTGAAATGAATTTGAATAAAATGCGCTAAATTGTAACCAGATCTAATTAAGGATATATGGAATAACCATACTCTTATAACAAAAAAAATATTTTCAAAAAGGCTTAGAAACAGGTAGAAAGTCAAGGATCCCCATGTACAGCATTGTACAGTATGTGTTTTGTGATAATTGCAAATAAATTTAGAGTATAGTTATTCTAGTTATACTGCAACACCAATCAGGGCCAAATATTAAGGTAAAAATGGAATTTTAGACAAGCAAACAATGTGAAAATATTGTTAACCTGTTTTCCTTTGTAATGTCATAGATTTTTACTGAAAAAAGTAAGAAGACATGTGTAAAGGAGACAATCCATTTATATTTAATATTTTGACATAGCACAAGGTAATGCTATTCTCAGATTGATTATGATGTCTTTACACTAATTCCATTAGGCGTGTATGATTAGTATTTTTTAAGTTGAAAGAACATGATTTATTAATTAGTTGTAATTGGCTTTGACCAAGCTTTCAGTAACTGTGAGTACTCTTTGTTCAGTATTTGTCTTTTGTGTTTAGGATCATTGTTCTTTTGCACTTCATATAAAAATAAGAAGATGTGGTATAATTGCCAACGCGACAACTCTTCACAAGAGACCAAATGATACAGAAATTAACAACTATAGCCTTTCTGATGAGTCAAGCCATTTCTAACTTATTTTAATTTTAACAGTCCATTCTTATGTTGTGATGTAACAACAGTGTCCTAGATTAGACATGGTTATGGAAGGTTTGAGCCTCGAACATTTTTAACACTGCCACATTCTTTATTTGCCTGTAAAATTGATTGATTGGTGATTGCTTTATGCCTCATCAGCACAAAAAGGCTATATCGCAGCAACATATGCCTGTCAAAAGTCATGAGCCTGTATATTCAGTGTTTTGATTTCCATTTGTCATATTTGTTTTTTGATCATTGTTTTTGTACATAAATCAGTATTGGCTTTTTTTGCTAAATTTCTTACACATTTTGTCCTATAAGGTATGGGTTTTGCTCATTGTTGAAGGTCATACAGTGATCTATATTTGCTTACATCCACATCATTTAGATTCTGGTGAATGGTTGTTTCATTGGCAAAAATACCACATCTCCTTATATTCATACAGAAGGACAATCCAATTCACTTCAAAAAGTGAATTGTTCATACAAACAAAACAATTGAACTGGACAAACAGAATGATTGGAACATACAACTTATACAAAATACTTTCACCTGATTCACATAAAGGGAGTAACCTCTAGAATTTTCATGTACTCAAACATTTTGTTTTGTTTTTGGTAAATTTACCAGGACTAAAAAAGTTAATTTCTGGTGACCATGTTTTTTGAGGTTGCTGTCTCATCAACCAATATCCTGTAGTTCTTTTCATAATTTTTAATTCACATTAATTATATCATAACCAGTCAGGGATATAACTCTATAGGGTTATTACAGAAAAATAACATACATTTGTTATTGTGGACTAAAAAATCAAAGAACTGGGATAACATATGTATGTTACATGTTTCAAAGGGACAATATACATCACTAGTTTAGTTAAAATGCATACAAGTTCTATTGATATTACTATTGTCTTTGTGTATACTCAACTATAGAAAGATATAACAGTTCATAGTTTGCCAATTTTGCATAGTACACCTATATGTTATTACAGAAAAAATATGCCTGTAATAACTAAAGGGTGTTATCACAGCTTCTCTATATCACTCCAAAGCATTTTCTCAGACATACATCATGCTTAATTACAATGTATTTTAATTTATTGTAAGAAGTAATGACCAGAGCATGTAATGAGGTTCTGCGCAAGCTTCCCAGTAATTCCCAAGTGTCTCATATAATAAGTTACATTCCTTTAATAACTAAGCTATGTTATTACAGCTAAGTTTATCCCTTAAAAGCCTCGTCTCATTGATTTACCATGGTTAATCAAAAATTTATTAATTTAATTAAAAAATTAATTATCAAGGCTATGCATTTAGTTTCTGCGCAAAGTCTCAAGAGTTCCCTAGAGCCCATTATAAATAAAAATATGTTTGATTCATTTTACAAATAACAAACATATGTTATTGCAGATTTAGAAAATTTAAGGAATAAAGAGTAGACAACTCATGAAAGTGTCTGTAATAACACACACAAGTTATTTTCTGTAATAACCCTATAGAGTTATATCTCTGACTGATAACTAACAAGTACTGTATCTCACTTCTTTTCTTTACTCAATCCTTTCATTGTGAACAATAAAATCAATGACCATTAATCTTATCTTTCAATTAACATTGTTTAATACTTGACTCTAACAAAATGATTCTTACCTCATTCAGCCTATTGTGTCGGAGATCAAGAACACGGATCAGTTTCAGATTTTCAAGAGTGTCCGGTAAATTTGTCAATGAATTTTCACTTAGTCCTAACTTGGATAAATTTGTTAAATATCCTATTTCTGATGGCAATGTTCCTAATTTGTTACCATACAAATAAAACTCCTGGAGTTGTGTTAACTGAAAAGTAAGAGTAAATAAAACATTAACATTTTTTTATATTCATATATATATTATGAAATGTACAATTTCACATTAACCCCTAATAACTGGATACGGACACATAACATTTGCTTAATGTATAACTAATCAATATAAAGACAGCATTCTTTAAATACTTAAATTTACATTCCAATGTGAATGAAAACAATAAATATGAGTAGCCACACAAGAGATTTTTTCAACATAGAATCTTATTTTTTTTAATTTTCATTTTCAAAAGCTTATCCTATGTAGAACCATAAAAACAGATTCATACATTGGCAGTTACTTAGTGGATAAAAAATATGATCATCATTAAATTAGCATTTTAAAATAAACTATATGCTCAAGAGAGCCTGTATGGCTAACCTTATTGCTCTAAATGAATTTTTAGAGTTTATACAATTTGTAAGTACTTAGCTCTTATGGGGTTATTAACATGCATAAATAAACTGTTTCATTTCGAGTAAGTTCTATAACATACTAAACACGGCTATGTTGTGATTGTATTTTCTGATTAATCATAATGTACTGTTTTATACCAAACTGGTATGATTCAAAAAGAGCAATTTCAAGGGAGGTAAATTCATGTAGCAAAAGTTCAAGTTAGATGTCTAATATTGCATATTTATATACCACTGACACAAATAAAACTTTTCAAATCATCATTTCTATACCTAGGTTTTTCAAAGAGAAGAATTTTTTAAATTGACCAATTAGAATCAAAAGTTGCCCTGGCAGGCATGTTTTCAGCCAATCAAAACAAAAATTCTTTCACAAGTATTTGAAGTTATAAACTTTTATACTCACCTCTTTTACTAAGCTTGGAATTACTGTAATCTGTAAAAACAATATGCAAAAGTCAGTTATATTATCATTCAATTGTTTCATGATTAAAATGTCATTTCTAGTTTTACTCTACCATTAAAATGTTTCACTAACATATACCCAACATCTCTCATTCTCCAAATAATAAAACATGAGTGTTCCATGCGTACTGAATTGAGGTCTATGTATAATTTCAAATGTATTCAAGACATTTGAATCTATTATATTCATCTGTAAAACAATTTCCTCGCAACTTGTAATTTCTATGGAATTTTTTTTAAAAGGTTTATGAAAAGATAGCCATTGAAATCTAAATTGCTTGAGATGCTTGGGGATAAGCTAAACTGTAATAAAATGCTCCGCAGGGCGCAGCTTGATACGACCGCAGAGGTCGAACCCTGAACAGTTGGGGCAAGTATGGACACAACATTCAAGCTTGATACAGCTCTGAATTTGGATTGTGATTAAATATTTGACACAGCATAGGTTTCTGACACAGAATGAATGTGGTCTAAGAACTTAAAAATTTTAAATTGGACATTCACCTATTATGGTCCAATATCCAAAATCTAAATACATGGTTAGATTCAGCATATCAAAGAACCCCAAGAATTTAATTTTTGATAAAATCAAACAAAGTTTTATTTTAGACCCTTTTGACCTCAATGTGGACAAAGTTGATAACGGGGCCCAAAAATCAAAAATCTAAATACATGGTTAGATTCAGCATATCAAAGAACCCCATATATTCAATTTTTGTTGAAATCAAACAAAGTTTAATTTTGGACCCCGATTTGGACCAACTTGAAAACTGGGCCCATAATCAAAAATCTAAATACATGTTTAGATTCAGCATATCAAAGAACCCTAAAAATTCAATTTTTGTTAAAATCAAACTAAGTTTAATTTTGGACCCTTTGGACCTTAATGTAGACCAATTTGAAAACGGAACCAAAAATTAAGAATCTAAATACACGATTAGTTTCGGCATATCAAAGAACCCCAATAATTCAATTTTTGATGAAATCAAACAAAGTTAAATTTTGGACCCTTTGGACCTCAATGTGGACCAATTTAAAAACGGGGCCCAAAATCCAAAAACTTAATACACGGTAAGATTCAGCATATTAAAGAACCCCAAGAATTCAAGAATAAAACCCCATTGAAATTGATCAAGAAATAAGCAATTTATATGAAGTATCTTCTTTTGCACAATACTGTGCAGTTGAATATTTCTTGCTATTGCGCAATACTGTACAATTGACAATTTCTTGCTATTGCGCAATATTGTGCTATTGGATATTTCTTGCTATTGCGCAATACTGTGCAATTGAAGATTTCTTGCTATTGCGCAATACTGTGCAATTGAAGATTTCTTGCTATTGTGCAATACTGTGGAATTGAAAATTTCTTGCTATTGCACAATACTTATTATATGATAATTTACACATCCTGTTTGGTGTGTATCTCCTACCATATCATTATTATTTGCTTTTAAATATAAATCAGAAATAACCAACTTAAAATGGAAAATTTTAAAAGAAAAAAAAAAAATCCCCCCCCCCCCAAATTTTTTGAACCCCCTTATGATTCATCACCCCCAAACTCAATCCCAGCCTTCCCTTTGTGGTATGGTACCTTGCAGTACAATTTCAGAGAGATTCATACACTTGAACACAAGTTATTGTCTGGAAACTAGAAAAATGCTTATTTTTGGCCCCTTTTTGGCCCCCAATTCCTAAACGTTTAGGGCAATTACCTCCAAACTCAATTCCAGCTTTCCCTTTGTGATATGGAACCTTGAAGTACAATTTCAGAAATATCCAAACACTTACACACAAGTTATTGTCATGAAACTAGAAAAATGCTTGTTTTTTGCCCCTTTTTTGGCCCCTAATTCCTAAAATTTTGAGGCAATTACCCCCATAATCAATTACAGCCTTCCCTTTGTGATATGGAACCTTGTGGTACAATGTCAGAGAGATCCATACACTTACACACAAGTTATTGTCTGGAAGTTATAAAAATGCTTATTTTTGGCCCCTTTTTCCTTAACTGTTGGTACCATAACCCCCAAAATCAATCCCAACCTTCCTTTCGTGGTATTGAACCTTATGGTAAAATTTCATGGAATTCCATTCACTTAAACTAAAGTTAGAGTGCGAAAACCAATGTGTCTTCGGACGACGCCGGACGACGACGACGCCAACGTCATACCAATATACGACCAAAAAATTTTCAATTTTTGCGGTCGTATAAAAAGCTGTCACCCTAACAATTTCCATAGTAGGATGTTTGTTGCTATTTTTTTCTAATTTTGGAGCCAAAGTATCTTGATGTTTTAAAGGATGTTAAATAAGTTGTTAGTTTTCTCTGTTGAATTGTTTCATATTTTTCATGTCAGGCCTTTTAAAGCTGACTGTACGGTATGGGTTTTTCTCATTGTTGAAGGCCGTATGGTTGCCTATAATTGTTTACATCCACTTCATTTGAACTTAGGTGGATAGTTGTCTCATAGGCAATCATACCACATCTCCTTATTTTTTTTATGAAGAATCAGATTCAACCAGAAGGTGATAAAATTGTTACTCATCAATATTTGCAACTGATGCATCATTATATCACACCCTACAAAATCAAGGTGTTCTAATAGAGTAAAATCAGCACAATATTCCCATGATTCCTTAAAATACTTTTTTTTAAAATGAAATCTTCAAACTCAATTTACTGACGTGATTATAAATTCAATAAGATATAATAGTAAACTTTTGTTATTGACTTGAGTACAAAGATCTTTGGTCAATAAAATGTTTTTAAAATGATAATTGAAAAATCAACATACAGAAACAAAAGCATAGATATCATGTCTTTTGACTTTTTCGTGATTAAAAAAAACTATTGTGCACCAGTCATTTGCCATTCAAATAATAAGATAGTAAATAAAACTGCATAACAAATTGCTTCATTGATTTATCTTTTTAAAATTTCTACTTTTATCTTATTTAGTTAACTAGACGAAAATTATGAAACAATTATAAACTCCCAGTATTATACAACAATTGAAAACAAGAAAAAGGTTGATAAAGTATAATGATTTGGAGATAAAATTATCTCTAGGGCAATTCAACAGTGTCTTAATTACATAATTAAGAAAAATGACCAATTTTAGGAAGATGTTGGAGCAAGAAAAATTGCCAGCAGCGTGATTAGTGACAACTTAATAAAGGAATTGCATATGACAACTTTGTCCACCGACAGCGAGATCTCTGGAAAGAACCCAAGTAAATCCTAATCAAGACTTTTCACCAAAGAATCTAATTGGTGCACTGTGTAGATTTTATGCAGTTATATTGAACAGTAACACTGCTACATTCAGGTTTTTTATTCATGGAGTTATTAAAAAGGTTAATTCTAACCGATATTACCAAACTAAATATAATAAATTTATTCAAAGTTTTAAGAAAGACTATTCAAGAAAGTATATCTATTCTTGTTCTTTTTCCTGTATTATGTTGGCATGGAAGACACAAGTTAACCAAATGATGATGTGTTTTACCTGTGACTTGCTCAAGTCTAATCTCTTTGCCTCTTCCTCTTTGCATTTCTTGAACTCTTTTGCAACATCCTACAACATAGTTACAGTCTTAACAATTGTTTATAACCCAGAATATTCTGAAAACAATAGTCAGTCAACCCTAAACCCTTGCTTTTCAATATCATAAATAATCAGCATTGTGCATAAGTTTCATATAAACGTTATTAGATTGAGGCAAACTAAAGTTAGAGAACGGAAACAAAAAATTCAGCAATTTTTCCATTTGTAAAGGGGCATTACTCTAAAACAGTAAAAGTGGCGCCACCAACATTCAAGCTTGATCTGTGTTTTGTGGTAATAAGCATTGTGTAAAAGATTAATAACATTTGGTTGAGGCAAACTAAAGTTAGACGGAAACAAAAAATTCAGCAATTTTTCCATTTGTAAAGGGGCATAACTCTAGAACGGTAAAAGTGACGCCACCAAAAATTCAAACTGGATCTGTGTTTTGTGGTAATAAGAATTGTGTATAAGATTCAGTACATTTGGTTGAGGCAAACTAAAGTTAGACGGAAACAAAAAATTCAGCAATTTTTCCATTTGTAAAGGGGCATAACTCTTAAAACAGTAAAAGTGACGCCACCCAAATTTAAAGTTGATCTGTATTTTGTGGTAATAAGCATGGTGTATAAGTTTCATAGTATTTGGTTGAGGCAGACTAAAGTTAGAGAACAGAAACCAATTTAAGGACGTACTTCAGACGGACAAAGGTAAAACGTAATGCCCCACCGCTACAGCGGGGACATAAAAAATCTTTGTCAGTGATTATTAAACTAAGAATTTGACCTATATTGAAGGTGCCTATTATCCAGTTTCGTTCTTTGCAAAAGTTGTTTTTTGACATACACCTAGCTCAAATAAAATTTTACAACTTCTACACAATCACTGGAGAATGAAATCTGGTCATCTCAGAGAACATGTACAAGTAAATCAAGAATTGCAAATCACTATTTAAACAGAAAATTCATACAAGGTTTAGTTCATTTTCTTGCAACTAGTCAGTTTAATCTAAATTTTACATAGAGCTATCTAAATATGGTTGGTTCTAAAAATCAACATTTTCTATAATGAAACAACTTCCTTCAAGTTACTTTTAAATTGTAACGAACTTGTACGGTTTCACTTCAGCAATTTCCATTTTACATCAGATATTTTTTTATAAAAAACAGCTAGAACACACTTTAAAACTCTTATGGGACCACTCTAATAATACGTCAGCAAAGCCTGTCACAATGGCACATCTTTCAATCTATGTTGAAAGTTATGTAAATATACAATGTTTGGCCTATTGCTGTGTCCAACTTACTTCAAAAACTTTTAGAAACTGAATGCGGCTGCATTTCTCCTTACAAATTGAACCAGTATATGTAAATCAAAAGGCACATAAATCTTCAAAATTATTATAACACCTTCTTGCACTTGTGTAGTGATGATGTATGTGTGTTCATGCTGGTCATTTGTTTCAACAAAACAAGAAAACATTTTAATTTCTAAAAGTGGTTCTCTATTTACCATCTGGAAACAAAAAGTGTGGTGGACTGATGGATAAGACGATTCCTATAAACCCCCAACTCTATAAAAATAAAGAGCTGCGCCATGAGAGCATGATACGCCTGTCGCTTTTTCAAAGAATAAAGTTCCATAACTCCTCAATGGCAAATTAGAAATTTATAAAAAACTAATGGAAGTTTATTTTAATAGATATAAAACAGTCACCAGAGCTTCATGAAAACTGCTCAAAGCACTTTTGAGTTAATGTCTGAAAACTGGAAAATCCCCCTTTTTTATGAATAAAATCCCATATCTCATGTATCTCGGAAACGTAAAATCTAAAATTTATAAAAGTCAAAAGGGAGCTTAAGTCAATAGATATAAACAATTCACCAAAGTTAACCGAAAACTGCTCAAAGCATTTTTGAGTTATTGTCTGAAAAATGAAAAATCCCCCTTTTTTAATGAATAAAACCCCACAACTCGGAAACGTAAAATCTAAAATTTATAAAAATCGAAAGGGAGCTCACGTCAATAGATATAAACAATTCACCAAAGTTTCATGCAAATTGGTTAAAACATTTTTGAGTTATTATTCATGACGGACAGACAACGGTATACCATATCAGTCCCATAAACGGCCGTATAATAATTATTAGAGACAGACCTATGCTATACAAGTGAATCAATATTTAGGACTTAAAATTAAAAGAAAAGTACAAATTGTCACCCCATGCTGTATGTCCTTTCACTAGGACCCAAACTTTCCCAAAAAAGGATCAAACACAGGGCTGTATACTTACTAAATCAGCTTTTAGTGTAGCTTTCTTCACAGTAGGCTTAGGATTCTTCTGTCCAGGTGTTTTCACTGTCACTTCTTTCTGTCGAATTGGATCTAATGAACCAATACTTCCAGAACTTGCCTTTTTATCTTGAGGATGCTGTAAATGCATAAATTTAGAAGGCAAATTAAAAGCTAGTTGTTTCTGACAGCAATACATGCCTGCATCTGTTAAAACAATCTGCAAAGTTTCCAGACATAGCACCAAATAACTTCTTTATGACTAAATCTACAAGGGGAAATATAATCTATAATGTTAATTCATGAACTTGTTTTTAGTTGACCTTTTTCCATATAAGTGATATAAGGAAATAATAATCTATTTCAGTGAAAGTGCATAAACCTTATTGGAGTTAATTCATTGGGAACACATCCTCTTTTCCTGGTAAGCAAAACTTTCAAAAAATTTTGAATTCCTAGCAAAATCTACAATCAGAAAATGTGTTTATTCATACATTTTGACAGGTACTGTTACAAATGTGACATCTGATTTTTGTGGACATTTGTTTTAATTCTTCCCCCATCTTATTCTTGGTCTATCTACTCTGTACATGTATATAAATATATATAAATATTATATATTATATGTGTGTGTGATTATTATTACTCATTTCTCATCTACTATTACTCATGTTCTACTTCAAATGTTAAGTGCATGTAAAATGTTTGTATATGCAATAATTTTGAAAATGCACTTTTATCCATAATTACCTTCACCCATCTGCCCATAGGGAATAAAGACATTTAAACCATGTAGTAAAAAAGCCTAAACTGAACATGCTGAATGATAAGACATGATAGAAAAAATATCAAAATAGGCAGAGGATACATGTGTACCTAACGGACATTCAAAAAGAGAAAAAGAGAAAAAGGTAACGTTATGGCAAAAACAATGACTACAAAAAACAGTATACAAAACACTACATAGAAAACTACTTAAGACTTTCCAACATGAACCCCATCAAATACCAGGGATCCAGATGATGTGTTCTGAAAGAGTAGGCAGATCTTGCTCCATATGTGGCACCCTTGTAGTCTTGGATCTGCAATCTTAAATCTAACTACATGTAGAGTTACTGCAAGCAAATTTCACAAAATGATATTAGCCTCCCCTGTGAAAAGCAATGACAAAGTCTATAATTTGCTTAGGGAAACCCCAAAAATAATTCAGATCAAAAAACAAAATAGGATTTTTAAGAAGCAGATACAAATTTGTACTTATGTTTGCAGATACATGTATGACAAGAATCCATTGCATGCCACAAAGTAAACCTGAAAACTATTGAGATGAAGAAATGAAATAGGAGGTACAAAAGTAAATCAAGTATGCAAGTTTCTGGTTTCCCAAAAGTCTGTCAAACTATTCCGGAGCAGTTGGCCATGGGGATATAAAGTGGGACAAAAAGACGAATGGCTAGATAGAAGAAAGGACTCCCATAAAATTACATGTAACAACGGAATTTTTATTCTATTTTTGCAGGAAATAATTTGTTAATCAAATCGCCCGCATGTCATTAGAAATGATTGGTTGAATTAAAAATTTGTATGAAAGGTCATCTAAACATGACTCCTTATGAGATGTCTTTAGATCTCACACAGCAAAATGAAAGATTAGATTTGAATCAGATTGGTTTTATTATAAAATTAAATTAAAATTAGAGGTACTGCAAGCATAGTACCCCCACCCCCTTCTCCCCCCTTTTGCCAAGTCCATTATTTGCTAAAGGGAACCACAATAATCATTCAGGCGGTGCAAAAGGACATCACGTGAAAAATATTCTGTGAAAGTTTCATAGAATTCTGTCAAGAGGTTCCGGAGCAGTTGTGAATACAAATATTAACGAACTGACAGATGGACAGACAGACAGAATTGCCCATCACTACATATATATACATGTACAGCCAGCTTCAGGAAGCAGGGTAGAGTAACCAAATCATTTCAGTGCAGATTTTGTTTCTTAATGTCACTGTGGCATCTATTTTTATATAAGGCTTTTTACTAAAATTATACATGTAAGCCAGTTTGTTGGCCATCAATATCATTTTAATTTATTGTAGAATACAAATGTACCATCATTATGGGTTAGAAAATTCTACACACTTGCTCTTTTCAAACAAGTGGTTCAAAAATTGTTCTGTTGTAAGATATAGCACTTAATCAAAAGAAAGAACATTGTTAAAATAATACAAGCTACCTATTCATTGCTATTCCAAATATAATAATAAAATCTTGTTACAGTTTCACATTGATAAAAACATAAAAATGTTTCTTAATTGAATGACAGTTGAAATCCTCTTGTTATTAAACATTATGAGTGAATGAAGTCTTCATCAGAATTATTGTCTTTTCATACAGTAATTCAAGGAAGCCAGAGTTCTCGAAATTGTTTTTTTCCCCCTGGTGGTCCTTGAAGAAAAATCTGCTGGTCCTCTATTATTTTTATTGCAAAATTAACATCAAAATTTGTGTCAGTCCTTTGCAATTTTTGGTGGTCAAAACCTTCGGACCACCACTTTTCAAGAACTTTGAGAAGCAGGTCATTACATGCAAATAACATCTGAATTGAACCTGCATTGTATTCAGAGATACATTTTTGTATAACTACTATGCATAGTTCAAATGGTGAAAAACATATGGGCTTTTTCCACCAGAACTCTAAAATTTGACCGTTACCTTAAGATATTGAAATACTATCATGACTATCATGACTATTGAATAAATAACATAATATATTTGAACATTAAATACACACACTAACATCATAAACATCACAAGAAAAACTGTAATTCATTTCATAAACATGATAAACAAGCACTTCTTATAACCTTTTAATCAATGTCTGATTAACAGGTAAACCTTATATACAAGTTATAAGTTCTCACAATCTTTGCCTTGGTTGAAGACAATTAATTAGACATCAATATAGAAGCGATTCATGCCATCTTTGTTTCGCAATTAAGTTGCTTTACAGCTATCTTTTTACCTAACAACATGTCACTGGAGTTTTTATCCATTACTGTCATGACTGTGGATTCATGATTATTTATGGGATACCAATTTTTGTGGATATAGGTAAACCACAAATTTGAATGTTCAACACAGTACAAATTTTCTATGGGATTATATGCAGACTGACAAAATCATGAAATCAAATATCCACAAGAATACAAATTTTCCTCAATCCACTAAAATTGATAGCCACAAGAATACAAATTTTCCTCAATCCACTAAAATTGATAGCCACGACAATGCAAATTTTCCTCAATCTACGAAAATTGATAGGCACGAATAATACTGAATCCATAGTATAAGGTTTTACTATCTGTAAAATGTTTCTGAAGAAATTCACGATTTTGACAGATTGTATCACTTAATGAAAAATAATTTAAAATTTAGCTCCCTTTTTCATTTACACTGAAAAGAGTGGCATAACATGAAAGGGTTGTGGAGCAATGGAGCACCCCTCCTTTTTTGGTTAACGATTTGACTCCGGATAATAGCAAAGACTAGAAAACTGTAAAACATCAGGGTTCAATATAAAGGTTATCTGATTGCCAAGGACAATTCAAAGTCACATTCTGTTAGGATTTTAAACAACCAAAAGCTGCAATGCACATGTCAAAATAGACAATTAAATGTTTTTTTCTGAAACTATATAGAAGTATGGAGTTTCTCATGAACACTTTGTCTTTAATCTATGATTAAAATCAGGCGTCAATGACCACATGGACAAATTCACCTATCTTTAGTAGTTCATGTATTTTCTCCTACATTTTTTACATTGAATCTAATAAAGATAGTCATGGTAAGAAACCAAGAGCATATCGCAAAGTTAAAATCAATTTTGAATTAGAAAAATATCTCCTACTGGACCTTAAAAAAAGTGTTATTTTTAAAATGGTAAAAATCAGAATAAGTAATAGCAAATTACTAATAGAGGTTGATAGATATACTAGAACATTTTAGAACAGAGAAGTTGTCCACTTTGCAAAGATGGAATTGAAGATAAATTCCATTTCCTCATTAAATGTAAAGGGTAAGAATTTAATAGAAAAATACTCTTTTGTAATTTAAGTGACATAGTCCCATCTTTTGATAATATGTCTGAACAAGATAAATTAAGTTTCATTTTGAAAAGTAATGATACTGACATTTGTACTGTATGTGTAGCTGGAATAAGCATATGAATGATAAGAACATTCATTTAACTTGTTTAAAGCATACATAATGTTAAGAAATGTTGTAGTATTAAAGCTTATTGTAATAACTTGGTAACATAGTATGAATAACACCTCCACTCAATGTAGATATAAAATATGTGTCTCTTATCATTGAGAAAAATATCTCTGTATATTTGTCTTTGTTTATTTTTATTTTTGTATTTTGTAAATGTCAGCTGGTATCATTCCTGTCATGCCTGTATTGGAAAATACACCAATAAAATTATTTGATTTGATTTGATTTACATTTTTTACCAATTATCATGATTATAGATCTATTTATAATATCAGACGAAAAATAAAAATACAAAGATTGCTTACATATTTTAGTCATGTGTTACAAGTAGTACTCCAATCAGATCTCTCTATTTTTTAAGGCTGATTTTTGAATCATGAATTTGGATGTTTTTTGCTGATTAAATTTATTTTTAACTTCTATTGGAAAAGAGGAAATCAAAACCAGCTATGGAACGCCTATGCATTAGATGTGTTAAAAAAAATTTGAACTGAAGTTTCTACACCTTTAAATCAACAAACCAGAAGAAAATAGCTGCATTTAACTCATGGAGACACGTAGAGCAACTTTTACTTCTGATTACCACTCAACATTAGGGAAATGTTATCATTGGGATAAATTTCACCAAGTGGTATAATAACCAAGCAAAAGGTAAATGTATTAGCTATATCGTGACATGCAGCAGTAAGAAGCCTAGTATAAATATACATCTATACTGTTACATATATTTTTGCACAAATTCAAACAATATTAGCAGAGCTAAGTGTACAGAGCTAAGACAAAAAGATTATATTCATCTGGCCTTGTTATACCTTTGATATGTCTCGCTGAATATCCATTTCATCCAAAGATGAAGACATGTCATCTAAATCATTGGTATCACTAGCAACACTGACCATAGTAGCTCCACCATGAGCATATTCCTCATGATCAAACGATCCTGAACCTGACCCTGAGGACCCCATTCCAGGGCCTGGAAAAGGCATTGCTGTTTCACCAGTATAGTCTGCCAATCTCTCAGCAGCAGCAGAATTTCCTGGTTTACTTTTCCGTGACATGTGCTTCAAGTCATCACAATTTTAGCATTAGTTGAATATTGTCCTGTTAAATGTTCTGTAGAAGTGTTTTGGAAATGAGATAAATAATGTTATAATGTACGATTGTATCAATTAATGACCTTCATCATGCAAACTATTTGCAGAATCCAGGAAGTTATAAAGCGACATTTGTAAAATATTTCAATGCACTTAAAAATCACATGTTTCTCACAGGTTTAGAGTTTCATTTGGAGAGTTCAATGTCAAAATAATGAATATAATCTGTGCTAAGAAATTTGTTTATCCTCGTTTTTTAAATCCCTTCACTCTGAATTTCTAATTGTACTGTCAATTAAAAATTCTTTGAAAATTATCTGTGATGGTACAGTCATCCGATATAAGTGGGCAAAACTTCAAGGAATGATATCACCATGAGATCATCAACTCTATTGTAATGGCATTTTTTTACGTTTTACTATCATAAACAGTAAGAGATACTGATTAAAAATGTCGATATATACTTTGACACATTAAATTTATACTATCATGTGTGCATATAGGTAATAATATGTTTACAATGTAACAGTTATGACTGACTATTATGTGTAAAATAAAATGACATTGTCATAAAAAGTGTTTTTGTCCACATGATGGTTTCTCACGAAGACATCCATAGATACGAAAACGAGGTTGTGTCCTACTTTCTCTGATGCATTTTTACTTGTCGGATCGGTTCGTCTTGGAATGATGTTTTGTTTTTGCACTCAGATTCAACATTTTGCAGTGCCTCACTAGAATGTTGGAAAATGATGTAATGTTATTCTTTATGCAACAAATCGAAGGCAACAGTTATTGTTATAAAATTTGCTGTCAAGTTTACTTTCGGTTGCAGTCGACATAAATATACTGGGTTCCAGATGCGTGATCGAAATGCGCAACGGTTATTTCGAAAGAGGATGTGACGCATTGTCGACAAATGTTGGGAGATTTTCAAATCTTTCAAAAGTCATAGATCGAATTTTAAAATACAAATAAAACATCATTGGTTTACTTAGATTGTTGACTGCTGCCTAGAATGATATCAATTAAGAAATCGGAAAGAACATAATTAACTCTTTTACATACAAGAGTATTAGATAACTATTTTTATTCAGTCTGACCGAAAGACTGATAATTTTTGTTTTTGTCTGTCCTGTCCGTTATATAATATCTGGGACTATTAATATAATAGTCCCAGATAATAAATAGTAGTCTCAGTTTTTTGCAGTGAGTTTTTGTCGAAAGCTACAGTACTGTACAGTGAGTCTGACTCACTGTACATAAGAAAGCCGCTGACATAGAATAGGCGAAAAACGTTCATAAAGTTGTCTTAAAATCATCAAATCATCAATTTCAAATTCATAGACTTTTTCCTAAACAATTGTGTATATGTTGTTGATACATAAATGTACGTTTTCTGTGACGTAGCTCATTTACTGTAACTTGAGTTTATATTGCAAATATGACTGACACCATAAATTGATACCTTATAGGATTTATTGACCTTAAATGGCGTTTATATAACGAATTTTATAATAAGTGCCTATTATCAAGTTTGGAAAGCTGTTAAAGATAGACAGAATCTGTACACAGCAAATACAAGATTTACAAAAAATGCCAATATGATAGAAACTGTTTCTTGACTATCTCATGTTAGACGTTGTTGCCCTTTAATGACGATTTTGACACATTTTTTTTGCGTATTTGCCTTCGGTCATGAAAACTGATTATTATAAATTGGCAGATAATGTAATTTGCAAAAATGATCAGCAATATACAAGATCTACAAAAATGTCAAATCACTGAAACTAGTACCCGACTCCTCACATGAGTCATTGCCCTTTACTTACAATTTTTGAAACATGTTAGCTTGTTTGCCAATTTATATTAGAAAATATTATTAATAGATAGAAACTACTGTACACGGAAAAAAATAAAAGCAATTCAAGGTTTTTCAGTAATACGGTAAACATATCAATCATCTCCTTATAGGAGTTATTGGGCTTAAGTAGAGATTTGTAAGTCCTTCGCGTGTTTAGGCCGACTTATAGATAAACATCCTTGAATTTCAAATCTTTGGGTATGAGTGTTCCATCGGGATGGCATTTTGACCTTTTTGTTGCAGCAGTTCGGATATTGGGTACCCCACCGTACCATTTTTATATATTTTGATCATTAAAAAAAATTTACATACAAATAAAATTAAAATTCATATCTATATTAACTCGCATGCTCTTATATAGCAGTATATCGAAATTAGAGATATATATTTTATAAATTATACCCAATCATATATATTTTTAAACAAAAAATATGCCTAAAGCTATGATGCTTAAGCTATATTTCACAAAGAGATAAATAGATTTGACAAATATCTGGTGCATTTACGACTTTGGTTTTTAATCATACCTGTTAAATAATAGACATCTGATTATAGTTTCAGATACGTATGCCATGATCCAAGATTCAATCAGCAACCTTGTCATATATGTCATTTTCATCTTAACTTAAGATTGATTATATTCAATTCCTTGGTACAATTGTAATAGTAAATTTGGTCCGGTAGTAAAATTTGTCCGCCGGACATTTTTCCTAGGTAATCAAGTCCGTGACCATAATTTTACTAGGAAATTAAGTCCCTGGATAAATTTTCCTGGGAAAATAAGTCCGTAGCTAGTAAAATATGTCTGGCACCTATTTTCCTAGGAATTTATTTATATTTCTGTTTTCTCCTTTTTTGTATGAAAAAGGTCCCTTAGAAGTTTATTTCTTAAGACATTACTTAAATTAATCAATATCAAAATCAAGAAAGGAACATTTGTGATTATGTACATCATAAAAGTCTGTGATATTAATTTTCCTAGGAAAAAAAGTCCGTTTAATTATTAAAAAACACCCATATTTTGATAAAATAGTGAAATATCAATGCACAACTGTTAAACAATTTAAAAACATATAAGTTACAAATTCCATTGTTTACATTTAAATTATTTCTTTCATTACAAAATTTCCTATAAAAATAAAGGACATGGACGTTTTTACCTAGGAATATTGAATGGCCTGCATGGACATGAATTCCTAGGAAAATTAGTCTGGGCAGATAAATTTTATTAAAAGATTAATGCACAACTGTATAACAGCATTGAAACATAATTAAAAATTCCATTGTTCACATGTAAATGATTTCTCTCATTACAAATTGTCTTATCAAATAATGAACATGGTTGTGTTTACTTAGCAATATTAATGGCCTGGACAGGATTTCCTAGGAAATTTAGTCTGGGCACATAAATTTTACTAAAAGATTAATGCACAACTGTTAAACAACATTAAAACATAAGAATTAAATATTCCATTGTTTACATGTAAATGATTTCTTTTATTACACAGTTTCCTATTAAAATAAAGGACATGGACGTTTTTACCTAGGAATATTGATGACATGGACATAAATTCCTAGGAAAATGAGTCTGGGGACATAAATAACTGACATCGGACTAAATATACTAGTAAATTCTGTAACCATGGACTTTTTATACTAGTAATATTTGTCCGCCCGGACACATTTTACCAGGACTAATTTATCACTTACACAATATCCCATTTAAAAAGATGGTAAATTTATTCAGAGACTTCAATCATGGGTACGTATCCTGTAACTGGTATCCTATTCCAGTTTAATAGTGGAATTTTAGTTTATTCACTGTAGACTGCAGTGGCGGATCCAGAGGGGAGCGTAGAGGGCGTACGCCCCCCCTTTGCTTGCACTTTTTTTTTTTTTTGTAAAATGATTAATCAGACTAGACTTCGTGAACTTTACCATTTCCCGTGTATTTAATTTTTATGCGACAATTCTTTACTTATAAAGATATTTTTTGCTCGTATTTACTGTAATATATTATTGATTATGTCAAAGTCATGTGATTCTCTAGGGTGGAGTTGACCAGTTCGTCGAAAAAAACGTCACTCAGTCATTTTGAAATTCAAATTACAGTAACACATTGCTTAGGCTGAAGATGACAAGCATGACGCCTTCAAAGCGACAAAGTATTGAGCAAGAACGTATTGACTTCTATTTCACAATTCCACCCAACAGAAAGTAATACTCTATTATACTCTCATAAAAAAAAAGTTCCACAGCAATATTATTTACCTACGAAAACATGTTTAACCCCACACGCCCCAGCCCATTAATAACATTGCTGAATAGTGCATGATGCCCAGTCAGTAAGCTCTAGATATAGATTTAAAGTCTAAGGTACGGACCATTTGATCTGAGGGGGCAGTCTGAGATATTTTAGAGAAAAAATTCTGACCCTGATTTTTGCCTAAACAAAAATTCTGGCCGTATCTGTATTGAAAACAATAATCTTGTTCACTTTTTTGCTATTAGAAAAAAATATTTTCAACAGAATTATTAGCATTAAATGAACATGATGAATGAAAAACGGGCGTAATTTTTTTAGGGGGGTGGGGGGGGGGGGGGGGTTGGGGTTGCATGTGAATCCCATATCTGACCGGAATGTCTGTTTCGCCGAACTGATATACTGAATACTTTTTTCAAGGCCCGACTGCAACCTGCCTGCTGGGTGTGGCCTATATGTCTCCATGTGTCGACCGTCATTCACAACTTCATTGTCATTTCCGACTCATTCATAGCCTTTGGTTGATTTGGAACCCCTCACTTCCCTTGTTGGGTGAAACATTTCAACCAAACATTTGGATGAAAATTGCTTGTTTGTCTTTCTTCGTGTCGGTCGTATTGTAAATTTCATTGAATAGCCGTATATCTTGTTTACAACAAGAAATCTGTGAGGTTATGCTAACTAACCATACAACAAACGAGAATTTTCCATGTCCATTTTTACTGACAAATCCCGCATCAAATATATTAATTAGTTCATAGCTTTGGATCCATCCAATCATTTCATAATAGACAATTGATGGAGAGAATAGGCACCAAAAATGTCCAACCCCTACACTTTAACTATAAAATGCATTTTACACTTATTTTATGTTTTTTAGCCAAAAAAAAGGTCCAAAATAAATTTCGCCTCGCTCCGCTCGGCGAACTTTTATACTACGCCCCCCCTTTCCAAAATCCTGGATCCGCCCCTGGCCATAGAGACAACTATACACCAAAGTTCAAATGGAGTGGATGTAAGTAATTATAGACAACCGTACGGCCTTCATCAATGAGAAAAACCATACCGTATAGTAGACTATAAAGTGCCCCTACATGAAAAACACGAAACAATTCAATTGAGAAAACTAACGGCCTAATTTATAACAACAAAATTACGAAAAAACAAATATGAAAGACATGAACCAACGACAACAACTGAAATACAGCTAGGCTCCTGACTTGGGAGGGGTTATAACTTAAACATGTTTGCTGGCACTAACTCTCCCCGTAACCTTGAACAGTGGCGCAACGGCACAACACAAAAACAAACTATGAAAAACAATAAACGAAAAACATATATGAGAAACAGCAAAAAACGACAACCACTCAACTACAGGTTCCTAACTTTGGCCAGGAACACATATAATGTGGCGGGGTTAAACATGATTGCTGATGCCAAACACTCCCCTAATCTGGGACAATGGATTAACAATTCAACATAAGAACAAACTATAAAAATCAGTTGATACAAAGTAGAAAACATCTAAAGAAAACACAAAGTGGACGTGGCAGGGAATTTATACATCTCTCACAAAAAACAGACACGAAGTACAGATCTGAGAGTACTCGTAGTTACTGACAGCTAGTTTAAAGTCAATAACAAATAATAAAAAAATCATATAACTAAGACTAAAATATCTAAGACTGTCTATGTTCACCTTCTTTGAAATAGTTCAATCAGAAATATCTATCTTTTCGAT